GGGGCCTCACACCGCCGTTCACCAGTGCCCGGGCACTGTGTTCTTGCGTGTAGATGCTCCCTACAGCCCCCCGCGTGATTCCGAGGTAGGTGTGACCATGGAATAGGCCTGATCACGGCCTTTACCGGTTAACCGGTTGCCAGCGTGATCAGCGTGATCAGCCCGTCATGGGGCCTCACACCGCCGTTCACCAGTGCCCGGGCACTGTGTTCTTGCGTGGTGATGCTCCCTACAGCCCCCCGCGTGATTCCGAGGTAGGTGTGACCAGGGAATGGGCCTGATCACGGCCTTTACCGGTTAACCGGTTGCCAGCGTGATCAGCGTGATCAGCCCGTCATGGGGCCTCACACCGCCGTTCACCAGTGCCCGGGCACTTTGTTCTTGCGTGTAGATGCTCCCTACAGCCCCCCGCGTGATTCCGAGGTAGGTGTGACCAGGGAATAGGCCTGATCACGGCCTTTACCGGTTAACCGGTTGCCAGCGTGATCAGCGTGATCAGCCCGTCATGGGGCCTCACACCGCCGTTCACCAGTGCCCGGGCACTTTGTTCTTGCGTGTAGATGCTCCCTACAGCCCCCCGCGTGATTCCGAGGTAGGTGTGACCAGGGAATAGGCCTGATCACGGCCTTTACCGGTTAACCGGTTGCCAGCGTGATCAGCGTGATCAGCCCGTCATGGGGCCTCACACCGCCGTTCACCAGTGCCCGGGCACTGTGTTCTTGCGTGGTGATGCTCCCTACAGCCCCCCGCGTGATTCCGAGGTAGGTGTGACCATGGAATGGGCCTGATCACGGCCTTTACCGGTTAACCGGTTGCCAGCGTGATCAGCGTGATCAGCCCGTCATGGGGCCTCACACCGCCGTTCACCAGTGCCCGGGCACTGTGTTCTTGCGTGGTAGATGCTCCCTACAGCCCCCCGCGTGATTCCGAGGTAGGTGTGACCAGGGAATGGGCCTGATCACGGCCTTTACCGGTTAACCGGTTGCCAGCGTGATCAGCGTGATCAGCCCGTCATGGGGCCTCACACCGCCGTTCACCAGTGCCCGGGCACTTTGTTCTTGCGTGGTAGATGCTCCCTACAGCCCCCCGCGTGATTCCGAGGTAGGTGTGACCATGGAATAGGCCTGATCACGGCCTTTACCGGTTAACCGGTTGCCAGCGTGATCAGCGTGATCAGCCCGTCATGGGGCCTCACACCGCCGTTCACCAGTGCCCGGGCACTTTGTTCTTGCGTGGTGATGCTCCCTACAGCCCCCCGCGTGATTCCGAGGTAGGTGTGACCAGGGAATGGGCCTGATCACGGCCTTTACCGGTTAACCGGTTGCCAGCGTGATCAGCGTGATCAGCCCGTCATGGGGCCTCACACCGCCGTTCACCAGTGCCCGGGCACTGTGTTCTTGCGTGTAGATGCTCCCTACAGCCCCCCGCGTGATTCCGAGGTAGGTGTGACCATGGAATAGGCCTGATCACGGCCTTTACCGGTTAACCGGTTGCCAGCGTGATCAGCGTGATCAGCCCGTCATGGGGCCTCACACCGCCGTTCACCAGTGCCCGGGCACTTTGTTCTTGCGTGGTAGATGCTCCCTACAGCCCCCCGCGTGATTCCGAGGTAGGTGTGACCAGGGAATGGGCCTGATCACGGCCTTTACCGGTTAACCGGTTGCCAGCGTGATCAGCGTGATCAGCCCGTCATGGGGCCTCACACCGCCGTTCACCAGTGCCCGGGCACTTTGTTCTTGCGTGTAGATGCTCCCTACAGCCCCCCGCGTGATTCCGAGGTAGGTGTGACCAGGGAATGGGCCTGATCACGGCCTTTACCGGTTAACCGGTTGCCAGCGTGATCAGCGTGATCAGCCCGTCATGGGGCCTCACACCGCCGTTCACCAGTGCCCGGGCACTGTGTTCTTGGGTGTAGATGCTCCCTACAGCCCCCCGCGTGATTCCGAGGTAGGTGTGACCATGGAATAGGCCTGATCACGGCCTTTACCGGTTAACCGGTTGCCAGCGTGATCAGCGTGGTCAGCGTGATCAGCGTGATCAGCGTGATCAGCCCGTCGTGGGGCCTCACACCGCCGTTCACCAGTGCCCGGGCACTGTGTTCTTGCGTGTAGATGCTCCCTACAGCCCCCCGCGTGCCTTCGAGGTAGGTGTGACCAGGGAATGGGCCTGATCACGGCCTGTACCGGTTAACCGGTTGCCAGCGTGATCAGCGTGATCAGCCCGTCATGGGGCCTCACACCGCCGTTCACCAGTGCCCGGGCACTTTGTTCTTGCGTGTAGATGCTCCCTACAACCCCCCGCGTGATTCCGAGGTAGGTGTGACCAGGGAATAGGCCTGATCACGGCCTTTACCGGTTAACCGGTTGCCAGCGTGATCAGCGTGATCAGCCCGTCATGGGGCCTCACACCGCCGTTCACCAGTGCCCGGGCACTTTGTTCTTGCGTGTAGATGCTCCCTACAGCCCCCCGCGTGATTCCGAGGTAGGTGTGACCAGGGAATGGGCCTGATCACGGCCTTTACCGGTTAACCGGTTGCCAGCGTGATCAGCGTGATCAGCCCGTCATGGGGCCTCACACCGCCGTTCACCAGTGCCCGGGCACTTTGTTCTTGCGTGTAGATGCTCCCTACAGCCCCCCGCGTGATTCCGAGGTAGGTGTGACCAGGGAATGGGCCTGATCACGGCCTTTACCGGTTAACCGGTTGCCAGCGTGATCAGCGTGATCAGCCCGTCATGGGGCCTCACACCGCCGTTCACCAGTGCCCGGGCACTTTGTTCTTGCGTGTAGATGCTCCCTACAACCCCCCGCGTGATTCCGAGGTAGGTGTGACCAGGGAATAGGCCTGATCACGGCCTTTACCGGTTAACCGGTTGCCAGCGTGATCAGCGTGATCAGCCCGTCATGGGGCCTCACACCGCCGTTCACCAGTGCCCGGGCACTTTGTTCTTGCGTGGTAGATGCTCCCTACAGCCCCCCGCGTGATTCCGAGGTAGGTGTGACCAGGGAATGGGCCTGATCACGGCCTTTACCGGTTAACCGGTTGCCAGCGTGATCAGCGTGATCAGCCCGTCATGGGGCCTCACACCGCCGTTCACCAGTGCCCGGGCACTTTGTTCTTGCGTGGTGATGCTCCCTACAGCCCCCCGCGTGATTCCGAGGTAGGTGTGACCAGGGAATGGGCCTGATCACGGCCTTTACCGGTTAACCGGTTGCCAGCGTGATCAGCGTGATCAGCCCGTCATGGGGCCTCACACCGCCGTTCACCAGTGCCCGGGCACTGTGTTCTTGCGTGTAGATGCTCCCTACAGCCCCCCGCGTGATTCCGAGGTAGGTGTGACCATGGAATAGGCCTGATCACGGCCTTTACCAGGTTAACCGGTTGCCAGCGTGATCAGCGTGATCAGCGTGATCAGCCCGTCATGGGGCCTCACACCGCCGTTCACCAGTGCCCGGGCACTTTGTTCTTGCGTGGTGATGCTCCCTACAGCCCCCCGCGTGATTCCGAGGTAGGTGTGACCAGGGAATGGGCCTGATCACGGCCTTTACCGGTTAACCGGTTGCCAGCGTGATCAGCGTGATCAGCCCGTCGTGGGGCCTCACACCGCCGTTCACCAGTGCCCGGGCACTTTGTTCTTGCGTGTAGATGCTCCCTACAACCCCCCGCGTGATTCCGAGGTAGGTGTGACCAGGGAATAGGCCTGATCACGGCCTGTACCGGTTAACCGGTTGCCAGCGTGATCAGCGTGATCAGCCCGTCATGGGGCCTCACACCGCCGTTCACCAGTGCCCGGGCACTGTGTTCTTGCGTGTAGATGCTCCCTACAACCCCCCGCGTGATTCCGAGGTAGGTGTGACCATGGAATAGGCCTGATCACGGGCTGTACTGGTTAACCGGTTGCCAGCGTGATCAGCGTGATCAGCCCGTCATGGGGCCTCGCACTGCAGTTCACCAGTGCCCGGGCACTGTGTTCTTGCGTGGTGATGCTCCCTACAGCCCCCCGCGTGATTCCGAGGTAGGTGTGACCATGGAATGGGCCTGATCACGGCCTTTGCCGGTTAACCGGTTGCCAGCGTGATCAGCGTGATCAGCCCGTCATGGGGCCTCACACCGCCGTTCACCAGTGCCCGGGCACTTTGTTCTTGCGTGGTGATGCTCCCTACAGCCCCCCGCGTGATTCCGAGGTAGGTGTGACCAGGGAATGGGCCTGATCACGGCCTTTACCGGTTAACCGGTTGCCAGCGTGATCAGCGTGATCAGCCCGTCATGGGGCCTCACACCGCCGTTCACCAGTGCCCGGGCACTTTGTTCTTGCGTGGTGATGCTCCCTACAGCCCCCCGCGTGATTCCGAGGTAGGTGTGACCATGGAATAGGCCTGATCACGGCCTTTACCAGTTAACCGGTTGCCAGCGTGATCAGCGTGATCAGGGTGATCAGCCCGTCATGGGGCCTCACACCGCCGTTCACCAGTGCCCGGGCACTTTGTTCTTGCGTGGTGATGCTCCCTACAGCCCCCCGCGTGATTCCGAGGTAGGTGTGACCAGGGAATGGGCCTGATCACGGCCTTTACCGGTTAACCGGTTGCCAGCGTGATCAGCGTGATCAGCCCGTCGTGGGGCCTCACACCGCCGTTCACCAGTGCCCGGGCACTTTGTTCTTGCGTGTAGATGCTCCCTACAACCCCCCGCGTGATTCCGAGGTAGGTGTGACCAGGGAATAGGCCTGATCACGGCCTGTACCGGTTAACCGGTTGCCAGCGTGATCAGCGTGATCAGCCCGTCATGGGGCCTCACACCGCCGTTCACCAGTGCCCGGGCACTTTGTTCTTGCGTGTAGATGCTCCCTACAACCCCCCGCGTGATTCCGAGGTAGGTGTGACCATGGAATAGGCCTGATCACGGGCTGTACTGGTTAACCGGTTGCCATGGCATCAGGTTCTGTGTTACGAACCTATGTGGGCCTAAGGAATCTTTTTTCTTCAGCATTTTCGAGAGTTTTCTCCTTACACAAATTTGCCGTAGAAGTAGTGAGGCTCACTGTATTCGTCTGTGGGTTGCCATCAGTTGTTAGGGGGTGGGCCAAGCTTTCTGTCAAGTTTATAAGGACGCCCCATTTCACCAATGCTACTAAACTTGTGGCCGCAATAATTAATGCCAACGTCAAGTAGACAGCAAGCACCTCATGCCCACTCCATACATTGTGCCTACTCACCAGCGCCAGTAGCTTCTTCACTTCTACTGCCTAGCCCCCCTCTCAGTCCGCCAACGCCCAGCCTAGACCTCCCTCTTCCAGCCTTCCCCTTTCAATCCCACCATATATGAGAGAAGTAAGATTCCACACCCATGTGATACAGCTAACAGTCTGCCCCATACAGTCCTGTCGAGCCAATTGCTCAGTCTGTCGGCAGGCCCACGTGAATCCTCAACGCCAGACTGCGGGCTGCTGCCAAGCGTGCTGTCTGGCGCCGTGCCTCCACCCCCGCTGCCAGGCTGCAAGCCGGTGACACGCACGTAAGCGGGCTGCCCACGCCCCGCCTCACTGACCGTACCGCTGTCGGCGCCGTCCGACTGCGGGCTGCTGCCAAGCGCACTGCTTCCACCCCCGCTGCCAGGCTGCAAGCCGGCGACACGCACGTAAGCGGGCTGCCCACGCCCCGCCTCACTGACCGTACCGCTGTCGGCGCCGTCCGACTGCGGGCTGCTGCCAAGCGCACTGCTTCCACCCCCGCTGCCAGGCTGCAAGCCGGCGACACGCACGTAAGCGGGCTGCCCATGCCCCGCCTCAGCGGGCATACTGCTGTCGGAGCTGCCCGACTGCGGGCTGCTGCCAAGCGTGCTGGCCGGTGCCGTACCTCCGCTGCCGCCGTCGGGGTGGAAGCCGACACCACCAGCGGTACCAGGACAGGATGTCGTTGACGGAAGCGTTGGAGGGTATAACGCCAGCCAACTGACGCTCTTGTACTTCTTAGACACGCGGGGTGACATAGGTGGGTTGTCATCACCGCTGCCCCTGCGTTTAGACCGAACAGCCGCACTGGGGCCATGTGACACGACACCACCCATAGTGCCGTCGGCGCCGCCCAACTGCAGGCCACTGTCAAGCATGCTTGCGGGCGCCGTGCCTCCGCCATCGCCGCTGACATTTGCTCCTATGCGAACACCGTGGGCAGGTAATGCGCCACCGGAGCGGCGTCGGCATGACGACTGAGCAACAGCTGCTAAGAGGCTGAGGGCGGCCTGTGCAGAACGGCGGCGTGCCCTGCTAGTATGTTGCGTTGATGGGCCAGGGGATACGATGGGCTTCTCAGAGGAATTCTCGGCGTCACGGGTGCCAGAAGGTTCTGTCCCAGAGTCTGCCATGCCCGAGAAGGATGGGTCGCCACATGCTAATGGGTCACCAGCGAGGCGTGTCGCCAATGGCACTGTCGCAGCTGCTGACAGGGCCGGGACAGTAGGCACAGACGCGCGGAGGTTCACTGCAGGAAGCTGTAAGGTACCCAGGGCAGTTAGGGGCCCGATCTCGGCCGCTGCCGTTGGTGGAAGGGGTGGTGCACTGGGCACGGAGGGGCCGGCATGCACTGCTGGTGGTGCAAAGGCCTCGCCAGGCCGTCCGGTTCTGCAGTAGTCCTCCACCCGGGCAGCTTTCGAGGGGGCCGAAGCGCCCACGGGTAGTACAGCAGCACTGCAAGCATCGTCGACCGTTTGCCTGTGCGCTGTGGTGGCTACAAGGGCTACACCACCGGGTTGCAGCGGGGATGCCGGCTGGTTATTGGGGCCTGCGGGGTGGGAGCCAGCTGCATCTCCGGGAGGTGGGTCCAAGCGGACACAGCGTTGGTCCGGTAGCCTGCCAGTAAGGTGTTTGAGGTGCGTGACAAAGCTAGCTAGCTTCTCGGCCTTCACCTGGCTGGCCCACTGCGCGGGAGCGACTTCCCTGTGCATGATTGATAGAGGGGAACACGGGAGGACGTTGGAAGGTACATGAGGGCGTGATAACACTGCGTGAATAAATGTGGGGTGCACGGGAGGATGTTGGAAGGTACATGCGGGCGTCATAACACCTTTTGCAAACAATTCCAGCAAATGCAAGTGTCTGCGCTGATTCGGGCGCGTGCTTACCTGACTTTGGCGGACAGCCTGTCCGGGAAGTCGGCTGTCAGTTTGCCGGTTCGCAGTAACCCTCCTAGGAGGTCAATGAGGTGCGCGGGGGCTTGGCTTGTGTTCTGTTATGGGATGATTGGGGACAAGTAGTTATGTTCAGAAGGATTGCCCAAACTGTTATGAGGTGAAACGCAGCCGTGATTTTTACCTCAACCCCAGAGCTTCCAGTGCTTGTCTAGTGCACATGGCCCAGCTTACCAGGTTCTTCCCACCCCAGCTTACCAGGTTCTTCCCGCCCCAGGTTGTGCCGTCGAACCAGTCTGGCTTCTTGTCGTTGGGCAGGTCGAGCAGGGTGCGTGTGGTGGACACCAAGTTACGCACTTGTTGGACGCTGAAGTGAGACCCGTTGACAGCCTCAGCCACATTGGTTGGGGGAGCTGCGTGAATGGGTCAGGATAAATACGGATCAGCGGCGAACAAGAGATCAGTGCATACAGCGCGCCATGCAAAGTCCTAAGCTAAACTAAGCAAAATAAACATGTCCCGGCTTTTTCACGTATCCAAACAGGCCTATTTCGTACCTGTGTGCCCTGGAAAGGTAGGCCGCGACGAGATGTTGACGACAGCCCCTGCAGCTGCTACTGCTGCTGGCCGCTCCTCTGTGCGTGGAACTGAGGCGGTTGGCGGCTTGGGCTGCTGCTGCCGCAACTGAGGCTGCTGCTGATGCCGGGACTGCTTTTGCTGATGAGGTGCCTGTGGCTGTTGTTGCTGGAGGGGCGGCTGGGGCTGTTGTTGCAGCGGCGGCGGCTGAGACTGTTGCTGCTGCAGGGATGCATGCTCGCCTGCCAGCTCTGGCTCAGGCACCAACTCCAGGTCGAGTCCCCACCCGCCAGACTCACAAGGTGGATTTGGGCCCTGTGCTGCTGGCTGTGCCTCTGGTGAGGGGTCAGGGCATGGCTGCTGCTTTGGCTGCTGCGGTGACGGAAGCCTGGCCAGTGCTTGGCTGGAGAAATGTTTGAGGAGCATATGCGGCCGAGTGGGGTGACCATCCACTGTAACCTCGCTGTTGATCATCATGTCGTGATATGACGAGTTGGAGTACCAGACGATGGTGTCCGGCTTGCCATCAGAACCAAGCTGCGCAATCGAGAATGAGGCGACAGCGGGGCGGCCTGCTGCCTCACACTCCATAACGTATGCGTAAAGCGTATCCCGTGCTTTACTTACGCGCCGGCTGGCACGACGGGCGTGGTCCTCCATGCCAGCAAAGCGGCCATTTTCAGACCGCTGCTGTTGCTTGCCTGCGTGCACAGGGGCATATGTTAGAATTTACTATTAGGAGGGCGTGCATGATACTTAAACAACATAAGGGCTCGGGTAAAGGTTTACACTGTACCTCTCCGACCAACCAAGCTACCCGGGTGTGGCAGGGGCATTGCGTGTGCATTGGAGTGTAAATGGCATGACAGGGTCCAACATAACTTGCAACCACCTCCCGTGCCCTGCCCTTTTGAACGTATGACCTGAATTTCCTCGACGCACCTTCATGTTGGGCAACCCCATCGTTGCACGCACAGGTGCGGAGGGAGGAACCACCCTTCTTAATCTGGGCAAGGCCTGCCCTGGCTGCGACGGTATGGATGTCCGTGCGGGGACACGAAGGCGCGCTTTGAAAACGCTTGGTCCGTTGACGCTGCGGGTTCCCCATGGCGTGTTGTTGCGGTGCTTTGCGCTCGTGTGGCTTTGCGCAATGGCGCTGTCTTCGATGCTGAGGTTCATCATCGTCGGCCGTTTCTGCGTTCACGGTGGAGTTGTTGGGAAGATACACAACATAGTCGACGTAGGCGAAAGCTAGCCTATGGTTTGGTACTAGCGCACCGGTCAACTCCAGGTCGGTCAGCCCCTCGTCATCATCGCAGTCCACTCCTTTCAAGCTATCGGTTTCCTCAACTTCGCCGTCGCGGCTATCCTCCTCGCCGTTCTCTAGATCAGTATGATGCAGCTCAGGATGAACTCTATTGCATGTTCGCAGCTGTCGGGCAATTCCAACGTTCCCAGACATTGATTTCAAGCTTGGACATAAAAAAGCTCCATAGGCTCGCTGTGGATATCTACGATCATTTCCTAAGCATGATGCGAGCTGGCCCCACATGAGGCGACACCTTGTCCGTACAGCAACAGCGATACAGCGTATATCAAAAGATGAAAAGAATACCTATGTAAAGTTGTTATTGCATTCCTTCCTTTAACAGATTTATTATTATTCTTCTTGTGAACCCGAATGCTTTTGCTTGCTTGCCAACTTGTTGCTGTTACGGTAGTTGCTTGCAAGCCTACAGTGGTCGGACATGATAAATGGTTGAATTGTAATATAGTGAAGAACTATAGATAGTTGGCACCTCCTTTTCCTATTTTGAAGCAGTGGCTTTCGGTGACGGGCCAAACAGCATGCTTGATAAATGCAACACCCAACCCGCATGGTGTGGCTGTGTTTTTCTACAGTGCCTTTCTACATGTCCTGTAGGCTGTTGTATTGCTCCAAAGGGTATATCTATGCTTTGTATGGAGCTACGGGCCCTGATAACGCTGGATCACGCTGATCACGGTAGGTGCCGGTGGGCGGCGGCTCGATCATGATCAGGACCGGACAGCCGGTGCACTTATTAGCTCCTCCTTGAGGAGACTGAATCGCCCGATTCTGTTACTGACGGACCGGTAACAGGATTGTTGGAGAGCTCTGAAGCTACGGGTGCGCTCTTGAAACTGCACCGCGGGCCGAAGCAGGCGTTCCCTGTTATTGTTATCGTTAATAAGGCGCACACGCATAATCGACTTCCCTTAACCACCACAAACGTTAATCCACATCATCTACCACACCCGCCCCCTAATGTTCATTGGGCAGGCCCCATACAACCATACCCGCCCCCCCTGATCACCCATGCCTACCCAAACCAAACCATGTGCCTCCTCCCAAAAGAGTACCTGCTGCCCGACTCCTTCCATACACCTCAACCAGCCCCGATCAACCGCCATACCGGGAAGTGCCTACCGGCGCCTCCCCTCCCACCTTAAACCGCACTCCCCAAATCACCCTGATCCCTACAAGCCAGCATGCACCGCCTCACGCCCCCCCCCGACCAGCCTCCTAAACCCCGCCACACACACCCTCCTCAGCCTGCCTTTCACATCTTATTCCATGCTATATGCTCCTGCCCTGCCCTCCATGCTTCCTTCCCACCTCCCTCAACCACCACCATCCTCCTACTGCCGGTACCGGTCCTACTCCCAGCCGCATACCTCCTCCTCCTCCCCCCCTTCTCCTTCTGCCGCTCCCCCCCTCTTCCCGGGCTGCCAGGACCGAGCACGGCACCCCTGTGCCCTCCATTCCCCTCACCCCACCACCCCATCACCCCCACTTCCTCCGCCATACTGCTCTCCCCCCCATCCCCCTCACTCCTCCCCCTCCTCCTCCCCCGCCGCCGCCGCCCCCGCTGCGCCCCCCTCCCTGCCCGGGTGCCTCCGCACCTTCTTCACCCGCTGCTGCTGCGGGTCGAAGCCCGCTGCCGTACTGCCGTACACCGCCCACTCGGGGGTGGGCAGCATGTAGTCCTGCGAGCTGAACTCGCCGCCTGGGGGGGTGAGGTAGGGGGAGGGGGGGGGACGGGTTTAGGAGTGCAGTTGGAGATGAGAGAGGGGTAAAGATGAGGGAGGGGTAAAGATGAGAGAGGGGTAAAGATGAGCGAGGGGTAAAGATGAGAGGGGGGTAAATATGGCCTGGTGTTACGTGCATGGCAAACATTCCCCTTCCCCAATTCATGCCAGTTGGGTTAACAGTATCGGTCCTAGCCAATCCAAGGAAATGTGCGCCCTGCCGTACAACCCCCCCTGCCGTACACTCACCCTGCCGTACGAGCTCGAAGAACCTGTCGTAGTCGATCCACGTGTGCCAGCGCCCGTCCACCAGGAAGCGGTCGGTGCGGGCCAGCAGCAGGCAGCAGCTGTGCGAGTGCTCGCAGGCCAGGCCGTACTCGCCTGGGGGGGGGGAGGGGGGAGGACGGGGTCAGACTTGTGGGTACCCTGGGAAATGGGGGGATTAGGGTGCGGGTGGGGCGGATGAGGGCCAGAAATGTCTTGTTGACTTCCCGGTCACCCACCTAAACAATCTCAACACCCCGCACCACTCCCGCGTCCATCAAAATAGCCTTTAGGTCTACCTGTCACCCCCCCGTCCCCCCCTCCCCCGGTCCCGTTTCCCTCTTTACCCGGCCCCCTCCTCCTCCTCACCTCCCCGCGCCTCGCAAATCGCCCGCCCAAACTCCACCACGTCCGCATGGTAGGGCACGTTGGCCATCGTGAGGCCGCCGCCGCTGCCCCCACTGCCCTTCTTCTCGCCTCCCGCTCCTCCTGCTCCTCCTCCCGCTCCTGCCCCGGTGCCGCAGTAGGTGACGCCCTTGATCTCTATGAAGTCGGGTCGGCCCAGGTCCACCAGCGCGGCGTAGGCGGCCACCTCCGACATGTTCCAGCCCTTGACCAGCGTCAGACGGTAGACTGGAGGGGTGGGGGGTGGGGAGGGAGGGAGGAAGGGGGTGGGTGGGGAGGGAGGGAGGAAGGGGGGGCCCCTTGAAAAGGTTGCATGGGCGGGGGAAAGGGAGAAGGAAGGATGCGGGTCCGGTGGCGCCCCTGCGGCACCCCCACCTTTTTGACACGGTGTGTTTCGCCGTCCCCCCTCCCCGGCCCTCCTCTCTCCTTCTTTTCCCGCTCTCCCTCCTCCCTCCTCCCGCTATCCCTCTACGCCCCTCATTTCCCCTCCCCACCCGCCCCTCCCCCACCCGTCCGCTGCCGCTTGTGTCCCAGTGCTGACAGAGAGGCGGTGAAGCGGTCCCAGTAATCGGAGAACAGCGGCCGGTCCACGGCCTGACAAAGGGGGGGGCGGGGAAGGGGGCGGGGAAGGGGGGTGAGGGAGGGAGAGGGGAGAGGAGGAAAAGGAGCATGAGGAAGGTGCGGCCGGAGCTTCCGGGGCTACTCGCGGCCAGGTTTACGAACACCCCCCCCCACACACACACACTTCACTTCACCTGTGGCGTTTTCGGTGGGAGGACTTCATCTTTCGGCAATCACAGTGCGTTTCGCCTCGCGGCCAGTTATTTTACTACACCCATCCCCCTCACCTTGAGGCTCTCCGGTGTCGCCGCGTCCACCGACACGTACAGCTGCGTGACGGGGCGCAGCTGCTGGATGCGGTCGGGGAACTGGGCGTTGGTGACCTACGCAAGGGGGGGGAGGTACATATTCCGCATTAGGCTGGATAGTTGGGTATAATTGTAGTTATACGGTTACGGCGGTGTTGGGGGGAGGAGGACGACGGTGGGATTAGGATGGGGGTTGCGAGGAGGAGCGGCTGAGTGCATCAGGAGCACATGGAGAGGCAGCCCTAGGAGCGCCAAAACACATGCTGCACGGTGTTGCTGTCGAAGCGCTGAATGGTTTTAGGGGGAGCGGTTGGTTGCGGTTGCGTCCGTTTGGGTGCCAGCTCGCCACTGTCGTTACGTACGAAGAGTCCTCTTCTTACCCCCAACCCCCTCCCAAACCATGATGGAGCCTTAGCACACGGCTAGCTAGTTGTTGGTCCTCTTTACCCTCCCCTCACCCTTCCCTCGCCATGAATGCGGACATGCCCTGCCCATGCACCGATGCTCCACCACCTCCCCTCACCATGAACGTTGAGATGCCCTGCCCATGCAGCAGGTCCACCAGTTCGTTCACCCGCGGGTACATGATGGGCTCCCCCACCAGCGATAGGGCGCAGTGGCGGACCTGGGGGGGGGGAGGGGGAGGGGGGGAAGGGGGGGAAGGGGGGGGGGGGGGGGGGGGGGGGGGGGGGGGTAACAATAAGGAAAGTGGGTTAGGAGAGGGGGAGGTAAGGGTAGGCAAAATGCTTGCGCGGGATGAAATGCAGGTGAATGCGCGGAGCAGACACTAGCTGCCTTCCGAGTCCAACTCCCCCTCACCTCCCTCGTCCTTCCCTCTTCCTCATCTAGTTTTCCGCCCCGCACCCCATCTGCCTCACTTCCTCCTCTCCCCTCCTGTCTCAGTTTCCCCCCTCCCATCCCCTCGTCCTCTCCCTTCCTTCCCCCTCCCTCCCCCCCACCTGCAGTCCCCCCCTTCCCCCCCCACCTGCAGTCCCTCCGCCACCGCCTCCGCCCGCACGCCCGGCACCCCCGCGTACTCGCGCACCATGCGCCGGTGAGCCGCCAGCGCTCCCTCCACAATCACCTCGGGCGCATCCATGGCCCACTTCCAGTTCTGGGGGGGTAGCGGGGGGAAGGGAGGGGGAAAGGGGTGTGGGGTGTGTATTTAGAGGGGCAGTGGGGGGGGTGTTTGGAGGGGCAGTGGGGTGTGCGTTGTGAGGGGCAGTGGCGACAGAGGCAAGTGGGGGGGTGTTGCGTAGGCAGAGCACGCCCTCCGTCCCCCTCCACCCCCTTCACCAGCGTCCCCCGCATCACCTTCCCCCTTTTCCACTCCCGGAGAGAGGACCCCAAGGCTCCACTTCATTTTCCTTACCCCACCCGTCTCCCCTCTTCCCCTCCCCTCCACTCTCCCCCTGACTGCATGAGTCGGGATTTGGGATTGGATCTCCGTTGCTGCATTTACCTTTCATTTCCCCCCCCCTTCCCTCTCCACCCCTCCCCCCCCCTCACCTTCCCCACGGGGTTGGAGTGGTGGCGCCAGCAAAACACACACTTGTTGGCACACGCCAGCGAGGGGGTGGCCTCCATGCAGCGGTGCGAGCGGATGCCGTAGAAGGCGTGTTTGTAGCAACCCCCCCGCCCGCGCAGCATGGACTTGGTCCACCGACATAGCTTCACGCCGCTGTGGCTGCCGATCAGCTTGTAGCCCTGGCGGGGTGGGGGTGGGGTGGGGTGGGGTGTGGTGGGGTGGGGCGGGGTGGGTCCAAAACCGGGGGGGGGGGGGGGGAAGAGAGATGGAGGGTTGGGAGAACGGGGCGCTGTTCCGGGGCACCCTCCTCAGCATGGCCTCGGACACGGCAAGCCAGCCCCCTAGCATGGCAGGCAGGCTCATTCCAACCCCATCACCCTCTTCCGGCGGCCACAGTACGTTCAGACTCGCGACCAGGCTTCTTAACACGCACGCCCACCCCCATTCCTTGTTTATACCCCCCCTCCCAACCCCCTCCCTACCTGCTTCGTTAGGCTGTTGCGAATGACCGGGTTGACCATCTCCGGCGGGCCGCCACCGGGGGCAGGGGCGGGGGCGGCATCAGCACCCCCAGCCGCCGCTCCCTGTCGCCCCCTGCGCGGCCCCGCACCGCCCAGATCCTCCATGTCCATCTGGCAGCAGGCAGGGCAGGGCGGGCAGGGGTAGGCAGGCAGGGCAGGGGCAGGCAGGTAGTGTTATAGCAGGTGGGCAGGCAGGCTGGAGGTGCTTGGGGTATGGGGTAAAGGAATGGGGTAAGCAAACAAACGCAGTACCCAGCCGCATGCCCTGCCCGCAGCACCATGCAGCCACATGCGGAGCGGGCGAGATTCATTGCGTGTTTCACGCCGACTCATGCCCTGCATGTGCACACCCCACCCCTCTCTCCCTCACCTCCTCGCCTTCACCCTCCTCCTCATCTTCCTCATCCTCGTACTCCTCCTCTTCCTCCTCCCCGCTCTCATCCTCCTCAGCTCCCTCCTCCTCAGCTCCAGCCGCCGCCGCCTCCCCCTGCTCCTCCCGCTCCCGCACCGCCTCCCCCCTCGCCTCCCGCACCGCCGCTGCCACCAGCGCATCTCGCCAGGGGGCGAACTGAGCGCCCATGTCACCCGCGTCCTCATCGCCCAGGCCTGCATGGTGGAGGGGTGGTGGAGGGGGGTTTGGGGAGGGGGCCGGGTTGGGGGAGCAGAGAGAGCACGGGAGATGCGGGCGGGCAGCAAGCGGTGCGGCCCAACCAGGCGCCCATCTGGGTCGCTTGTTAACACCCCCACCCCTCCCTCCTCTCCACCCCCCCACGGATTTCCCATCAGGGCCTAGCTCTTACACCACACATTGGATATTCTTCTTTTCCCTCCCTGACCACCCGCACCCTCCCTTCCCCACCCCCCTCCCACCTAGCGGCCTGAACTGCCCCGCGCCCATCCTCCTCAGCTGCGCCTCCACCCGCGCCGCCACCGCATTGTAGCTGCCCTCGTACTGGCTGTTGCCGCAGCCCCACACCGCCACACGCAACCCCGACAGCGCTCCGGCACCCAGCCGGAAGTCCGTGGAGGCGTCATCCAGCCAGCTGGGGGGCGGGGAGGGGGAGGGGGCGGGGAGGGAAGCGGAGGGGAGGGGGCGGGGAGGGAGGGGGAGGGCGGGGGTTAGGCCAGCAGACAATGGCATGCTGTGAACGATCATGGGGGCATTTCTTGGTGAAAGCCCCTGGTGATTGGGTACAAGGTTAGGGAGGGAGCCCCCCTCCGAACGAGGGTCTCTGCTTCACTCATGGCATTCCCTGTGGTGTCGGCACCCCATCTACATACGCTACCATATTCCTCGGCTCCTGCGGCGGTTCTGTGGGGACTTCATCTTCCGACAATCACAGTACGTTCCTGCTGGCGGCCAGTTTTCTTAACACACACCAGTTCGCCAGTTTCCTTACTTTGACCCCCACCCATCCAAGCCCCCAAGCACCCCCCCACCTGCAGAAGAACCTGGCTCCCTGCGGCGGTGTGCCCCCCTCGTAGGTGCTCACCAGCACCACCACCACCACTCCGCCACCACCTGCCCCACCACTCCCAGCAGCAGCCTCCGACAGCAGCTGCTCTGGCTCGTACGACGCTAGGTCGGCAACCGACACAACCGCTGCCGCTGCCTGCTGCCGCTGCCCTTGCTGCTTGCAGCAGGTGTGGTTGCTGCTGCTGCTGCTGGTGGCGGTAGTGCTCGTGACGTTGGGGTTGCGACAGCATGAGTCATCCTTGCCTTCCGTACTACTATCGGCTCCGTCGCCGCCTCTACAGCAGGTGGGCGAGGTCGATGATGGAGGGGGTGAGGCCAGGGCTTGGGAAAGGCGCTGACCCAGATCGAGGGCTAGCTGCTTGGAAGTGCCCTGAGCACTGCCGTACAAGACCTTGATGGTCAGGGGGGCAGCAGCAGCGATGGTGGTGGTGGTGGTGGGGGCTGAGGCGGTGATGGGGGTTGTGGTGGGGGCTGCGTGGGTGGTGGCGGTAGGGGGCTGCTCTTGTTGCTGGCGGGGGTTGGCGGCTGGGGACGGGGCGGTTGCCTGAAGGGGGTGAAGAAAAGAGGTGGGTGAGAGACGAAGAAATGTCGCGGGGATTGAGGTTTGTATATAGGCCGGTATTTTAAGGGTCGGGAGGCCAGGCAGGTGCTACGTGTAAGGCGCGGGGGTTCACCCTGGGTCGCGAGGATGGCCAGAAAGAAGGCTGTGCAGGCTACTGCCGCGACCACCTATTGTAGTGTAAGTACAGCATCTTAGCCGGCCTTCTGCTTACGAAAGTCATGATCCTTGACCTTAAGTTGACAACAACACACCTGGCAACATTCAGTCATTAGGTTACCGCCGCCGCAGCAACCCTTGGGCGCCGCCGGTGCAGCATCCAAAGGAATGCTTTCAGGATTGTTACCATATTCTGATAGCCGTTGACTTGCTTTGCTTGACGAAGCGCGTGAGTCGGAATTGCGCCATATGTACAGGAATGCAGCCGCCAGGCCTAGCAACCAGGATGTCTTTACAAACAAGGATAGCAGGCTAAGTAGATCCATTGGAACCGTCGGGGACTTCGGGAGCAGACGACCAATTAAGTCTATTTGGCCATCCTGATATCTTTCGTCAGACTGGAAAGCCAATATGAAACACAGCACTTACGTTACCCTATGCAGCATTCACATCCACTAGGCAAAGCGATACCCCAGGCCAGCCAACCACTGCAGTACAGTCGTAGTAATGATGGTCTGTGGAAGCAGGTACGTGGCTGCCTGCCACGCAGAGCGACGGTTATTAAATTTTGAATAAAACCTGTAAGGATGTCTGGCACAAACGTTACAAGGCTGACTATGAAGCCCATGAAGCAAAGCAAATCGTATATCAATCTTACGTATACGTGCAGCGCAAGAACACATTTGTAGTTGCACTTGTTTGATGCCTTTTAACTTCGTGTTTTGAGCTCGAGGTTGGTGAGCCGTCTGTCGATGTTGTAATCCGACCGCACAGCGACGGCAGTGGTAGCCTTTAATCCCTCCTTTTTTTATACATCGAAGTACATTTCCCAAGCGTTTTAGCTTGGGATGGGGACAAGCAACGCGAACGAAAATGAAGAAAGCAACGAACGACATACCGGTACAGTTTCTAGACGAGCGCCTTCCTTGCCAAGGACTGCGCCGACAGGCCATTCCATACATTCCTGGCAACTGCTTGTTTAATTCTCTGGCATGGCAAATGCTGGCATGGCAAATGCGACACGTGCTAAGCCGGCATGTAACCCCTTGCAGCATTCGCTCGCCAGCGCGCAACGCGCAACTCAGCTACCGCAACGCCCACCAAAAGCCACCACCGACTTTTCTTTGAAGTACGGACTACATCCCATCACTTTCCTTCTACACATTGCTTATCATACCGGTACCAAGCCGGAAAAGAGTATTTACTTGATTACCTGCGCCCGGCATGGTTGCTATCTGCCGTCTGCACGATGCATGAACAGATATTTGTGCGCTACTTATGATTTGGTTGACCGTGACAGTGGTTGCCAAGAAGAGAACACGGGTGATGAACCAAGCCCTACACTGCAGGACAATCGGATTTAAAAACCACAAAAGGTAACCAGAACACAAACATCTGACGACACCCTTCACCATGGAAGCACATTGGCTGGTAGTACGGCGGCCGTGTCCAGCAGCAGTCAAGCTGCCCCAACCAGGCTACTTCCTAGCACACAAAAACAACAAGGGGAGATGGACAATCCGGCAGCTTCCAGATAATCCAGATCCACGCTGTCGAGCAAGCTACTGTGCAAGCTTTGGTGCTCGTTGCCCCTGCTGACTACAAAGCTACCAGCTGCTATCAGACTATCAGTGTTTTGCCCCCGCACACATGGAACACTTCTGCGCAACAATTTTTAACTCTCCTGTCTACACCACCCACCCAGGATACTGGTAACAACCCACAATTCACAGTCCCTCTGCTATCTCATTAAGTCTCCAAAACGTCAGGCCGTTTACGTGAGTTTAACAGCTAACAGCACCTAGTGACCTCTGCAAACATACCCTGCCCCTCATCAGTTGTAAGAATAAAGCTTGTAACCCCAGTTTCCACCTCTCCTGGCAATCCAGGACGAGTTACCACCGTAGGGATTTACCCTGTGTGAAGTCCGCAACTGCTCAGAGCCGAACAACACTCTCCTTGCCATCATAGTTGTCGATTCTCCAGCCTCCGAGATGCGGAACACGTTCAGTCCGCAACCTGCAGGACGGGGTGCTGCCAAACAGCAGCCCCATCAGCATATCTACCCTCTTTGAGGAGGTAGAGGAAGGGGAGGAGGATGTGGTGTCCGCTGCTGCTGGTGCCGTCGGCAGTGGCTGCGGGGCCGGCACCGGTGGCAGGGTGTCCGGATGCCTCATCAGGAACGCCATGGCGTGCTGGTCCACGTGCTCCTGGTGCTTCCACATCAGCCAGGGAGTGGCCGAGCCAGAGTAGGCCTCGTAGGGCTTGGCGAACCCCCACCGATAACCCCACTCCTTTTCCCTGTTGCTATCAGCTCTGCTCATCTCGAAGGCCTCCTTGCTCTCCTCTGAGTCCCGAGCCATGAGCTCCAGCAGGTCGGGGGTCAGGTAGGAGTGCTGCTCCAGCAGGGCCTGGAAGACCTCCTCGGCTTTCTTGTCCTCACTCGTAATGGCCTCCTCACACTTGGCCAGCAGGCTGTCCTTCGTGTACTCTCTGAGATCAGAACTGCGGTCACAAACCTTGTATCCAGATGGGTCGGTCTTTTCGCCAAAGTTGTCGAGGGTATCATCCAGGCCAGTGACGTCGGCCAAGGTAGCGCGAGCTTGCGATGCACTGCTGCGGGCCCAGGTCAACCTGGAAACGCGCCTGAAAACAGCGTCAAGGTCGTAGTGCACGTAGGCTCGCAGCAGTGCGGCTAGCTCTGGGTGGGTTGCAGCGCAATGCCGGCCAAAGCCGGGAATGTGTGCTGCCACCATCACGCGCCAGTTGCTCACGTGAAAGCCTATGGAGCCATCAGCGTCGGTATTCGCTTTCTTAGCTGTTTGGATGTAGTTGCCGAAATCATCGCTAAGTTCGAAGCCACCGCCATAGCTTCCGCAGTAAGCAACCGTGACATCGGGCCAGCCCTTCGACGCCTCCTCCAGTACTTTACTAATCTCCCTTGACAAAGTAGTGTGCGAATGGTTTTCCAGGGTCACGAGCTCCTCGACCAATTTCCTGAAAGCCTCAAGTCTAGGGCTGGGGGCAGCAGGGCTCGACGACATTAGACGAAGAGGCGCAGTCTTACAACCACAATTCAGTCACGGTATTTCAGTGCTAGGCATCTAAGGAAGTTTACTAAAGATTACGGTTTAAGGCAAGAACCAAGGAAGCAGCTCCAGGAAATGACTGTTTCTGTATACTACTGTAAGCTATGCGATGATGGTTCAAACATATATATGGGCGAAAGGGCTATTGCCTATTGGCCCGCCCGGCAAAACCCGGGCAAAACGTTAAATCCGCCGCCGTACTGGTGAAGGAAAATAAGTTCTCAGCATGGCCCTGTCCTCATGAGCCCCGATCAGCCAGCAGTTAAAACGTGAATTTTGTGGATAAATCTTTTAATTCAACGCCAGCATGTTTTACGTAACTTTTATGTAATACGTGGACCATGCAAAGTCTGCCTTGAGCTCCCTGCTAGTAATACTGCAGACGATGATAGTAACTAATATGAAAGCAATATTTTTTGAGGCGGTTAAGAGGAATGGTTGCGACGGGGATAGCGCTGGGCCTTCTACATTGTCCAGCTGAACGCCTACCTTCCCTTGAGCGGGGAGTGTCAACACCAATACTGACACATCCAAACACCAAGCTTAATGTATCCCTCGTTGCAAGTCATGTAATGCCTGGTGCAGTTGTATGTATGTTGGGTCAGCCGCAGGCACGTACTGCATGCAGCATGGCAACACCTCCCGCAAAACGTCCTATCTGGCATGCTTCCGTGCTACACCGGTCAGCATGACGCCACGTGCTCCATCATTGGTGACGGCAGCAGCAGCTGCAGCTAGCAGCTAGCACGGGCGGCATCATAAGCATCCATGTGGGCGACAAAGCCTTCCTGGCCCACACGGCCCTGCTAGCAGCCCGCTGCGAGTACCGTAGTACCTCAGGCGCGGCGACTGGAGGGTGGCTTTGAGGCGGGCGTCCGCAGCAGCAGCAGCAGTGACAGCGGCAGCAGTGACAGCGGCAGCAGTGACAGCGGCAGCAGTGACAGCGGCAGCAGTGACAGCGGCAGCAGTGACAGCGGCAGCAGTGACAGCGGCAGCAGTGACAGCGGCAGCAGTGACAGCGGCAGCAGTGACAGCGGCAGCAGTGACAGCGGCAGCAGTGACAGCGGCGCAGTGACAGCGGCAGCAGTGACAGCGGCAGCAGTGACAGCAGAAGCGACCCACATGGGCCACGCGAGCTCGCACCCACTCCAATGCCGACCCAGATGCCCTCACTCGACTGCTGGTCTACAGTCGCGGCCAGTTTTCTTAACACACTGCTGCGGTCCGCGGGGGGGCTCCCCGGGCGCCTACTGTGGAGCCCGTGCAGGAGGCGGTCTCCCTGATATGAGGCTCCTGGTCGCGTGATGTGTGCCGGGAAGGGCTCTGGAAGGATTCAGGAAGGATTCTGGTGAACCTTGAGTGGGCACATCAGCACAGCGTGGCAGGGCTCAGATTGTACTTTGTACGGCATTCCAATACGGTCATGGCGGCGATGGGGGTGGGGGAGGTTTCGGAGCAGCAGCGGAAGTGGCAGCTGGAGCAGCTCGCGGTGAGCAGGCCGGGCCTCATGGCGCGGCTGATGTATGCGGGCAGTGAGCGGGCAGAAGTAGAGTAGGAAGCGGCAACGGCGCGGGAGAAGGGGATTGCCGGAAAGAATGCGGAGGAGCAGTCCCAGGGCATAAACCGTGTGCAGGTTGTCTAGCTGAGTGCCGGTATTGCAGTTGGACATTGCCGTACTGTGACGTGCCTGGTGTTCACATTGTTCACTTAAGAGGGGGAGCAAGCTTGGACGACGCCTTGGCGAAGGTCAAGATTCGGGGTTATGCGTTTGCAGAATGTTATGTTACATCCTAGGGTTTGATGAAACGTGGGGAACATGATTGGACGGTACGGACTGCTTGGTGGTTGACGGGAAAGGATTTTGCCGTTAGGGCCGCGTGACTGGAACATGGCAAGCTCGGTAGTACTATGTTTTTGGCGTTGTTTGTGCTTGATCTTATATATAGCGATGTTGAGCTTGCACAGCAGCGCGGCAGGTGAAAATAGCCATTTAGAGTGAACCACGGAAAACACATACTTATGCGCCTGTATCTCCTTGCTTCAACAGATTACGTTAGCATGTTACCAGCTATAAAGGTTGGGACTCGCACGCTTGTTAATCATTAATACAAGCACCGGTAGTTCCCCAGGAAGGACTGAAACAATGGGAAGCGATAGTCTACTGGTTGAACAGCTTCAGGCGTCGACCGCGGTGCAGCATGCTTTGGCAGGCTGCTTCCTACAACCCGGCCTGGATGGTCACTCTGGGCCCAAGCAGCTGATCGTGAACTGTGGCGATTATCTGCAGCTATGGGAGATCGTGGATGGATCGGTCGAATTCCAGCAAAATTTCCACTTGTTTGAGCGCGTTGAGCACATCGACTTGGTCCCATCATCCCTGCAACTCTTCGGCCCAGACAGCACGGATGCCCTTCTTGTCTTCACCTTCGATGGACGTTGTGCTCTTTTTCGACTGCTCCCGCAGCCACAGCCACAGCAATACCAGCAACGGAAACCAACCGCAATCCATGCGGTCAATGGGCGCCGTGATTTGGTGCTCACGGAAGCTGCCTGCCTGGCGTTGCCTCTACCAAACCTGCGTGCAGCCCTTCTACCAAAGCGTTTGGAGGGTGTCTGCAGCAGCGGCATTGCGCCTGTGGCTCGCCGCATCGCCGCTGCCACAGGCGCACGTGGTGTTGTGGTGGCAGCAATCCACATGGACCTTCTCCACGTGATCACACTCCACGCGGCGCCCTCGGAGGGCGAACATCCGCTGCTGCTGTGCACGGCAGTTCCCATAGCAGACACGCCGCTGTACGGCATGCCACCTGGTGAGGAGTGACGTACATGGCACATGCGCGGTACATGCTTGCTGAGGAGCGAAACGTGCATGCATCCTTTTGTGGGCGCCGTATACGGAAGGAGGAAGCGGGATACGTACAGATGGGCTTTTCCGCCATCGATTTTAGGAGGACAGGTTGGTAAGATTATGAGGGTTGAAAAGGGGGCCGGGCGGTAGGTTAGTGGTATGCGTTAGCGCACGTCTGAAGCCCAGATGAGACCTCTTCGTGCTGCACGCTGTGCTCCCTTCCTCCCTCACACGCTTACCTCTCCTCCCAGCGCAGGCCTGCACATGCTGCACACCGCGGGACCCCGCCCCTGGAGCCGACCCCTGGACTGCGGCCTGGAGGTCCTGCCGCTGCCCAACGCGGCGGTTGCAGCGGCTGTCGTACCGAGTGTACAGCGCTATCTGCCGTACGACACTAGCTCTGCTGCTGTTGCTACTACTACTGTTGAGAAGGGGAAGAAGGAACAGATTGAGCCCGAGGAGGAGGAGGAGGATTACAGCGGGCTGTTGTTCGTGGGTAGCAGCAGCAGTAACAGTCAGGTGCTGGCGGTGCCGGCCGCATGCACATCGCCTGCATGCCGGCCTGCTGCTGCTGCTGCTGCTGCTGCTGCCGCCGCTACCTCCGGTCAACCCTCTGCTGCCGCCCCTTCCACGCGCCCCGCCCGCTCCCCGCTGCGGTGGCCGCTGGCGGAGGTGGCGGCCATCAAGAGCCTGGGACCCGTGATGGATGCGGTGGTGGTGCCGGATGCGGAGGGTGGGTGGAGCACCGTACTAGAGGGGGTGGGAAGCAGAAGAGTGTCGTACACAATTGGGAAGGAGAGGGGAGTGGGGGCTCCGGTGTGGGTCTTGTGGCGGTGGTGCCTGTTTGCACGCTGCTTCCTCTGCCACACGGGTGCCTAGAGGCCCTGGTAGGCAAGGGCGACGAGGGTACTGGTGGTGGCCACATGGGCCCCTGAGGGGCGCCTTGTGGCCCCCCCCACCCCCCCAGCAGGTCCCTCCGGTCTCATGTGCCTCCCAAGCCCCAACACCTTTCTTCCCTGTTCACCCCATCCATGCGTATCTCATCTCTCCCTCTCTCTCCGCCCCCAGCAGGCTGCGACGACCCCTGGCTGGTGGCGAGTTGCGGCCACGGACCCGTGGGTCGGCTGATCCGCGGCAGGATGGCGGCGGGGCTGCAGCCGTACATGGAGGAGGGGCCACAAGTGCCGGTGAGGGGCCGGGACCGGGGGGTTTCGCGGGCTGCTGACGCGCTGAGGGCGGGCAGGGTACGGCAATTGTACAGTCGACATGGATTACATGGGGTGAGGTGGGGGCGGTCTGAACCAGAAGTCCGTTCCTTGCGGTCTCCCGCAAGGGAGGGTGCTATCATGTTCTGAAGCATCCTGGGGCATCCCTACCTTCCACTCTCCAAGCAGCTCGGCTGTCGGCTTCTTCACAGCTCGCCTGCCCGACACGTTTATCACAGCTCGCCTGCCCGACACATGTATTACAGCTCGCCTGCCGTACATGTTCGTCACAGCGCCTGCCGTACATGTTCATCACAGCGCCTGCCGTACATATTCATTGTCGTCGTACAACCTTCCGTATCTCCCTCCTCTGATCCCAACCCGCCTCGCCTCTCATCACGCGCCCGTCTCCCATCCCTCGTCCGTATTAGTCCATGCTATCAATTACGTCGCACGCCCACTACCTAGATGTTCAACAGAGTCAAGTCAAATAACAAGCTATAACACATCAAAGACATCCCTGCTACTGCACTTAACCAAACATTTGCGCAACAGTTCTTATTGTTCTCTATTCACCAACCCTCAATAATGTCGTGAAACCCCACCTTCCCTGCTTAGCGCACATACTTGCTGGTCCAGATGCAGAGCCTCAGCACCCCTCTGCTCCCGCCCTAGCAAACGTTCACATGTCCCCCGCAAGCCCCTCTGCTCCCGCCCTGCATGCCGCACGTACATGTGCGCTATCACCACAACGAACACAGCCCCTCATGAACTATACCAGACCCGTAGGCAGTGCAGGTGACGCCCCAGCTTTCACCTCTTCTGGTTATCCAGGAAGAGCATCCAAGCACCAGTTAATTCACCAAGCGAAATCCGGGATTGCTCAGAGCCGCTTAATGCTCTCCAAGCCGTCATATTCGCGGATACTCCAGCCCGCGTAATGTGGGACATATGCGATCTGCATTGTGCAGTGCCTGGTGCTACCGAACAGAAGGCCCATCAGCTTGTCTGCCTCTAAGGAGGAGGAAGGGGAGGAGGATGTGGTGTCCGCTGCTGCTGGTGCCGTCGGCAGTGGCTGCGGGGCCGGCACCGGTGGCAGGGTGTCCGGATGCCTCATCAGGAACGCCATGGCGTGCTGGTCCACGTGCTTCTGGTGCTTCCACATCAGCCAGGGAGTGGTCGAGCCAGAGTAGGCCTCGTAGGGCTTGGCGAAACCCCACCGATAACCCCACTCCTTTTCCCTGTTGCTATCAGCTCTGCTCATCTCTAAGGCCTCCTTGCTCTCCTCTGAGTCCCGGGCAATGAGCTCCAGCAAGTCGGGGGTCAGGTAGGAGTGCCGCACCAGCAGGGCCTGGAAGACCTCCTCGGCTTTCTTGTCCTCACTCGTAATGACCTCCTCACACTTGGCCAGCAGGCTGTCCTTCGTGTACTCTCTGAGATCAGAACTGCGGTCACCACACTGAACCATGTATCCAGATGGGTCGGTCTTTTCGCCAAAGTTGTCGAGGGTATCATCCAGGCCAGTGACGTCGGCCAAGGTAGCGCGAGCTTGCGATGCATTGCTGCGGGCCCAGGTCAACATGGAAGCGCGCCTGAAAACAGAGTCAAGGTCGTAGTGCACGTAGGCCCGCAGCATTGCGGCTAGCTCTGGGTGGGTTGCAGCGCAATGCCGGCCAAAGCCGGTAATATGCTCTGCCACCATCACGCGGTCGATGCCGAAGTCAGAATCTTGGCTTTCGGAGCCATCATCATCGTCACGCGCTTCCGCAACTGATGACATGTAGCCTTCGAGTTCGCGGCTAACTCTAAAGCCACCGCCATGGCTTCTGCAGTAAGCAACTCCAACATCGGGCAAGCCCTTCGACGCCTCTTCCATTGCTGCGCGAATCTCCTTTAACAATATTGCATGTGAGTGTCCTTGTTGGGTCACAAGCTCCTTTGCCAATTGCCTAAATGCCTCAACTTTGGGGCTGCGGGCAACAGGGCTCGAAGACGCCATATCGATACGCAAAATAGATTGAAGATACACAGTATTAGAGTTTATAGTCCTATGACTGATATAGAAGTTCAATGCAGCTAGTATCGATAATAAGTTTTAACCTCTAAAATACCAAGAAAGGAAGCAGCGCCAAGCCTTGGTTGTTTTTGGGATACACCAGTAAGCTAGAATGCGAAGGTTACAAGTGGGACCGGAGCTCCTGGAGGCTAGGCGGCGGACTAGTATGGAACACGTGTACGGACGGAAGGACTACGGGCCTTTCGGTTGAACCTCGGATCCGCCGTACAAGTGAAGGCGTCCATGGCTTAAAACCCCAACATGACCTGGTTCTTGAGCCCCGCTGGACGGAGTCGTTTTGGCTTTGGTATGAAAGTCACTGTTGCGTTGGTCGCACCCCGTCGCGAAGCCGCATCTTGGGGCGTTATTAGCCCAACTTACCTGAGCGGGCGCAGTACACAATTCAGACAAAACTCATGTAACGATTTGCAGGTATTGGGTTTTACTTATCACGGTCATTTACCTCGTGACCTGTTGTGACATCGAAACAAGTATAGTCATACTGCACCAACGTTTGGCCAGCCGCTGAGAAGAACCACCGTAACTGAATTAAAATTAGCATTACGAGGCCTAACGATGCCGCGAGAGCGCTAATCGCGAGACAGTTGGAACGGTTGGAACAGTCGGTGGCCAATTGGGAAGGGGGTCGCATGGGGGAGCTACGCCTTGTCCAGCTTGGCGCCTACCGTTTTGAGCAAGGGGCTGTTACGGGGCACCACTGAGTGACACACATAGAAGTATAGCGTATGATTGGTGGCTAGTAGTATGCTGCCTGGCACAAATCGATTGAGTTCGTTACAGGACCGCGGGGGGTTCACGAGCTGCCGAGCGCTGCTGTCAAGGGTGGGGTAGGGACCTGCATTCATTCTCAGCAGGGGAGCGGACTCATGCCCTGCATGTGCACACCCCACCCCTCTCTCCCTCACCTCCTCGCCTTCACCCTCCTCCTCATCTTCCTCATCCTCGTACTCCTCCTCTTCCTCCTCCCCGCCCTCATCCTCCTCAGCTCCCTCCTCCTCAGCTCCAGCCGCCGCTTCCTCCCCCTGCTCCTCCCGCACCGCCTCCCCCCTCGCCTCCCGCACCGCCGCTGCCACCAACGCATCCTCGCCAGGGGGCGAACTGAGCACCTATGTCACCCGCGTCCTCATCGCCCAGGCCTGCATGGAGGAGGGGTGGTGGAGGGGGGTTTGGGGAGGGGGCCGGGTTGGGGGAGCAGCGAGAGCACGGGAGGTGCGGGTGGGGAGCAGCGAGAGCACGGGAGGTGCGGGTGGGGAGCAGCGAGAGCACGGGAGGTGCGGGTGGGGAGCAGCGAGAGCACGGGAGGTGCGGGTGGGGAGCAGCGAGAGCACGGGAGGTGCGGGTGGGGAGCAGCGAGAGCACGGGAGGTGCGGGTGGGGAGCAGAGAGAGCACGGGAGATGCGGGCGGGCAGCAAGCGGTGCAACCCAACCAGGCGCCCATCTGGGTCGCTTGTTAACAACCCCACCCTCCCTCCTCTCCAACCCCCCACGGATTTCCCATCAGGGCCTAGCTATTACACCACACATTGGATATTCTTCTTTTCCCTCCCTGACCACCCGCACCCTCCCTTCCCCACCCATCGCAGGCATTTTCAGGCATCGCGGAGCTTCGTCGGACGGCTACGGGGATTTTTTCAACAAACTTGCACAACTGTTTTCAACCCCGGTTGGGGCTCCCTATTTGCTCAGGGATTCACCCAGGGGGGACATGCCCGTGATCCAATGTAATGCACCAGCCTTCCAACTTTGTCCACCGCTCAAGACCTCCCCAGGCATCTTCCCCGCCTTCATGCATCCCCCATCAGCCACTACCTGCCTAGTCATCCTGCTACGTGTCTCTAACCTCCCCTTCCCATTTCCCAGCTCCTGCACCCTAGGCGGTCCCCATCCCTGCTGACCCCTAGGCTTAGTAGTGATGTGGGGATCCGGGACCGGACCGCACACTGCTGCCATCCCTGTCTTCCTGTCACACCCCCTCTCACCTCTCTTGTCCCCTTCCGCCCATTCCTGTCCCCATGCGCCCCATGACTTGTCGTATTCCGCATCCCGCACAACTACTAATTTTGACCCTCCCCACTTATTCTTCCTTTCCGTTGCCGCGCCGCCGTGTCCATAGGAAACCCTACCACACCATCATCGCATGTTTCTCGTTTCCCGTCTCGCCTCCTGACTGTTCCTCACCACCTCATTAACGCGCCCTGCCTCTCTTCCTTCCCTATTTTTCCGCATATTGACCACCTCTTCCTACTGGACACTGGAACCCTGGTGCGGCTCTGTTGGTCTGCGCCTCCACTCCATCGGACCATGGAAAATGGCCTTCCCTCTCCAGGTAAGTTTCCCGTAACGCGTCTCGATAACATGTATGCTCGTATACCCCATATGCGTGTTGCTTTGCTTTTCGTGACCGGCGGCGCGGCGCATGTCTCCCTAGTGTTACCACGCAAGGCGGCTTCTTCCTCAAGTCGTCTCGGTTTCCGGTAAGCAACGATTCGGTAAGTAATTTGAGATGCGTGTTATTAGTGCCTCCGAATGCGCTCACTGCATGAGTCGGGATATGGGATTGGGACTTAGTTGTTTGCATTTCTTATATAATTTTCCCTTCCCCACCCCCCTCCCACCTAGCGGCCTGAACTGCCCCGCGCCCATCCTCCTCAGCTGCGCCTCCACCCGCAGCGCCACCGCATTGTAGCTGCCCTCGTACTGGCTGTTGCCGCAGCCCCACACCGCCACACGCAACCCCGACAGCGCTCCGGCACCCAGCCGGAAGTCCGTGGAGGCGTCATCCAGCCAGCTGGAACACGTGTACGGACGGAAGGACTACGGGCCTTTCGGTTGAACCTCGGATCCGCCGTACAAGTGAAGGCGTCCATGGCTTAAAACCCCAACATGACCTGGTTCTTGAGCCCCGCTGGACGGAGTCGTTTTGGCTTTGGTATGAAAGTCACTGTTGCGTTGGTCGCACCCCGTCGCGAAGCCGCATCTTGGGGCGTTATTAGCCCAACTTACCTGAGCGGGCGCAGTACACAATTCAGACAAAACTCATGTAACGATTTGCAGGTATTGGGTTTTACTTATCACGGTCATTTACCTCGTGACCTGTTGTGACATCGAAACAAGTATAGTCATACTGCACCAACGTTTGGCCAGCCGCTGAGAAGAACCACCGTAACTGAATTAAAATTAGCATTACGAGGCCTAACGATGCCGCGAGAGCGCTAATCGCGAGACAGTTGGAACGGTTGGAACAGTCGGTGGCCAATTGGGAAGGGGGTCGCATGGGGGAGCTACGCCTTGTCCAGCTTGGCGCCTACCGTTTTGAGCAAGGGGCTGTTACGGGGCACCACTGAGTGACACACATAGAAGTATAGCGTATGATTGGTGGCTAGTAGTATGCTGCCTGGCACAAATCGATTGAGTTCGTTACAGGACCGCGGGGGGTTCACGAGCTGCCGAGCGCTGCTGTCAAGGGTGGGGTAGGGACCTGCATTCATTCTCAGCAGGGGAGCGGAGAACTACCTGACGAGTGGAGTGGCCTTATGATGAACGAGTGTTCCCGCAAGGGAGGGCTACATTGTTGGAGACAGTCGGAGACACCCTAATGTACAAAAATGCAATTCGAAGACCTACCGAATGCCTGCGTACCAGAAACCGTGGCGACTTGCGGAAGGGGGGTTGCATCCTTCTTTCCTCTCCAAGCGTCCCTGCTGTCGGCTTCTCTCCATACCTCGCCTGCCCTACTCACCTTCGCCAAACTTTGCCATGCAACCCTTGCAGCCCTCAGCCCTCGTCTGACCCCAAACCCCACCCAACCCCGCCTCCTCTCGCCTCCTCTCGCCTTCCCTCCGCCCCTCCCTCCTTCCACCTGCAGGACGGATGCCGCCTATTCGCACTCCGACTTGGTGCATCCGCCGCTGCGCCGCCCTCCTCCTCCTCTTCCACCACCTCCCTCCCGACCTCCTCCTCCTCCTCCGGCCTGCGCTCGCACACGCATGTGGGGTTCAGCTTCGATGCCGCCTGCCGCACCGACCTGCTGTGTGTGGCGGGAGGAGCGGGGGGAGAGTTCACACAGGTGGGGGGCGGGGGATGAGGGGGGTTTCTTCACGATAGGCTAGGGGGGGGCAACGATTGCATCTTTGGTTGGAGTGAGGGAGGCAGTGCTGTACCGCGTGTGTGGATGGCTACCCAACCACCTTCCTGACCACCTTCCAAACCGCCTACCCAATCACCTTCCTAACCACCTTCCCAACCGCCTACCCAATCACCTTCCTAACCACCTACCACCTAACCGCCTGCCAACCGCCCGCAGGTCGAGCTGCCGGGACTGGACCACGGGTCCGCCTCGTTGCTGCTGGCTGACGTGGCGGCGGCGGCGGATGGGGATGACAGTTGTGGTGCAGCAGCAGGGGCAGGGGTGGTGGGGGGATCGCGGCTGGTGCAGGCGACACAGGTGTGTGTGTTTGGAGCGGTGTGTTCGGAGGGGATAAGATGCGTGGCGGTGCTGTGCTGGGGGGGGGGATGCCGTGCAGAGGGGATGGGGGCAGGGTCGCAACTCGGGGCATGTTGATAGAGGAGCTTATGGGGGGGTATTGGGTTGCTGGTCGCTCTCCTTTGGTCGCTCCGTAACCTGATCGCCCCCACCACCACCTGCTCCTCTCCCCTCCTGTCTCAGTTTCCCCCCTCCCCTCCCATCCCATCCCATCCCCTCGTCCTCTCCCTTCCTTCCCCCTCCCCTTGCTTCATTCAATTATTCGTTCCCCCCGCCCCTCCCCCCCCACCTGCAGTCCCTCCGCCACCGCCTCCGCCCGCACGCCCGGCACCCCCGCGTACTCGCGCACCATGCGCCGGTGAGCCGCCAGCGCTCCCTCCACAATCACCTCGGGCGCATCCATGGCCCACTTCCAGTTCTGGGGGGGTAGGGGGGGAAGGGAGGGGGAAAGGGGTGTGGGGTGTGTATTTAGAGGGGCAGTGGGGGGGGGTGTTTGGAGGGGCAGTGGGGTGTGCGTTGTGAGGGGCAGTGGCGACAGAGGCAAGTGGGGGGGGTGTTGCGTTGGCAGAGCACGCCCTCCGTCCCCCTCCACCCCCTTCACCAGCGTCCCCCGCATCACCTTCCCCCTTTCCCACTCCCGAAGAGAGGACCCCAAGGCTCCACCTCATTTTCTTTACCCCACCCGTCTCCCCTCTTCCCCTCCCCTCCACTCTCCCCCTGACTGCATGAGTCGGGATTTGGGGTTGGATCTCCGTTGCTGCATTTACCTTTCATTTCCCCCCCCCTTCCCTCTCCACCCCTCCCTGGATTGTCAGCAACTTGTATCATTATCATACCACACTTTGGAATTTCTTTTTTCCCCCCCTCATCTTCCCCACGGGGTTGGAGTGGTGGCGCCCTCCCTCTCCCACCCCCCCTCACCTTCCCCACGGGGTTGGAGTGGTGGCGCCCTCCCTCTCCCACCCCCCCCTCACCTTCCCCACGGGGTTGGAGTGGTGGCGCCCTCCCTCTCCCACCCCCCCCTCACCTTTCCCACGGGGTTGGAGTGGTGGCGCCAGCAAAACACACACTTGTTGGCACACGCCAGCGAGGGGGTGGCCTCCATGCAGCGGTGCGAGCGGATGCCGTAGAAGGCGTGTTTGTAGCAGCCCCCCCGCCCGCGTAGCATGGACTTGGTCCACCGACACAGCTTCACGCCGCTGTGGCTGCCGATCAGCTTGTAGCCCTGGCGGGGTGGGGGTGGGGTGGGGTGGGGTGGGTCCAAAACCGGGGGGGGGAAGAGAGATGGAGGGTTGGGAGAACGGGGCGCTGTTCCGGGGCACCCTCCTCAGCATGGCCTCGGACACGGCAAGCCAGCCCCCTAGCATGGCAGGCAGGCTCATTCAAACCCCATCACCCTCTTCCAGCAGTCACAGTACGTTCAGACTCGCGACCAGGCTTCTTAACACGCACGCCCACCCCCATTCCTAATTTATTCCCCCCTCCCAACCCCCTCCCTACCTGCTTCGTGAGGCTGTTGCGAATGATCGGGTTGACCATCTCCGGAGGGCCGCCACCGGGGCTCGCAGCAGCAGCAGCAGCAGTGGCGGGGGCGGCATCAGCACCCCCAGCCGCCGCTCCCTGTCGCCCCCTGCGCGGCCCCGCACCGCCCAGGTCCTCCATGTCCATCTGGCAGCAGGCAGGGCAGGGCGGGCAGGGGTAGGCAGGGCGGGCAGGGGTAGGCAGGCAGGGCAGGGGCAGGCAGGTAGTGTTATAGCAGGTGGACAGGCAGGCTGGAGGTGCTTGGGGTATGGGGTAAAGGAATGGGGTAAGCAAACAAACGCAGTACCCAGCCGCATGCCCTGCCCGCAGCACCATGCAGCCACATGCGGAGCGGGCGAGATTCATTGCGTGTTTCACGCCGACTCATGCCCTGCATGTGCACACCCCACCCCTCTCTCCCTCACCTCCTCGCCTTCACCCTCCTCCTCATCTTCCTCATCCTCGTACTCCTCCTCTTCCTCCTCCCCGCCCTCATCCTCCTCAGCTCCCTCCTCCTCAGCTCCAGCCGCCGCTTCCTCCCCCTGCTCCTCCCGCACCGCCTCCCCCCTCGCCTCCCGCACCGCCGCTGCCACCAACGCATCGCGCCAGGGGGCGAACTGAGCACCTATGTCACCCGCGTCCTCATCGCCCAGGCCTGCATGGAGGAGGGGTGGTGGAGGGGGGTTTGGGGAGGGGGCCGGGTTGGGGGAGCAGCGAGAGCACGGGAGGTGCGGGTGGGGAGCAGCGAGAGCACGGGAGGTGCGGGTGGGGAGCAGCGAGAGCACGGGAGGTGCGGGTGGGGAGCAGCGAGAGCACGGGAGGTGCGGGTGGGGAGCAGCGAGAGCACGGGAGGTGCGGGTGGGGAGCAGCGAGAGCACGGGAGGTGCGGGTGGGGAGCAGCGAGAGCACGGGAGGTGCGGGTGGGGAGCAGCGAGAGCACGGGAGGTGCGGGTGGGGAGCAGCGAGAGCACGGGAGGTGCGGGTGGGGAGCAGGCGGTGTAATCCAACCAGGCCACCTAAACGCCCATGCCGACCATCTGGGTCGCTTGTTAACAACCCACCCTCCCTCCTCTCCAACCCCCCACGGATTTCCCATCAGGGCCTAGCTATTACACCACACATTGGATATTCTTCTTTTCCCTCCCTGACCACCCGCACCCTCCCTTCCCCACCCCCCTCCCACCTAGCGGCCTGAACTGCCCCGCGCCCATCCTCCTCAGCTGCGCCTCCACCCGCAGCGCCACCGCATTGTAGCTGCCCTCGTACTGGCTGTTGCCGCAGCCCCACACCGCCACACGCAACCCCGACAGCGCTCCGGCACCCAGCCGGAAGTCCGTGGAGGCGTCATCCAGCCAGCTGGGGTGGAAGGGGAGGGGAGCGGAGGGGAGGGAGAGAAGCGGAGGGAAGCGGAGGGAGGGGGTTAGGCCACCAGACAATGGCATGCTGGTGAATGCCATGGGGGCAGCGCTTGGTAAAAGCCCCTGGTGATTGGGTACAAGTTTAGGAAGGGAGGGAGGGAGCCCCCCTCCGAACGAGGGTCTCTGCTTCACTCATGGCATTCCCTGTGGTGTCGCCCCCCCCCAGCCCCCTCCCCCCAAACCCCCAGCCCCAACCCCAGCACCACCCCACCTGCAAAAGAACCTGGCTCCCTGCGGCGGTGTGCCACCTCGTAGGTGCTCACCAGCACCACCACCACCACTCCGCCACCACCCGCCCCACCACTCCCAGCAGCAGCCTCCGACAGCAGCTGCTCTGGCTCGTACGACGCTAGGTCAGCAACCGACACAACCGCCGCCGCTGGCGGCACTGCTGCGGGGAGTGCTGCTGTTGCTGCTGCCTGCTGCTGCTGCTGCCCTTGCTGTTTGCAGCAGGTGTGGTTGCTGGTGGTGGTGGTGGTGGCGGTATTGCTGGTGACGTTGGGGTTGCGACAGCATGAGTCATCCTTGCCTTCCGTACTGCTGTCGCCTACGTCGCCGCCTCTACAGCAGTAGCCGGTAGCACTGCTGCTGCTGCCTCCCTCCTCGGCTGCACCGCTGCTCTTTCCGCAGCAAGCTGTTGCAGTGTTGGTATCAGCATCAGCAGCAGCATTAGCAGCAGGGGAGATGGGCGAGGTCGATGATGGAGGGGGTGAGGCCAGGGCTTGGGAGAGGCGCTGACCCAGATCGAGGGCTAGCTGCTTGGAGGTGCCCTGAGCACTGCCGTACAAGACCTTGATGGTCAGGGGGGCAGCAGCAGCGGTGGTGGTGGTGGTGGTGGGGGCTGAGGCGGTGGTGGGGGTTGTGGTGGAGGCTGCGTGGGTGGTGGCGGTAGGGAGCTGCTCTTGTTGCTGGCGGGGGTTGGCGGCTGGGGAAGGGGCGGTTGCCTGACGGGGGTGAAGAAACGAGGTGTGAGAGGCGAAGGAAAGCCGCGGGGATTGAGGTTTGTATATAGGCCGGTATTTCAAGGGACGGGAGGCCAGGCAGGTGCTACATGTAAGGCGCGGGGGTTCACGCTGGGTCGCGAGGATGGCCAGAAAGAAGGTTGTGCAGGCTACTGCCGCGACCACCTATTGTAGTTGAAAGGACGGCATCTTAGCCGGCCTTATGCTTACGAAAGTCATGGTCCTCGACCTTACGTTGACAACAACACACCTGGCAACATTCAGTCGTTAGGTTACCGCCGCCGCAGCAACCCTTGGGCGCCGCCGGTGCAGCATCCAAAGGAATGCTTTCAGGATTGTTACCATATTCTGATAGCCGTTGACTTGCTTTGGTTGATGAAGCGCGTGAATTCAAATTGCGCCATATGTACAGGAAAGCAGCCGCCAGGCCTAGCAACCAGGATGTCTTTACAAACAAGGATAGCAGGCTAAGTAGATCCATTGCAACTGTCGGGGACTTCGGGAGCAGACGACCAATTAACTCTATTTGGCCATCCTGTTATCTATTGTCAGACAGGAAGGCCAATGTGAAACACAGCACTTACGTTACCCTATGCAGCGGTTACATCCACTTGGCAAAGCGATACCCCAGGCCAGCCAACCACTGCTGTACAGTCGTAGTAATGATGGTCTGTGGAAGCAGGAACGTGGCTGCCTGCCACGCAGGGCGACGGTTATTAAGTGCTGGATAACATTTGTAAAGTTATCTGGCACAAACGTTGCAAGGCTGACTATGAAGCAAACCACATCGCATATCGAGCTTACGTATACCGTGCAGCGCAGGACACACTTGTAGTTGCACTCGTTTGATGCCTTTTTACTTCGAAATGTTTTGAGCTCGAGGTTGGTGAGCCGGCTGTCGATGTAATCCGACCGCACAGCGACGGCAATGGTAGCCTTTGATCCCTCCTTTTTCTGTCGTAGTACATTTCCCAAGCATTTTAGCTTGGGATGGGGACAAGGGCTATATTGCTTCTCATACCGGTACCAAGCCGGAAGTGAATACCGTATTTACTTGATTACCTGCGCCCGGCATGGTTGCTATCTGCCGTCTGCATGATGCACAGATATTTGACGCTACCTATGATTTGGTTGACCGTGAAAGTGGTTGCCAAGAAGAGAACACGGGTGATGAACCAAGCCCTACACTGCAGGACAATCGGATTTAACCGCAGAACAAACCCACAAAAGGTGACCAGAACACAAACATCTGGCGACACCCTGCACCACGGAAGCAAATTGGCTGCTAGTACGGCGGCAATGTCCAGCAGCAGTCAAGCTGCCCCAACCAGGCTACTTCCTAGGGGAGATGGACAATCCGGCAGCTTCCAGATAATCCTGATCCACGCTGTCGAGCAAGCCACTGTGCAAGCTTTGGCGCTCGTTGCCCCTGCTGACTACAAAGCCACCAGCTGCCATCAGACTATCAGTGTTTTGCTGCTGCACACATGGGACACTTCCACGCAACACTTCTTAACTCTCCTGTCCACGCTACCCATCCAGGATACTGGTAACAATCCACAATTCACACACCTGTGCTATCTCATTAAGTCTCCAAAACGTCAGGCATACCTACCAGTTACGTGGGTTTAACAACTAACAACACTTCGTACCCTCTGCGAACATACCCGTCCCTCATCAGTTGTAAAAATGAAGCTTGTACCCTCAGTTTCCACCTCTCCTGGCAATCCAGGATGAGTTACCACCGTAGGGATTTACCCTGTGTGGAATCCGCAACAGCTCAGAGCCGAACGACACTCTCCTTGCCATCATATTCGTCGATTTGCCAGCCTCCGAGACGCGGAACACGTGCAGTCCGCAACTTGCAGGACGGGGTGCTGCCAAACAGCATCCCCATCAGCATATCTACCCTCTTTGAGGAGGTAGAGGAAGGGGAGGAGGATGTGGTGTCCGCTGCTGCTGGTGCCGTCGGCAGTGGCTGCAGGGCCGGCACCGGTGGCAGGGCGTCCGGATGCCTCATCAGGAACGCCATGGCGTGCTTGTTCACTTGCTTCTGGTGCTTCCACATCAGCCAGGGAGTGGTCGAGCTAGAGTAGGCCTCGTAGGGCTTAGCGAACTCCCACGGATTACCCCACTCCTTTTCCCTGTTGCTATCGGCGCTGCTCCTCTCTAAGGCCTCCTTGCTCTCCTCGTAGTCCCGGGCCATGAGCTCCAACAGGTCGGGGGTCAGGTAGGAGTGCTGCTCCAGCAGGGCCTGGAAGACCTCCTCGGCTTTCTTGTCCTCACTCGTGATGACCTCCTCACACTTGGCCAGCAGGCTGTCCTTCGTGTACTCTCTGAGACCAGAACTGTGGTCATCACACTGAACCATGTAAGCAGGTGGGTCGGTATTTTCGCCAAAGTTATCGAGGGTATCATCCAGGCCAGTGACGTCGGCCAAGGTAGCGCGAGCTTGCGATGCACTGCTGCGGGCCCAGGTCAAATTGAAAACGCTGTTGAAAACAGCGTCAAGGTCGTATTGCACGTAGGCCCGCAGCAGTGCCGCCAGGTCTGGATGGGTTGCAGCGCAATGCCGGCCAAAGCCGGGAATGCATGCTGCCACCATCACGCGCCAGTTGCTCACGTGGAAGCCTATTGAGCCATCAGCGTCGGTATTCGCTTCCTTAGCTGTTTCCATGTAGTTGCAGAAATCATCGCTAAGTTCGAAGCCACCGCCATAGCTTCCGCAGTAAGCAACCGTGACATCGGGCAAGCCCTTCGACGCCTCCTCCAGTACTTTACTAATCTCCCTTGACAAAGTAGTGTGCGAATGGTTTTCCAGGGTCACGAGCTCCTCGATCAATTTCCTAAAAGCCTCAAGTCTAGGGCTGGGGGCAGCAGGGCTCGACGACATTAGACGAAAAGTTGCAGTCTTACAACCACATTCAGTCACGGTATATTCCAGTGCAAGGCATCTGAAGGTAGTTTACTAAAGATTACGCTTTAAGGCAAGTACCAAGGAAGCAGCTCCAGGTAATGACTGTTTCTGTGTACTAATGCAAGCTATGCGAGGATGGCTCGAACATGCATATGGGCGAAAGGGCCATTGGCCCGCCCGGCCGGGCTAAATATTAAACCCTCCGCCGTACTGGTGAAGGAAAAGTAGTTCTCAGCATGGCCCTGTCCTCATGAGCCCCGATCAGCCAGCAATTAAAACGTGGATTTTGTGGTTAATCCTTCAAATTCAACGCCAGCATGTTTTACGTTACTTTTACGTAATACGTGGACCATGCAGAGTCTGCCTTGAGCTCCCTGCTATAGTAATACTGCAGACGATGATGGTAACTATTCCAAAGCAATAGTATTTCGAGGCGGTTAAGAGGAATGGTTGCGACGGGGATAGTGCTGGGCGTGTGAGAGGTGGAATGGGTTACTGCCGGTTCGGGTTGCCGTGGCCAATTGAGAAGGGGTTCGCATGCCTCGCTATACAGTGCTCGCCATGCGGTCCCGTTCCCGGGCCTTCTACATTGTCCAGCTGAACGCCTACCTTTCCTTGAGCGGGGGGGTGTCACCACCAACACTGACGCACCCAAACACCAAGCTTAATGTACCCCTCGTTGTTGCAAGTCATGTAGTGCCTGGTGCAGTTGTATGTATGTTGGGTCAGCGCAGCTGCAGATAGCAGCAAGCGCGGGCGGCATCATTAGCATCCATGTGGGCGACAAAACCTTCCTGGCCCACACGGCCCTGCTAGCAGGTCGTTGCGTACCGTAGTACCTCAGGTGCGGCGACTGGAGGGTGGCTTTGAGGCGGGCGTCCTCAGCAGCAGCAGCAGCAGCGACAGCAGCAGCAGCAGTGACAGTAGCGGCAGCAGTGTCAGCAGAAGCGACCCACATGAGCCACGCAAGCTCTCACCCACCCCAATGCCGACCCAGATGCCCCCACTCGACTGCTGGTCTACACGAACCAGACCACCACCTGGTCTACAGTCGCGGCCAGTTTTCTTAACACATTAGCACAGCGTGGCAGGGCTCAAATGCAAAATCTGTAGATGCGAAATCTGCAGATTTCGAAGGCACGCCTTTAACGTTTCGCCCGCAGGGGACTGGTGTACGACAAGAAAACCTGGGGCTCCAGAACCGCTATAGAAGGGTTGCAGCGAAGGACGCAGGAACAACCGTGATGTACGCTCTGACGTTAGCTGTAAAAACGTATGAAAAAAGCTATGTAAATAAAGGCTCCTTCGCGTCGGGCGACGTTCAGACTTCTGGGCTGAGCTTCGGACGTGAAATTGTCAAAGCTAAGGCTGCATTGTACTAGCTTATAGTTACTGGTTACGGACAAAAGCGGTGTAGGCGAAAAGCGTCCGCCGAAAGCGCAAAGGGGCGACGAATTCTAGTTGCGCTCTCAGAGACGTTCTGTGAGCGCGTGAAGCGCTTAGATGCATTAAGCTAGAACATTTTAAATATGTTTCCTTGAAGAGGACGGCGATGGCCTGTCACTTGAGTAGTGCATGCTTTCTGCATTTCCACGCCAAACTCATACTCGCCGCCTGCAATGCTTGCTAACGCGTTACTAGAATGATAGAGAAGCAGAACGGTGAGCCAAAGTGTGCACGTGCGGGCTGCACATGCGCCAAGCAGCTTCACGAACATGAAGGTCAGCACGTGCCCCGACCAAACCCGCGAGCGGCAGTGCAAGTAGTGTCACGCTCGATCCCAGCGTCTCCACCCTGCCCAGCAAACATCCATGTCTTCCCTGGCCTGCCAAGTACTGACGCCCATGTGGGCATGCGCCAGCCTGCCCAACCCATACACACGGCATTCCCGCTCTGCCCAAAGCCCATAATAACAGGCATGCAGGCATCCATGCTGTGCGCGTGCGGCCCCATGCGTGCTTGAGCTGCCAAGTGCAGGCTGGCATCATCGCCCCCCCTTTGACCTGCTGCATCCCGCCATCATTGCTTTACAAGCCAACCGCATGTGGTGGCTTGAGGTGACATACGCGAGCAAGGAGCACAGGTGCCACATGCCACAGGCAGCTCCATGAACGGGCAGGTCAGCAGGTGGCCTGGGGGCCCTGACTCTCTCTCCCAGTACAGCTTCCAAACGCGCAAGCATTCTGCTCACACCAAAGCGCCCATGCGTGCTGCCTCCCCCTCTCTACCCAACCACTGGCGTGCATGCATCTCCACCCTGCTGGAGTACGTACGCCCATGCATGCAGCGTTCCCCGCTTAGCCTGACAGCTGGCGCCCATACATACCCCCATGCACGCAGGCAATCAGTGCACCTACCCTGCCGGTGTCGGGAAGGGTTGCAGTGCATCTCGGGATGGTGCGTGCTACGGCAGCGCCTGTTTGGGTACACAACACCACCCTGTTCACTGGCCCCCGTGCATGCAACGCATTCACCCTGCATCCAGGCATCCCTGCTGAGTGCATCCCCGCCTGTGCCCAAACTGTGAAAGCACTCATGCATGCAGGCATCACAGTGGTTTCTGAAGACTCGAGCCCATGCGTGCCAGAAGGTGCATGCTGACATCCCCCCTGCCCAAATGCTGTGCGCATGCATCCTCGTGCGTGCTCAAGCTGCCAAGGGGCTAGCTTTCATTCGTGGAAGAACCTCTATACTTTATAAAGACGGGTGTCCATGTGTGGCATCTACGCCTTGCCCAAGCACAGCGCCCAAGCGTGCAAGCGTCCCTCCTCCCGAAATCACAGCGCTCATGCGTGCAGGGCAATCTCCACTTTGCCCAAGTACCAAGCACGTGTGCAGGCAGGCATCCCCGCCGTGCCCTGCTGTTCGTGCAGGCTACCCAACCCTTAACGGCCGAAACCCATACATTCGTGTAGGCAACTACCGGTACAAAGCACCCGTGCGTGCCGGCATGCTCGCACAGTTCAAGGTTTGTCAATACGACGATTGCCGCAAACACAGGTTGAGTGCAGCAAGAACATGCAAAACGACAGCATCGAGTGAACGCAGCGCGCAAGCAGCACAGATGTGGCATGCCGAAGGCATCCCATGAATGTCAACAGGTGCTCTAGCAAGACGGACCCCTCACGCTCTCCCACTACGGCTCTCAAACGCACAGGTATCCTGCCCATACCAAAGCGCCCACGCGTGCTGGCTCCCTGCTCTTCCCGACCACTGGCTTGCATGCATCTCCATCCTGCTGAAGTATGGGCTAAAGTATGTACACCCGTGCATGCAGCCTTCCCCGCTTTGCCTGACAGCTGGGCCCATGTACCAGTATGTAGACATCCCTGCACCCCCATGCACGCAGGCAAACAAGTATGCGTTGTGCCCCGTCCTGCCTGCGTTGTTCTGGCACCCATGCAAGCATGCATCCCTGCCCTGCCAAGTGCTGGTGTTCATGCGGCCCCAACCCAAGGTATCAGCGCCCGTGGGCGCACGCATTACCGCCCTGCTCACTAGCCCCTGTACACGCAGCATGCGCACCCTTCCTAGACGCCAGCGGGGACGGTGTCCCCACACTGGCCAACTGCGGGATGCAGGGCGTCCATGCATCTTCACCATGCTGAGGTAAGGGCTGAGTACGTCCACCCGTGCATGCAGCCTTTCCCGCTTTGGCTGACAGCTGGCGCCCATACATACCCCCATGCAAACAGGCTATCAGTGCACCTACCCTGCCGGCGCCGGGAAGGGGTGCAGTGTATCTCGCCCAGCCGGGACGGTGTGTGCTGGAGCAGGGCACAATTCATCTCGCCCAGCTGGGGATATGCATCCTCACCCTCTCCCGGTATGACCGCCCTTATGCACACACACACACGCCCAGCTCACGGGCCCTAGCGCGGGCATGCAGGCATCCCTGCCGCGTTCATCCCCGCCCGTGCTTATATTGCGAAAGGGCCAGTGCTCACGCGTGCAGGCATCATCACCCAAGACTACTTGCGCCCATGCGTGCCTTAAGGTGCAGACATCCCCCTGTCCACATCACAGCGCCACTACGTGCAGGTGTTATTGCCCATCCATACAGGCATCCGTGTCCTGCCCAACTTCCAAGCACCCGGGCGCGTAGGCATCACCGGGCGAATCACCGTCACTCATACACGCAGCATGCCCAGCCCTGTCCTGCCATAGCCCCCGTCCACGCAGCGTCCGCGCCCTTCCCAAAGGGCTTGCATATGCATGTAGGTATTCCTGCCCTGCTCAATTGAGCTCAGGCAACACAGGAACATCACGGGGAGGGGTGCACTGTATCTAGCCCAGCTGCCCAGGCAGGACTGTGTGTCATACAGCTACAGCTTAACGTAACTAGCCCAGCCGGGGCGCTTTGCATTCATGCACCGTCCCACCCTGGCCCGGCCCGCGCTTGGAAGCATAGGCGTATGCGCATTTCTTTTGTAAGATTCGGCTTCCTTTCATGCACATAGACGGGCTTAGCACCATGACCTTCTCTTCGACTCACCCCTATGCCTTTCGCTGCCCTGGTTCCCAAACACTTCATTATGCTAAGCGTGCCAGCAGATTTCGCCTTCTCACCCGACCAAAGGGAGGCTTGATTTTGAAGTCACGCGTTTAATATTTCGCCCAGGGACTGCTACTGTACGATGATAAATTTTAGCTCCGGAACCGTCCAGGAAGGATAGCACGAAACAAAGCGAAACCAATTGGAAACGTCGATGTATGGCAAGGGGTATGAACGTATGAAAAGAGCAACGCCACATACGAAGAGTATGTGGAGAACGACGTCGGAAGGTGCGTGCCGAGCTTTGGACACGACAGCAGGGAAGCTCACGACACACAATGCAAGGCCGAGTGTAGGCAATGTGGTTTAAGGCGGCGCGGAGGAAGGGCAGTACGCCGGAAACGTGAATGGGCAGGGAAGGCTTGTTACTGCCTGAGAAGCGGCACAGAGGAACGTGAAACACAAGAGAGCATTGTAGTATTGTACACCTGAATAGCACAAAGGTGTTATGTAACAACATTAACGGATGCGTGCTGGTGCACTCGTCATCCAAGCGCATGCTCACAACACTGACACGTTGCAAATGCTTTTTTCAATATTATGTCAACAAGAGCGGACGAGCATTACACGAAAACGAATAGTCGCACGGAGAGCTGGTCGCCGACGTCAGAGGTCATCAGGTCAAGCTCGGCAATGCCATTAGCTGAGAAGTGTGCACCTTGCGCTGCGAAGGCTTCCCACCCTAGTCCCCACAGCGCTGTCTGCTTTGGAACAGATCTGTCAGGACGCGACCTCCGCAATATGCACGAGGCTATGGCTTCCTACATGCCTGGTGCAGCAACCCCGCGGTCCCCCCCACCCCAACCCCATCAACTACAGCTTCACGAGGCCGGCACTCCCCGTGTTTACGCACGCATCGTCCTCGTCGACCCCATCCGCAACGACCTCCTTACTGACACCCCCATCAAACCCGGTGTCCCACCCCCTTACCTCCGCCTACCCCAAAACATGCTACCCTCCCCTGAAGACACTGCTCGGCTTTTCACCCTAACTCCGGACCAGGAACAGCCCTTCCTCATCCTTGCATACACCCTGCTTGCTGAGCTCCGGCATGGTCTACAACCCCCCCGGAGCTTGCTTGTCACTGGCGAGGCAGGCAGTGGCAAGAGCCAGTGCATCCTTGCACTTCTCTGGTTTGCTTTCCAGCACGATGCCAGCGACCTCTTTGCTGTCGTCAGCTACACTTGGCGTGCTGCCCTCCAGGTGCGCTTCCTCACTCCCTGCAAGCTCGCACTGCTTCCCCTGCCCCCCACTCCCTGTACGCTCGCTGACATGCCTTCCATCTCATCCGCGGCCTCCTACAGATCACAACTGACGCCAACGTTGGGGTCAGCACCACTACATTCTTCGCTCTGGGGGGCAGCCGAGGCGGCTTCAGCTACGCTGCTCAAGAGCGCGTCCAAGAACACCTCAGAGGCGTCCGCTTTGTCGCTAATCTCCACTTTGTCACAGCCGGCTATCCTCGTCAGCTACCAATGCCCCAGCAACCGCCCATGCACTGGGGCGCTGCTGACGCCACACGCCTTCTCCAAGACGCAACAGCCCTGCAACGCATTGCTGCGACTGGCGACCGCGACCCTGCAGCAGGGTTGCGCGCTCTCCAACCTGTGCTTCTATCCGCAAGTGCTTGCAACCTCAGTGACCCTAACCATGCACTCCTGGTTGCTGCGCGTGCTGCGTGGCACGCCATGCAGCTCGCCTTCATCCTGCGTCACCAGCACCGACAAACAAGCGATGCAGATGGTGACAAGCTCCGAAGATATGCGGCTCTCTTTGATGGCACCGGCGCCGTTGGCGGCGCTGCCCTCCAACAACAGCTCCTCGAAATGTGCCACGACCTCAATGCTACGGTTCCCGCACCTGACAGCCTACACCACCTCCCTGACCCACGGGTCATTGTCCTTCGGCACTCGGTACAGCTCCCCCTCAACGTACGCCTCGCCCTCATTCACGCGCAACAGCATAACCAGCCCGCTTATGTCTGGCGGAGCCAGGACGTTGCAGCTGATGGCTCCCCTTTATCTTCCACCACCCTCGGTCACCTCGAAACCACCTTCAACGCTAGCATTCCAGCCGTTGGCATCTTCCCCGGCCGTTGGCATCTTCCCCGGCATCCGCTACATTTTCTCCGACAACGCTTACAAGCACCTGTACCACGTCCACAACAACGGCTGCACCGATGTCCAGCTCATCCTGCACCCCAACGAACCCCGCCAGCAGTTTACCAACCCCGACTCCGGTATCCACATACTACACTACCCTCCACAAGCTGTCGTTGTCACACCTGATGGTCCCAGCGTTGGAGCAGTCTGCACCCATCCTGCTATTCCCGCAAACTGCATCCCAGTGCTCCTGAGCCACACCCGCGTCCCGTGCGCCGTTCAATCTGCCCCCCGTGCCTCCCTTTATGTCATCCTAACCCGGTTCGCCAAATCCTCCCAACTCCGCTTGTTGACGCCGCTTTGGCAACCTGGCGACGAGGCAGCAAAGCAGCGTGTACTGGCCAAGCTCACTGCGCTTGCTGCTCCTGGACGCATTCAGGAACTCTCTAGCCGGTGCACATCTGCTCAACCTTACATCCCTGCTGCCCTTGCCCTACCGCCCTGCTCTCCTCCATCCAACCTTCCTTAACGTTTCTACAACTACCAGTTTAACTTCGCATTCGTTCTGCCATAACGCCGCTACGCACATGTTCATGCCCGCGCATGGTTACACTGTACCCAAAACCGCCGCCCCCCACGACGGCGCCTCCAACCGCACCGCCACCACCTTCGCTGAGGCTGCACGCGCTGCCGCCCACTGCGTCCTGCCCTCCATCACCGCGGTGCACGGCGAGGCTACCATCCAGGACGGCTTCGTCACCTCCTTCACGGCCAGCCACACCTAGACCTACTCCCGCACCCGCCGCACAGTACCTTCGCGTCGGCGCTTTGTAACAATACTAGTGGAATAAGGTTGCCATACCGCACATCCTTCCTTGCGCTCTGTACTAATACTTGTGCTGCTCTCATGTGGCACAATTGTGTTAGGCGTGTGTTGGCCGCGAGTCGGAGCGGACTGTGCTTGCCCCATAAGTTGGAGTCCAGTCCGTTGGCTATGTAGTCAAACAGCTATCGAGTAGATGTGTTGTGAACGGTTCACTTGTACTGGGCGGTTGAAACTTTAGTGCGCCTGCGCCGACAATAGCTTCCCGCTTTCATTAGGGGTATTTCTATGGGCTTAGGTTTGGTTTCGGACCGATCCTAAGCCAACCTAAGGGAATCTCGTCCCATGCTCGTACCACCAATACTTAGCTAAGTTGCTGCTAAGTTGCTAAGTGGGGTGACCCCGCTTAGCAACTTAGCAGCAACTTAGCACCGGCTTAGGCTGGAGCGAGTGGAGCCAGCGGGCCCTACTCATTGAGCCTGCAGACCTTCGCATACAGACAAACAGTAAGGGATGCTAAGCAAGATGGCAAGGTTGTATAGTCGGCATTTTTCGGACCTTGTTTTTGATGGTAAAATGCCCAAGAAAGCAAAAACAACTCCTCAATTGTCAACTTGAAAATGCGTGAAGAATCCTTCATTCCTTTCATAGAGGCTACATTTACCCGAAAGCAAGCACCGTACCTCTCGTCAGTTGCCACATGTATGGCACATTTGCGTGTCTTGTTACGGGTGCCTTATCTCACGGAGAGGAATCTCCATTTAGCCAGCTCCACTATCACCCCTTGTAACAGAGCTGGTCGAGGGTCATCTAACCTATGGTTATCTTCCACCACACCCCTAGCGTGGTCCTCACAAGCGATATGTGCCTTGCGCTTCCTTAAATTGTAAGGTCCCACGGGCCCCTGACAGCAGCAGCTTTGTCCACTGGCAACCCAGGCCCTTGCAGGGGTCATCCATTCTCTGCGAAGGTATCTTATGGCAGAACCTAGGCTTTCCCGTCCATGTGCTTCCTAGTTCCTACATGCATCCCCACGTGGCTGTCACGCAACATGTCCTGTTGTCCCCGTTCACGTGCTATGGGTTGTTCTGCTGCCCGAGGTAATGTAAATTATACCCTGTCCTAACCATCAGGGCCGCAAACGGAAATCCACCGCTGCATCATCTTCTCGCGAGCGCCCCTTTTCTTCCAAACGTGTTGGCTTAATAAACAGTGATTACCCTATCCTGTAAGGATAAATGATTATGGTGTTAACATAAGGCTGGTTTCACCGTGGTTCCTGAAGTCCATAGAAACAGGTCACTTAGGAACACTTAGGAGCGCGTAGCGTACGACTTAGGTAGGCTTAGGTTGGCCTAGGTTTGGTTTCGGACCGCGCCCATAGAAACACCCCTATTACGCATGTTCACGCCGCCAACACGCTTTTTTTGAAACACCTTCGATTTGCATCTACGTGTTGCCTTATTTCGTTGTACTCTTCGTTTGTTCAAACTTCCCAGGGAAATGTCCCATGTCTCCAATGCTAAGGGGGGTGGTTCAGTATTATCCCAGCCACCGCCCGGTGAATAAACGCTACTTGAGGACGCACTAGGGCTACCCCTCTGTAAACACCCTCGCACCACCAGCTTGGCTATCCTCCCCTACATCCGCACACCAGACACTACCTGCAATCAACAGATTTTGCCCTCTCACCCGACCAAAGGGAGGCTTGATTGTACTTTGTACGGCATTCCAAGACAGTCATGGCGGCGATGGAGATGGGGGAGGTTTCGGAGCAGCAGCGGCAGTGGCAGCTGGAGCAGCTCGCGGTGAGCAGGCCGGGCCTCATGACACGGCTGTTGTATGTTGGCAATGAGCGGGCAGAAAGAATAGTAGGAAGCGGCAACGGTGCGGGAGAAGGGGATTGGCGGGAAGAATGCCAAGGAGCAGGTGGACAGTCCCAGGATTAGAAACCGTGTACAGGACGCCTAGCTGTGTTGGTAATGGGTAGTGCAGGTTGACATTGCCGTACTGTGACGTGCATGCTGTTCGCAACGTGTGCTTAAGAGGGGGAGCAAGGTTGGACGACGCCTTGGCGAAGGTCAAGATTCAGGGTTATGCGTTTGCAGAAGGTTACGTCCTAGGGTTTGATGCTACGTGGGGAACACGATTGGACGGTACGGACTGCTTGGTGGTTGACGGGAAAGAATTGTTGCCGTTAATGCCGCATGACTGAAACATGGCAAACTCGGTAGTAAATTGTTTTTGGCGTTGGTGGTGCTTGATCTTATATATAGCGATGTTGAGCTTGCACAGCAGCGCGGCAGGTGAAAAGAGCCGTTTAGAGTGAACCACGGAAAACACATACCGGTACTTACGCGCCTGTGTCTCCTTACTTCAACAGATTACGTTAGCATGTTATTAGCTACAAACGTTGGGACTCGCACGCTCGTTATAGGCAATCTTTAAAGCAAGTACTGGTAGTTCCCCAGGAAGAACTGAAACAATGGAAAGCGATAGTCTACTGGTTGAACAGCTTCAGGCGTCAACCGCGGTACAGCGTGCTTTGGCAGGCTGCTTCATACGACCCAGCCTGGATGGCCATTCTGGGCCCAAGCAGCTGATCGTGAACTGCGGCGATCACCTGCAGCTATGGGAGGTCGTGGATGGATCTGTCGAACTCCAGCAAAACTTCCACTTGTTTGAGCGTGTTGAGCACATCGACTTGGTCCCATCATCCCTGCAACTCTTCGGCCCAGACAGCACAGATGCCCTTCTTGTCTTCACCTTCGATGGGCGTTGTACTCTTTTTCGACTGCTCTCGCAGCCACAGCCACAGCAATACCAGCAACGAAAACCAACCGCAATCCATGCGGTCAATCGGCCCCGTGATTTGGTGCTCACGGAAGCTGCCTGCCTGGCGTTGCCTCTACCAAACCTGCGTGCAGCCCTTCTACCAAAGCGCTTGGAGGGTGTCTGCAGCAGCGGTGTTGCGCCTGTGGCTCGTCGCATCGCCGCTGCCACAGGCGCACGTGGTGTTGTGGTGGCAGCAATCCACATGGACCTCCTCCACGTCATCACACTCCACGCGGCGCCTGCTGAGGGCGAACATCCGCTGCTGCTGTGTACGGCAGTTCCCATAGCAGACACGCCGCTGTACGGCATGCCACCTGGTGAGGAATGACGTACATGACACATGCGACATATGCTTGCTGAGGAGCGAAACGTGCATGCATGCTTTTGGGAACGCCGTATACGGAAGGAGGAAGCGGGATCAGTACAGATGGGTTTTCCGCCATCGAGTTTAGGAGGACCTGTCGGTAAGATTATGAGGGTTGAAAAGGGGGCCGGGCGGTATGTTAGTGGTATGCGTTAGCGCCCAGATGAGACCTCTTCGTTCTGCACGCTGTGCCTCCTTCCTCCCTCACACGCCCACCTCTCCTCCCTTCACCCTGCTGGTGCCCTGCCCTGCCTCAGGCGGCGACCCACTAGAGTTGCTGCACCGCTCCACCCACATCCGCGCGCTCAGCCTGCTGCCCCCGCACCCCCGGCGGGACGCGCTGCAGCCACCGCTGCTGGCGGTGCTGCACAAACCCGAGGGTGGGTAAAGATAAGGAAAACTGATGAACTGCATGACGAGGCTTCACCATGGGTGGCTAACTGAACCCGGCCCATGGGGTCTTGCTGTGGGAATGGCATGGGGTTATGAAAGGAATGACCCACATGGGAATGACCCAAATGGCTGCATGGCGGGTACTGTGGCGGCGGAGGGGGGACGGCCTTGGATGATTCCGCCACAGTTGCATGGCATGGCCCTGTCCGCGTTGGAAGCTGCAGCTATGCACCGCTGCGTTGTGCGTTGTGTGCTTTCATCTACCAGTATTACATCTACCAGTATTACATCTATTCATGCTGCGCTACACACCATGTTCTGGGCCGCAGGCACGGCGGGCATGGGGCTGTGGCTGGACACGTTGTCGGTGCAGCTGACGGTGAAGGAGCTGGCGGGCGGGACCGCTCCAGGGGCGAGGGGAGCAGCGCCAGCTGCAGCTGGGGGGAGCGGCAGTGCGAGGGAGATGCGGCTGGGGGTCAGGATGGTGGCGGGGCCCTGGGCCGTCAGGTGGGTGGGTGGGATTGGTGTCATGGTCTCTTGGAGGGGCGGGCGGGTGACATTGTGGTGGGTATTTGGAGTCGCGTTTTGCGAGGGGCTGGGAGAATTAGGTCGGTGAAGGGTGGGCGCATGGGCTGGAGAGACAGGGTTAGAAAGGGTGCGCAACTGCTGGTTTCAACTCATGCCTGATTGAGCGGCAAAACACGTTGCCCGCTGCTCCCTGCTACGACTCCTTTCCCAACAACAGCAACAACCGCCGCCCCACCGCTGCCTCCTACCCCAACAGGAGTGTGCACCCCACCACCACCCTCCTCGCACCCTACCCCGGCTCCCCAGCCGCCAACCTGCCGCCCGGCCTGCTCGTCATCAGCAGCCGCGCAGCAACACTGTACTCCTCGCCGCCACCACTGTACGACATAACCGCCGCCGTTACGGCAGCGGCGGCTGCGGCGGCGGCGCAGGTTTCAACAGGAGCTTCACCTTCCCCCTCATCCTCCTCCTCCACAGCAGCAGCGGCAGCAGCTACGGCGGCAGGGTCCTCCTCATTGCCCGCGGGGCCTGAGGCGGTGGATGCGGAGGAGGCGGCGGTGGCGGCTTTCTTCGATGCCGCGTTTGGAAGGGACGCGCTAGAGGATGCGGCCATTGCCTTTGCGGAGGGAGCGGGTACAATATCTTCCGGAACCGCAGCAGCAGCCTCGGCGGCTGCTGGGGTGAGCAACGGCACCATGCCTGGTAGCGCTGTGGTACGCCGAATCGAGGTGGCACAGTTTGGGACCCTCACGATGGAGGAGCAGGAGGCGGCGGCAGGGGGGACGGAGGGTGGGAAGGTCGGAGGCATGGCCGGTCTTCCGACCTGCGTGGAGGATCTAGCAGCCGGGGTGTATGTGGTGGGCGACAGCAGCGCAGGCCTGCACCTGCTGCACACCGCGGGACCCCGCCCCTGGAGCAGACCCCTGGATTGCGGCCTGGAGGACCTGCCGCTGCCCAATGCGGCGGTTGCAGCGGCTGCCGTACCGAGTGTCCTGCGCTACCTGCCGTACTGCCGTACCTCTGCTGCTGTTGCTGCTACTGTTGAGAAGGGAAAGAAGGAACAGGTTGAGCCCGACGAGGAGGAGCATTACAGCGGGCTGTTGTTCGTGGGTAGCAGCAGCAGCAACAGTCAGGTGCTGGCGGTGCCGGCCGCATGCACCTCGCCTGCATGCCGGCCTGCTGCTGCCGCTGCCACCGCATCGACCCCCGGTCAACCCTCTGCTGCCTCCACCTCCACGCTCCCCGCCCGCTCCCCGCTGCGGTGGCCGCTGGCGGAGGTCGCGGCTATCAAGAGCCTGGGACCCGTGATGGATGCGGTGGTGGTGCCGGATGCGGAGGGTGGGTGGAGCACCGTACTAGAGGGGGTGGGAAGCAGAAGAGTGTCGTACCGGTATACAATTGGGAAGGAGAGGGGAGGGAGGGCTCCGGTGTGGGGCTTGTGGCGGTGGTTCCTGTTTGGACGCTGCTGTCTCTGCCACATCGATGCTTGGAAACCTGGTAGGCAAGGGCGACGGGAGTACCGGTGGCCACATGGACCCCCGAGGGGCGCCTTGTGGCCCACCCCCAGCCCCCCAGCAGGTCCCTCCGGTCTCATGTGCCTCCCAAGCCCCACCACCATCCTTCCCTTTTTCACATCTCCCTCTCTCTCCGCCCCCAGCAGGCTGCGATGACCCCTGGCTGGTGGCGAGTTGCGGCCACGGACCCGCGGGTCGGCTGATCCGCGGCAGGATGGCGGCGGGACTGCAGCCGTACATGGGGGAGGGGCCGCAAGTGCCGGTGAGGGGCCGGGACCGGGGGGTTTTGCGGGCTGCTGACGTGCTGAGGGCGGGCAGGGTACGGCATTTGTACAGTCGACATGGATTACATGGATTGAGGTGGGGGGCGGCCTGAACCAGAAGTCCGTTCATTGCGGTCTCCCGCAAGGGAGGGTGCTATCATGTTCTGGGGTATCCTGTGGTATCCCTACCTTCCACTCTCAAAGCAGCTCGGCTGTCGGCTTCTTCAGTTTATGTCGTACAACCTTCCGTATCTCCCTCCTCTGATCCCAACCCGCCTCGCCTCTCATCACGCGCCCGTCTCCTATCCCTCGTCCGTATAAGTCCATGCTATCGATTACGTCGTACGCCCACCACCTAGATGTTCAAGACACTCAAGTCAATTAACAGGCCAGGGGGGGGGTAAGAACCGCAAAAATAGACCCCAACCCTCAAATCGAAGGAGTTTTGCGTGGGGATTCCGAATATGCTTTCAGAATTTCATTTGGAGTTTTAGAAAATGTTTTTTAGGCTTGCAAAGTTTGTTGTACGGCAGGGGTGGGTGGGTGGGGTTGGAGCCTCAACGACTTTTTTACACAAAACTTGTGGACTTTTTTCCCAGGCCTCAGATAAGAGTTCTAAAAGCTTTAATACATTCCTTTCCTTGTTTCTTATACCTAGAACTAGTTTTGTTAACAAATAGGACACTTTTCGGCTTAATGGCTCCGCTGATGACACTTCACGTCTAAACCGTTGTAGCTGAATGGAGGCACCCAAATCCCAAACAAATAAGAAACAACGTGTAGAGAAAGAAATAGATGCGGAGGTCGCGAACGCGGCTAGTCGGCCGCCGGTGGAAGGCGAACAGCAGCGGGTCCTGTGCTCCAAGGGATGTGGGACATGGCTGCTTGCTGGCTTGAGCAAGTATCACTTGAACGAGCACTACCGCAGCGAGCGCTGTCAGACAAGTAGGCCCGTGCCCCGACGAAACACGCTGCATAACTTCTATGAGCGGCAGCAGCAGCAGCCAGCCGAGGCGGCAAAACCGGCGACCGTGCATCCACCACAACCAGCTCTGCCGCCTGATGGACCGGAAGAGGAGCCGCAGCATGTGCTGGAACCAGCGCAGCAGCTCCGAGGTGGGTGTCTCGTGCTACAGCGTGGGCTTAGGGTTCCGTTGCAAGCAAGGTGTCTCACCCAGTTTGGGCAATCCTTCGTAGGGCTGCTTGCCGTCGACGATGGCGTCCATAACCTGGTGTCATCGGATGAAGAGGACGAAGGGCGCCCAGAAGGTATGACCGGGTTATGGGTGTAATGGCCTTTGTGGTTCCGAGTGCGACTGCTGATTGACCTCATGCTTGTGTAGGGCTTCCAGCATGGCTGCCACTCAGCCGACCCCAGCAGCACGCGCACCTGTTCAAGCTCAGGATTCGGTAACTGTGGAGCGCCTAGCCAGTTCCTTGTTGGCAGGTGGGCCGGAATGCGAGCTGTTGGATTTACCCTCTCTAACATGCACCACAGTCAAAGCCACCTTACATTATACGATACCTTGACACAGGCACATCCGGACGCGAGCAGCCGCTGGTTCCGGGCACCAGGTGCCGTGGCTACACCCCTCGGGTGCCTGCGCCGTTTTCCTGCAATTGGGCATTCCAGCGGCACTCCATTGAGGGCGCTCCCTTCGTCTCCACTACATGTGGCTTGGTCTCATTGCAGTGTACGGGTGTCGCAGCACCTGGGGGCTCCCCTTGCAAGCCCTGCAGTGACTTGGAGCACTGTGGAGCTGTCAAGCGCTGGGTGAAGGCCGCCAACGATCCCTTACTGCACAAGGGCAGCGCCAATTACACGTATCTGACACACTCCCAGGTCGTGGCCCGTGCCCAGCATCACCGTGGCCTGCGTGACGATGTCCGCTTGCAGCACTTTAATGATGAGCGTCATTGCGCAGCCATAACTCGACAGCTTGGCAACCATAAGCGGTTCCTGCTAGCCGTGAGCGAGGGCAACATCCCCAGGCTACATGCCCTTGTGCGTACGGCCCTGCGGCACGGCAACGGGCTCAACGCCATCATGGCGAAAATCGGCGAGAGCTTGGAGGTACGACAGGGATAGGTGCTGGGGCGGCTTGGTGCTGTTTTGTTGCCTTTGGGGTGCCTGCTTGACGGGACTCAGCAGGGTACAGCCAGGATCATCATGTGCTTTTCGTTCTCGCCTGGCTCGCGTAAGGAATACTGTTTCCCAACGCAGGGCACTTACAGTGCGAAAGGCTATCAGAACGAGCCTGATGCTGTCGACATGGCTTGCCTGGTCCTGCACATTGGTGGCCCGCTTCTGCTGTCGGCCATGCACAAGGCCAACCTCCTGCCCAGCGTGTCATGGGTCCTCCACCAGCACAAGGCGCCCAAGATGCGTGGCTTCATCGCTGGGCACGACCTGGAGGAGACCGTCGCCTACAACCTGAAGTCGATGGTGCTATCCATGGGCGGCAAGGCCGCGGGGTGCGCATGGCATCTGATGGCGGACGAGCTGGCAGTGGAGTGCAAGCCCCAGTACGACCCCAAGACCAACACCGTCGTGAACCTTTGCTTGGAGCATGGAGAGGCGGCATGCGGTTGTGTAACCGTTAACAGCATTGATGACCTATATCAGCTGCGGTCTCTGCTGGGTTCTGGGGCTGTTCACCTTGCCCGGGAGGCGCTGGTCTTTATGGTCGCGCCCTACCGCTCAACCAGCTATAGCGCCATCCCCATATCGTACTTTGGGTCGTGCAAGGCGATGTCAGTGGATCTGCAGGTGCGCCTTATCCAAGCGCACCTCTACGTCTGGGAGGCAGCACGGCTTCGTGGAGAGGTTGGGCCCCTATACAACTTCGACAGCGATGGGGCACCGCAGCGCAGGCAGGCGATGGAGAAGATCTTCGCAGACCAGTTTCCGCATGGTGACATGCTGTGGCCTCTGCTTCAGCGCATGCCACTGCTCGATAGACGCTGCAAGAGCGGCACGCTCGTGACGGACGCGTTCGACCTCAAGCACCTGCTAAAGCGCCTACGCACTGCCATCATCAGCACGTCCCGGGAGGGGGTCTGGCTGCTTGGCGAGCATGTTAAGCGGGAGGACGTGCAGCGGGTCCTGCTTGCCCTAAAGGTGCCGCGGGTGGGTGAGCTCCTAAACCCAGAGGACAAGCAGAACGTGGGAGCTGCAGTCCAGCTGCTGCAGGCCATCGCATCACTCCAGCAGCATACCAGTGTCGCCAGCCTACCCGCTGGCATGCAGCCTATCCTAGTGCGCCTTCGCTTGCTCGGGCGCATGCTACAGGGCTTAATTGCCCCTATCGTGGAGCTGGGTGCAACTCTCAGTGAGCTGCTGGTGGGGCTCAGCCGATCAGCTCACATCGCCTACGTGCTCTTCCGCAAGGCGCCCAGCACCAACGCTTTCCTGCCCAGCGTCCTGTATCACGACATACAGGCGTTCGTCCAGACCGCCTTCTTCAACGTGCTGAAGCTGCAGCGCGACTTCCCCGATGGCGACCAGGAGTACCACCTTCACCAGCAGGGCACGGACCCGCAGGAGCGCACGCATGGTGACACCCGCACTATCAGCCACAACCGCAACTTCACCGTCGTGGAACTGGGCCCTGCATTCGCAAGCGGCCGGCACGTGCGTGCTATCTTCGAGGAGCACCCCGAGTGGGACCGCAGCGGCAAGCGCCTGAAAGCTACAGATGACCACGTCAATCCCCGGAGTTGGCAGGGCAGCGTACTGGTCACCGCAGACATGGACGTGCCGCGGCTATACACCCAGGGCCAGGAGGAGACGGTCCATATTATGACAGTGGAGGGATTTGCTGGCGAGGGGAGGCAGGTGGGGCTTGGCGATTTGGACTTCGCAGCGCATGACAGAGCTGGCTGCTCTCTCCGCCGCCCCAAAGGCAGCTTGGTGGGGGTTTCAGCAGCTGAGGCAGTCGTGGAGGAGGAGGTTGCCAGCCCCTCAGCGGCCGGCGTTGCTGCTGACGGGGGTGCGCCAGCCACGCAGGAGACAGACCCCGTAGCGCTCGAGTACACTGCTATGCAGGATGCAGACCAGGAGCTGCCGCAGGTGATAGCGGAGGCCATGATACCTCCTGAGCGGCGCAAACTCACCGTGGATGGCAAGGAGGTGCATAAGTCCACGGCAGTGCGGATATTGCTTGACCAGTCCATGTCAGATCCCGCTTCCAACGACCGCTTAAAGCGTGTTGCAGAGGTCCCAAGGACGCATGCACGGGCGCGTTCGACTGCGGAGTTCTACGAGGCTGCCATGCTCATGTCACGGGACGTCTATGCCGTGGTTGTGAGCTGTGGCGGTGTACCCTCCTTGGCCTTGCTGCGTGCCGACAAGCTGGAGATGCCGAAGCAGTCGGGCGGGCACTTTCGGGTGGCAGAGCTTACTGTAGAGCAGCTGGCCCTGCCGAACGCACGTGTAACAGGTGCGATCCTCATCATGCAGTACCAACCCGCTCCAGCACAGCCGGCAGCAGGCCCAGGTGGCACGGCAGCACAGCCGGCAGCAGGCCCAGGTGGCACGGCAGCACAGCCGGCAGCAGGCCCAGGTGGCACGGCAGCACAGCCGGCAGCAGGCCCAGGTGGCGCGGCAGCACAGCCGGCAGCAGGCCCAGGTGGCACGGCAGCACAGCCGGCAGCAGGCCCAGGTGGCGCGGCAGCACAGCCGGCAGCAGGCCCAGGTGGCACGGCAGCACAGCCGGCAGCAGGCCCAGGTGGCACGGCAGCACAGCCGGCAGCAGGCCCAGGTGGCACGGCAGCACAGCCGGCTGCAGGCCCAGGTGGCACGGCAGCAAACTTGACAGCGGAGGTAGAGGCAGGTGGTGCAGCTGGTGCAGTGGCTGACCCAGATAGTGCCTGCGTTCCTACCAGCACTGCACGCTTCATTTGGCACGGTGCTGTCGGAAGCACTCTGACAGTGCCAGCCACGCGAGTGCTCCTGCTTGATCCTGACGTGTTGCTGCAACCTGACAGTGGTGCTTTGCTTAGCATGGCGGAGGAGGACCTAGCTACCGTACTTGCCGCAGGCTCAGCGTCAGCGGTCACTGCACAGCTGCCACGGGTTACTGACACAGACACCTTTCCATACCGGTCTCATGACACTGGCTGGCCGCTCTGCAGCGGTGTGCCCAACATCAGCGCTTCACGGCTGGATGAAGGTGGCACCAGTGGTGCGGCAGCTGCGTCACAGGGTCTCGCATGCACGGTGCCGGGGTGCAGGCGCAGCTTCCCACTTGCACATATGCGGCAGCATGTGGGAGCACACGTCTTGCTTGGCACATGCGGCCCCTCTGCTGGCCCTGAGGCGTCAATCTGTGGCTTTTGCGGAAGCTCGGATGGAAAGTGCAACGTCAGCCTGGTGCAGGGCAGCCAGAAGGACGTCACAAAGGTGATGTCCGATTGTCCGCTCTTCTACAAAGGGATGTCGTACAAGTCAGCGCAGAAGTCCAGCTTGACTGCGCCGTGCACCAACGTGCCCGTTGTGTGCACGGCATGTGCAGCCAATCGTGTCACGAAGGTTGTGTGGAGCTACAGCTACCTGGATCACCTGCAGCACGCCCATGGAGCGGATCAGCTGACGGAGGCGGCCGTGCAGCAGTACGCAGTTAGCAGTGAGGAGTTCCATGCTGTTCTCCAGCGTGACAGGATGGGTCAAAAGGCTGAGGACCGCATAACAGCGCTTAAAGCAGCGGCGGCTGCGGATGGGGTTACCACTTCGCGGTTTTGGGGGAAGGTGTTGCAGCACGGCGCCGACAGCGGCAACGGGGGTACCAGCAGCAGCGGAGGGGGGCATGGGATGGGGGATGCGGTACAGGATGAAGCGGCTGTGGGGAGTGGTGCCAGGGGCGGTGGTCGGGGGCGCGGCGGGACAGGGGGGAGAGGAGGTAGGGGCCGGGGTCGGGGACGTGGCAGAGCCGCCGCCGTGTCGGTGGTTGAAGACGGAGCTGGCGGTAGTAGGGGACGTGGAGAGCGCAAACGAAAGGGCCGCAGTGCTTCCTAGAAGGCTAATAGAAATGTATACTCGTGAGTTGCCCGAACTGTGTCAAGAACAATGGACCCTAGTAAAACACAGTGGCATTAACTTGTGTGCGCATCTTCCCAGGGGATTCGGGGTTTTTTTAATGTATGTAATAGAGCTTACAAAGAGGAGCTTAACGGCCCTTTTCCCGGGCTTTTTGGCGAAGTTTACAAGTTGTACGGCAAGGCATGGGTGGGTGGGTGGGTCCGGGGCCTTCTCATTGGAAATTTCGGGTTGGGGTTTATAAGAAAATTTTTTACCCCCCCCCTGAACAGGCTATAACAAATTAACAAACACACCAAGACGTGCTTTCGTACTTCGCGAAACATTTACACAACAGTTCTTGTTCTCAATTTCACCAACCCTCAATAATGTCGCCAAACCCCACTTGCCTGCTTAGCAAACCCGCTTGCTGGTCTAGGTGCAAAGCCTCAGCACCCCCGCCCTGCATGACGTACGTACATGTGCACTATCACCACTACGAAGGGAGTGCCTCATGAGTTGTACCAGACCCGTAGGCAGTATAGGTAAAGCCCCAGTTTTCACCTCTATTGGTTATCCAGGAAGAGCATCCAAGCACCATGAATTACATCACACGAAATCCGGGATTGCTCAGAGCCGCTTAATGCTCTCCAAGCCGTCATATTCGCGGACACTCCAGCCTACGTAGTGTGGGACATATGCGATCCGCACTTTGCAGTACCCGGTGCTACCGAACAGAAGGCCCATCAGCTTGTCTGCCTCTAAGGAGGAGGAAGGGGAGGAGGATGTGGTGTCCGCTGCTGCTGGTGCCGTCGGCAGTGGCTGCGGGGCCGGCACCGGTGGCAGGGTGTCCGGATGCCTCATCAGGAACGCCATGGCGTGCCGCTCCACGTGCTTCTGGTGCTTCCACATCAACCAGGGAGTGGCCGAGCCAGAGTAGGCCTCGTAGGGCTTGGCGAACCCCCATTCCTCACCCCACTCCTCTTCCCTGTCGGCATCCGCTCTTCTCCGCTTTAAGGCCTCCGTGCTCTCCTCGTAGTCCCGGGCCATGAGCTCCAACAGGTCGGGGGTCAGGTAGGAGTGCTGCTCCAGCAGGGTCTGGAAGACCTCCTCGGCATCCTTGTCCTCACTCGTAATGACCTCCTCACACTTGGCCAGCAGGCTGTCCTTCGTGTACTCTCTGAGACCAGAACTGCGGTCACCACACAGAACCATAAAATTGCGTGGGTCAGTCTCTTCACCAAAGTTGGCGAGGGTATCATCCAGGCCAGTGACGTGGGCCAAGGTAGCGCGAGCTTGCGATGCATTGCTGCGGGCCCATGTCAACGTGGAAACGCGCATGTAAACAGCGTCAAGGTCGTAGTGCACGTAGGCCCGCAGCAGTGCGGCTAGGTCTGGGTGGGTTGCAGCGCAATGCCGGCCAAAGACGGGAATATGCGCTGCCACCATCACACGGTCGCTGTCGTTATCGAAATCTTGGCTTTTGGAGCCCTCAGCGTCGTCACGCGTTCCCGCAACTGTTGACATGTAGCCGTCGAGTTCGTGGCTAAGTTCGAAGCCACCGCCATGGCTGCCGCAGTAAGCAACTCCCACGTCGGGCAAGCCCTTCGACGCCTCCTCCATTGCTTCGCGAATCTCCTTTAACAACGTTGCATGTGAGTGTCCTTTTTGGGTCACAAGCTCCGTTGCCAGTTGCCTAAACGCCTCAACTTTGGGGCTGCGGGCAACAGGGCTCGAAGGCGCCATACCGATACGCAAAATACATTGAAGATACGCAGTAGCAGAGTTTATAGTACTATGACTGTTATAGAAGTGCAATGCAGCTAGTATCGATAGTATGTTTAAACCTCTAAAATACCAAGCAAGGGAGCAGCGCCAAACCTTGCTTGTTTTGGGATACACCGATAAGCTAGAACGCGTAGGTTACATGGGGGACCTGAGCTCCTGGAAGCTAGGCGGTGAGCTTGTATGGAACACGTGTACGGACGGATGCACTGCGGCGTCTACGGGACTTTCGGTTGAACCTCGGATCCGCCGTACAGGTTCGATCCGCCGCCCATGGCTTAAAAATTGAAGAGCCCCGCTGGATGGAGTTGTTATGGCTTTGGTATGAAAGCCATTTTTGCGTTGGTCGCACCCCGTCGCGAAACCGCATCTTTGGGCAAAGCCCAAGTTACCCGAACGTGCGCAGCAAACAATTCAGACAAAACTCTTGTAAAGATTTACAGGTGATAGGTTTTACACATCACGAAAGTTTACCCTGTGATCCTGTTGTGGCATCGAAACAATTAGTCACCAAGCTTTGGCCAGCCGCTGGGAAGAACCACCGTAAGCCGCTGCAGAATAATTTTAGCCCGAGACTCTTATAGTTTATGTATGAACGCTACTGACCGTGCGTGAGGAATAGAGAACCAAATCAGTTGGCGGGACCATGCTTGCAAGTTCCGGGACCCCACCTACACCATTCGATTGCCGCGATTTCGGTATTCTTTGTTTTAATATGTTATTGATATGTTGTAACAGAACGAGAGCGCTCACCTGGTGTATATGCCTTTCTTCGGCGTCAAATGTTGCTTAACCCTTTTGGTACGTTTTGCGTGGTGAAATGGAGCCTGGTCTGGTCGTATCATTAAAGCTTTACGAGGCCCAACGATGCCGATAGCGCTGAGACGCGAGACAGTTGAAACCGGGAACATTCGGTGGCCAATTGGGAAGGGGGTCGCATGTCTCGCCATACAGTGCTCATCATGCAGTCCTGTCCGCAGCGGTGTGTGGGGGGCTACGCCTTTTCCAGCTTGGTGGCTACCTTTTTGAGCAAGGGGGTGTTATGGGCCACCTCTGAGTGATGCAAAGGAGCGCTACTGTATGCCTCGTGGCGACTCATACGGTGCCTTGCACAGATCGATCGAGTAGGTGACAGGACCGCGGGGGTCCACGGGCTGCCGAGCACTGCTGTCCTGGGTGGGTGGCGACCTGCATTCATTCATCCTCAACAGGGGAGCGGAGAACTACATGACGTGGGGAGGGGTCTTATGGTGAACAGGTGTTCCCGCAAGGGAGGGCTACATTGTTGCGGGGCGGGGGGGGGGAGTAAGTGAAAAGTGAAGCAGCGGAGTCCCAATCCCGAATCCCGACTCATGCCGTGAGCGCAGTCGGAGACACACTATTGTACAAAAATGCAATTCGAAGACCTACCGAATGCCTGCATACCAGAAACCGTGGCGACTTGCGGAAGGGGGGTTGCATCCTTCTTTCCTCTCCAAGCGTCCCTGCTGTCGGCTTCTCCATACCTCGCCTGCCCTACTCTCCGTCTCCAAGCTTTGCCGTACAACCCTTGCAATCCTCATCCCTCCTCTGACCCAAAACCCCACCCCACCTGCCTCCTCTCGCCTGATCTCCGCTCCTCCACCCCTCCCTCGTTTCTTCCGCAGGACGGATGCCGCCTATTCGCACTTCGGCTTGGTGCAACCGCCGCCACCTCCTCCCCCTCCTCTTCCACCACCTCCCTCCCGACCTCCTCCTCCTCCTGCATGCGCCCGCACACGCACGTGGGGTTCAGCTTCGATGCCGCCTGCCGCACCGACCTGCTGTGTGTGGCGGGAGGAGCGGGGGGAGAGTTCACACAGGTGCGGCGGGGAAGGTTTGGACAAAGGTTTGGCTGGAGTGATGGGGCAGTGCTTTACCGATTTGCTGTGTGTGGTTGGCTTCCCAACCACCCTCCTAACCACCTTCCTAACCACCTACCACCTAACCGCCTGCCAACCGCCCGCAGGTCGAGCTGCCGGGACTGGACCACGGGTCCGCCTCGCTGCTGCTGGCTGACTTGGCGGCGCAGGCGGATGAGGAAGGTGGTGGTGCAGCAGCAACAGCAGTGGTGGGGGGATCGCGGCTGGTGCAGGCGACACAGGTGTGTGTTTCGTAAAATGACCTCGAGTCGTGTGTTGAAAAAACTGGCGGAACGTACTGTGATTGCCGGAAGTCGTGTGTGTGTTTTCGATGAGGTGCGGAGGGGATGCGGGCAAGGTCGCAACTAGGGGCATGTTGAAAGAGAAGGGTGCTGATATTGAGGATAGAGAAGGGCACTGGCATTGGGTGCTGGTCGCTCTCCTCTGGTCACTCCGCAACCTGATAGCCCGCACCACCACCACCTGCTCCGTCGCTGTTACCTCATGCCGGCGGCCTATACGGTACCTCCTCGTGCTGGTTCTTTCCCTGCTTGTTTGCTTCCTCATTTGACGCCCCGCACCTCTCCACCAGGCGGGCGTGCGGGTGCTTGAGCCGCTGGCAGCGGGAGGGGGACTGGCGGCGGAGTGGAGGGCACCAGGTAGGAGGGGGCAAATTATATAAAAGTGAAACAACGAATCCCAATCCCATAGCCCGACTCATGCAGTGAGCGCATTCGGAGGCACTAATAACACGCATCTCAAATTACTTACCGACTCGTAATCAGGTAGGAGGGGGCAGGGGGAGGAGGGGAGGGAGGGACGCCACAAAACACAACACGCTGCCGGCACTCTCCCAAACCTACACCCTACGGAAGCCCCTTGTGTGCTGCACACCCTGTCAAACCCTGCCGCGCCACCTCCACGCTATACCCCTATACGCTCCCCCCACACACACCTCCCCACCCCGCCCAACCCCGCAGAGCCCCTCTCCCTGGCAGTTCACAACGGCGGCCGCATCCTCGCCGTCGCCAGCCGCTCCCGCCTCACCCTGCTTGCCGTACAGCCACACACCGGTGCCGTACAACAGCTGTCGTACATTCAACTCTCCGCACAGCTCTCGGCACTGACACTGTGCAGCCTGCCGCCGCACCTAATCCCGCCTCCGTCATCTTCACCTTCACCTTCCTCGTTAACGTCATCGTCAGCTGAAGCAGCAGCGGCGGCGGCGGTAGCGGGAGAAGTTGGAGAGCCGGCGGCAGCGGTGGCGGAGGCGCGTTGTACGGCGGTCCTGATGGGTCAGTGGGTCGCCAATGTGGTGGAGGTGACGTCAGCGAGTGACCTGTCTTGCCCCTTGCTGCGAATAACGCTGGGAGAGGGCGAAACGCCCAGGTCCCTAGCGCTGCTGCCGCTGCCGCCGTCGCCGCCTGCAGCAGCAGCCAACACACAGCAACCGCAGCAGCAGCAACCGCAGCAGCAGCAACCGCAGCAGCAGCAACCGCAGCAGCAGCAACCGCAGCAGCAGCAACCGCAGCAGCAGCAACCGCAGCAGCAGCAACCGCAGCAGCAGCAACCGCAGCAGCAGCAACCGCAGCAGCAGCAACCGCAGCAGCAGCAACCGCAGCAGCAGCAACCGCAGCAGCAGCAACCGCAGCAGCAGCAACCGCAGCAGCAGCAACCGCAGCAGCAGCAACCGCAGCAGCAGCAACCGCAGCAGCAGCAACCGCAGCAGCAGCAACCGCAGCAGCAGCAACCGCAGCAGCAGCAACCGCAGCAGCAGCAACCGCAGCAGCAGCAACCGCAGCAGCAGCAACCGCAGCAGCAGCAACCGCAGCAGCAGCAACCGCAGCAGCAGCAACCGCAGCAGCAGCAGCGGGTCCAGCCGGTGTGGCCGGTGTTGCTGGCAGGGACGCATAGCGGCCGGCTTCACATGTGGCAGGTGCTACCGACATCATTAGCGTCATCTTCATCACCACCTTATGAGGCAGCTGGGGCCTCCTCGGGCTCAGCTATGCAGCAACAGCAATTGCAACCGCAACACCAGTCGTACACCCCCTGGCGGTTAGGTCCCTGCTACAGTCTGCGGGTGAGTCAGGTGGCGGTGGAGCTGCAGCCTGTGTTCGTTCCGACAACCGCTGCAGCAGGAGGAGCCAAGGGAGGAGGAGTGCTGTTGTTCCCCAGCTACATCTACGTGCACTCCAGCTCAGGAGCGCTCATACGACCGCGGCCCCCTGCGGGTCCGCAGCAGCACGAACCTCAGCACCAACCTCAGCAGCAGCAGCAGCAGCAGCCGTTATCGGAACTGGTAGAGGTGGTGCGAGTGCATGGTTCCGAGGGGGCCCAGGCGCTGTGTGCGCTGAGCGCGCAGGACATGCCGGACAGCGCGGCGTGGATCACACGCGGCGGGCGACTGCTGTTCGGACGGATGGACCCACGGGTCAGGCTGCGGTGGAGCACGGTGTATGTAGGTACGTGGCTGACTGGCTGACTGGTGAAGTGAAGAGCGAGGTGGCTGTTTGGGTTGACAGCTGCGGCCATGTACATGTGTTGTAAGTGTGGTGTGAAGGTGGTAGGGGGGATGCACTGTATACGTGCTGTACGGGCTGTGGCTGCGTGACTGGGTAGGTTGCGTGGCGTTGTTGTTTCCTGCTGTAGACGCGGGGTGCAGATAATGTGATGTGTTGACAGATATGAAGGGTGCCGTACATCGCTGGGAACATCCTCCCGGTACCTCGGAACGAGTGCCGGGTTATAAACGCGTCTTTTCAACATGCGCCTAGCGCTGAGCATCCCGCATCCTACTTTAGGTGTAGTGCGCCAACCCAGCACTCCTGCTCCCGCTTTCTTTCCGCTCCTTTCCTGTTTCCGCTCCCGCACAATGCTCACCCTCGTTCCTTCCTTGACTACCGGAACTGCTCACCCTCATCGCCCGCAGGCGAAACCATCCACTCCCTGTGCTACCACTCCGCCAGCCGCTGCCTCATCGCCCTCTGCGAATCAGCCAGCAACGCTTCCGACGCTGATACCCTCCCGTACGGCACCGGGGCCGCCCAGTACGGCAACAGTTACGGCGATACGGGCGGCGGCTGTGACGTGTTGCGAGTTGTACATGCGGACTCGCTTCAGCCCGTGCTCTCCATGCGGCTGGCTGCGGGTCACTACCACACAGCGGCGCTGGTGGCTGCACTGCCCTGCAGTTCCCAGGGCCTGCAGCAGCTGAGGCAGCTGGGGGGGTCAGCAGGAGGAGGAGGCAGCGGCGGCGGCGGCGGCGGCGGCGGAGGAGGGATAGTGGAGCAGCAGCAACAGCAGCGGAGCAGGGGCATGCAGAAGGAGGAGCAGGGGTCTAGAGCGGTTGGAATTGCAGGCGGTGGGAAGGAGTTCATCGTGCTGGCTTCGTACCTGCTGGTAGATGCAGCGGCGGCGGCGGTGGCGGCGGCGGCGACAGAGGAGGAGGAGGAGTCGGGTGAGGCCGCCGGGGGTGCGGCGGCGGCTGGCGGGGAAAGCCGGCATGGAGCTGCTGCTGCGGCGGCTCCAGGCGGTAGGGTGATGCAGGGCGCTTTGTCCTTTCTGGAACTCAAGCTCAACGTCAGCAGTGATACCACCTCAGCCGCAGAAGCAGCAAGTATGGGGACCGCAGCGAGCCTCCCTCCTGATGCTCATGCTGCTGCTGCCGCCGCCGCCGCCACGTCGGCTGTACGGTACCAACTGGTGCTGCATGGGACCCACATGATGTCCGGCGTGGCAAGCGCTCTGGCCGTTGCTCGTCCGGTGCCGTACGATGCAACCGTTAGCGCTGCTACGGCTTCGGACATGTCTGCTGCCGCTGCCGCTGCCGCCGGCGGCGGCGGGGCTAACGAGACGTCGAATCCCCTCCTTCTTTGTAGCGGACGCAGCTTCCGTGGCGGCAGTGGCGGCCTGGGGGCCGCGGCGGCGGCGCTCAAACTCCGCGCAGCCGCCGCCGCCGCTGAAACCACGTCGCAGCCCCACACCGCCGTACAATCGGGCCCAGCGGCGGCGACGTCACCGCCGATGCCGTACTATCTCCTCGCCGGCTGCCAAGACGGCGTCCACGTGTACCAGGTTCATGTGGATGACGTGGCAAGTGAGGGTCCGCGGGCGGTGCAGCGCGCGATCAGGGTGGTGGGGAAGCGGGTTTCGGAGCTGCGGCTGCCGTTACCCAGACATGCAGCGGAGGGGGGCCTGCAGCCTCCGGGATTGGCGGGACTGCTGCGGCCGCAGGCGGCCGGAAGAGGAGAGGGAGGAGGAGGGGGTGATGCGATGGTGGTGGAACGAGAGGGAGAGGAGGGGCTGGTGGAGGATGAGTCAGGTGGGTGTGAAGGGGGGTGGGGGAGGGGAGGCGGACAGGGGGAGGTGCGGGTTTGCGGTGCACCGCATGTGCGGTTCCGGGGCTCTAGGGAAGGGACGTAGGTTTGGGGTTGCGTATGACGTCGAGACTAACTCTGGTTGGCCCCTGGCCGAAGAGCCCATAGCATCTGGCCCACCAACCTCCTCCTTTACAAAGCTGCTCCTTCTTCCGCTTACCGGTATCCTATTTTCACGTTATTCCACAATATTCCTCTTTCGCAGAGCTCCCCGAAGTGCCTCGCCAGGCGCTGCCACAACGCTCCCGCGCCAACACAAACCAGCAGCAGCGGCCAGGGCTGCGAGGTGGCGCAGAAGAAGCTGAGGAGGAGGAGGAGGAGGAAGACTGGGATCAGTACGGGTTGGGGGCCCTCCGCTACGGCAGCGATGATGATGAAGACGTTGCGGATGATGATGGGGTTGGAGGGGAGTACGACTATGACTTTGAAGGCTTTGAGTTGGAGGCGTTTGGCGGTGGCGGCGGAGGAGGAAGAGGTCGTGGTGGCCCAGGGGTTGGCAGAGGAGGAGCAGGAGGAGCAGGAGCAGGTGCAGCAGCAGGGGGAGTCCAGCCGCTGCCCCCCGATCAGGCGCAACGGGCGCTGCGAGCGCTGATGGCCCGGTTCATGCAGGTGGGTGGTTGAGAGGTAGTCCCGGGTGCGTGTGTGTGTGGGGGGGGGTAAACATAAGAAAACTGGTGGGGTAGGAGGCGTATTGGGGAGGGGGTGAGGGCTGCTGAGGGAAGGGAGTGGGGGACCCCGTGCTAGACGCGCAAGGTGGGTGTTTTGCGGGGGCACGGCAGGTGGGGGGCTCGGCAGGTGGGGGGCACGGCAGGTGGGGGGCACGGCAGGTGGGGGGCACGGCAGGTGGGGGGCACGGCAGGTGGGGGGCACGGCAGGTGGGGGGCACGGCAGGTGGGGGGCACGGCAGGTGGGGGGCACGGCAGGTGGGGGGCACGGCAGGTGGGGGGCACGGCAGGTGGGGGGCACGGCAGGTGGGGGGCACGGCAGGTGGGGGGCACGGCAGGTGGGGGACGGTGTCAGCCAGCTTGCAGTGTGATTCTACCTGATAGGGTGCGGATGCGGCTCTGACGCATGCCGCCATTCCTCATGACCCCCTGGTTCCTTGCCGTCCGTTACGGTACCCTTGGGGCCTGCTGCTGTCCTAACCAAAACCCAGAGGTGCTTTCCGACCCCATCCCACCTCATTAACGGTAGTCTCATCTATCCCTTCTCACTTCTCACCCCACCTCAGGCTGACCCTGACGTCCACCCCGACGATGACGACGAGGACGGTGACATGGAGGATGATGACATGGATGATGACCTCCCTGAAGAGCAGCAGGACCAGCAGGACCGCAACCTGCCCCGCCATGCGGTTGCTCGCGGGGGCAGCGGCACCAGCGGCGCCAGCGGCCGCCCCCTGCGTCGACTGCTCCGAGACCTGGATCGGGACTGGTCGCAGCATGTACGGCTGAGGCGGGTGGCGACATGCCGTACGGCTGGGGGCGCCGTGGTGTCACAGCTCGTGAGCGCTGAGAGCGTCAACAAGGGGGGCTGCAGCTGCTGCTGTGGCTGCGGTGGTGGTGGTGGTTTTCATAGCAGCGGTGATAGCGGCAGCAGCGGCAGCGGTAGCAGGCAGGTAGCAGGGAGTTGCTGCTGCTGCGGAGGAGGCGGCGGCTGCGGAGGAGGAGGAGGCGGCAGTCTTGCGGGTGTGGTGGTGGCTTCGGACCTGCTGGGCAGTGTCACGGTGCTGGTGCTGCGGGCGACACGCAAGGGGGTGGTGCTGGCTCCGGGATCGGTGGACAGACACCCGGTCTTCGCGCAGGTGGGTGGCGGTCATGCAGGCCGCATGCATGCATGCGGGCAGTGCTGAGCTGCATGCTGCGTGCTGCATGTGTGTGTGGGTTGCGTGGAGGCAGGGGGATACCGGTACCGGGTTTCAACTGGCTCCATTACGGCTGGGGGAAGAGCCGCTTCCCTTTGCTTTCCAGCCGGCTTCGGACACGCTCACCCGCACACGGAAGAAGAAGACCCCCAGGACTGCTCCCCCACCTCAACCCCCAATCCAATTCCCTTCCCACCCCCACCTCACCCCCCCTCTCCCTCTCAATCAGTTAGTTGTTTCCTCTTTACCCCCTCTCCCTCTTCTTCCAGCCTTCAATTCGGTCTTAATAGCCCGCATGCACATTACCTCCCCCCTCTTCCCGCTTCCTCCTCCTCCCCCCCCCACCTTCCCCTCGCCTCCAGGCCTGCCTGCCGCTGGACTCCCGGCGCCTGCTGCTGTCGGTGCACCCGCACGGCCTGGCGCTGCTGCTGCGGGAGCCGGCGGCGGAGGAGGCAGCGTGGCGGGAGGCGCAGCGACGGGCGCTTGCGGACTTTGAAGCGGGTGAGGACCTCGATGCCTTCTTTGGCTTCGATTCAGCGGAGCCTGCCTGTGAGGCAAAATTCTTGTCATGCCTTTACCGGAGCACGTTTGTAAGCGTTCCTTCTTAAGTCCTTTGTGTGTATATTTGTGTGACATAAGCTCTAGCTGCTCTGCACTTGCCATGTACTCAACACGTGGTGTGCTACAACACGTACGGTCGGCAGGGTTTTCTTCATGCGCAGTTACCCTGGCTGATGCTTCCCGTCTCCTCCTCCCTTCCTTCCCTCCTGCCTCCATCCTTCCTTTCCTCCCCAGGCATCTCCGCTCGTCAGCGCCAGCAGCGCCAGGCGGCCGCCGTCATGGCGGGAGTCTGGAACCCCGCACAACAACAACATCAACAGCAGCAGCAGCTGGAGCAGCAGGGCCAACAGCCCCATGCAGCAGGGGCAGGGTCGGGGGCAGCCGCAGCAGGCGGTGCTGGTGCAGGAGCAGCAGCAGCAGCAGCAGCGGCGGCGGCGGCAGCAGCCAACACGGTGTTGTTGGATGAGGCGGGGGTGGCGAGGTTGCGACTGGAGGAGATGCCGGGGCTGGAGCTGGGAGCGGCATGCAGGTGCGTGGAGGGGTGGGGCGTGTGGGGTCGGGTTTCGATTAAAAGTAAGCTGAGGGTTGGTTTTCACGGGTTGTCACGTCGCGCTGCAAGTCCCGTACATGTCAGTGTCTACTTTTGTCTGTTCCCGGTATCTCGGCCTCTTCGTGCTCTTCCCCTTCCCTCCAACCCTACCTGGGGCTCCAACCCCTAACCCCCAAATCCCCCCCCAAACCACCCGCAAACCACCCGCAGGTTGCGTCACTCCGTAACCCGCATGTGCCTACTGCCCCTCGGACTGCGACCCCGCCCGTCGCAACCTTCCTCCGCACCCACAACCGCCCCGCACATCGAATCCGCCGTACTTTGCTTCTCCAGCAGTGGTTACGTAGCGGCAGTACGACTGCTAGGGGAGCCACAGCAGCAGCAGCTGCAGCAGCAGCAGCTGCAGCAGCAGCAGCTGCAGCAGCAGCAGCTGCAGCAGCAGCAGCTGCTGGGACCGTCATTCGCAGCCACGTCCTCTTCCATCACAACCTCTGGGGCAGAAACAGCAGCAAGAGGTGGAGCCTCTGTTGTCATGGCACCCTCCGCTCCTGCTGCACCCGTCATTGCTTCTGTGTCGGCTTCTTCCTTCGACGATGTGCTACAGCGGTTGCAAGCGGCCGTCGCATATCTACCACCCGAAGATGCAGCTTTACTGACCGCCGTACATTCGGAGAGCTACTGTCATGGCTACAGCTGGCCGCTGGTAATCCCCCGGGGGACGGCGGCGATGGTGGGTGCGACGGCTGGGGGCGTGCATGGTGCTGCTGGTGGCGGTGGTGGTGGCGGTGGTGGTGTGCAGCAGCAGCAGCAGCGGGGACATCAGCAGGCGGAGGAAGTTGATGAGGAGGAGGAGTGGCAGGAGGAGGAGGTGGAGGCTCAGAGGCTGGCTGGCAGGTGTCTGGATGGAGCGCTGCTGGGCTTGGTGGCCCGGGCGGCGGCTGGGGGCAGCAGTGAGGGGGCAGGAGGACTCCAGCTAGGGTTGGGAGCGGATGGGGGTGCGGGTGTGGGTGCGGTGTTGCAGGGTTTGGTGGAGGCGGTGCTGGGTGGAGGCGGAGAGGTGGTGCAGCTGTTGGCTTTGCTGCGTAGGTTGCGGTTGGATGGCAGCGAGTGAGCTGCACTTACGGCAGCAACAAGCAGCATTGGGCTGTAGTCGTTTCTTGCATTCCACTCATATCCGTTACAAACAGTCAAACCCAGCGACGCTTCCATAATAGCCTGAGGGGACATCCTGCAGTGTTAGCGATTTTGATGTTGAAACATTGGCCAATGATAGCGACAGATAATACCACATGCCACATGCAGGGCGCGTGTACGTCAGAAGTGGTGGCCGCCAGCCGTGCATGCATGCAAACATGGATGAGAGAGGGTTTTCCCATGTACAATTGGGTGAAACGACGGTAGGGCTGGCGAAGGCGGCAGTAGTGGCAATTGTGGATGTCATGCGGCCTCGTTGCAGCTGCATATGTGACCTGGGGCTTACGATTGTCCCTTACCGGTGATCTGCAAGCGCGTTAGCGCTTTACAGTGTTTATGGATTGTATTTGGGGCCGCATGCCCCTCCCCAACAAAAATCCCAAACAGTAAGGCAAGCATTTCCGACAGAGGCCGACCACCCACCAGTACCCACGCACAGCCAAGCACAACGGCCGCGAAAGGACTAACCACATCGTGGTGTGCGAGAGTGCCGCCAACAGCCGCCTTAAGGTTAAGACTCGGTCGAGTAACCCATCGACGCCACCCCACCCCATGTAGCGAGGGTGCTACAAATACCAATCATTACGGCTACACAGCATCCTAGGAGGCCTTTTCAGGACCGTTGTTACACCCCACCCCGCAAACAACCAGCCAGCCAACATTACAGCCCGGTCGGTTCACTCGCACACAGCTTTTATCCCACACCTGAGTGCCATTTCCCACATGAACGGATAAAGTTGTATGCGGATAAACATGTACGGATACACATGTACGAATGTAAATGCACGGAAAAGGACATGTACGCAGTGCTCCTTGAAACCCGCCTCGGCTAGCCTCACACTTATTTCGGCCTTCTTGCCATGCCCGAGCACGTGTGGCGATGTGGGGCCCCACTCCTTGACCCGACGCCACTCGACATCATACATAGACAAACGTCATAGCCAGCTTCATTCAGCTCGTTGACAGCCCGACCACCCTCTCCAACGCGACTCGGTAGCGGTATAACCCTCACTTGCTATGCGGCAACCCGCCTCCTCCTCTAATGCATGTGCCTTGCCAACTCAAATCCAGTTCACCGGCCATCGCCCGCATGCATGCTGCCCACGTCGTCCTGCTGCTCGCCTCCAGCCGGGTGCATCACCCCCGCCTACCCGCGCCTCGCTTCCATGATTACCCAACCTGATACAGTACCGGTAGTTGTCACCCGTTCACCCTAGCCCCCAGTCAGTCCACCAGCTGCTATCTACCGGTGCTCGGCCCGCCACCACGTACTCCGTATACCGGCGTGGCGCTTGTCACCACAGCCTCCAGTACGGCTCGTCACCCCAGCAGAAATTCAACCTCCGGGAAGTCCAGCTGCTCCCCCAGCGCCAGCAGCCACTCCAGCCGCCTCAGCCCGATGCCGCACGCGCTGGGCTCCCAGGCGCCGTCCCATGCCTGCCGGACGGCCTGCGTAGGGTGGGTAGTTGGGCGGGTGGGTGGGTGGGCGGCAAGCGAGGTATGTGCCGCAGGCGTTTGGGGAAACGGGAGCATGGTTCCCTAGACGGGGAAAAAGAATATCCAATGTGTGGTCACTGTGGTGTGATAGTGGTAAACTAGCTGCAAGGCTTGCAAGGGCAGTGCAGAGCAAGGAAGCATGTGCATGGTGGGGCGTTCGCATATCGGTGCCCTATCATATGCTGTGCTGTGCCCCAGTGTCCCCATTTGCCCAGTCCCGTCGGACTGCTGCTTCAGCTCGCATCCAACCCCACATAATCCGTACACCCACACCTTCGGCCCTCCCACCCGCATGACCCCGCACACGCATGCCGACACGCACCCACCGGATGCAAGGCGGCGAACACGCCGTCCAATCCACACACGCTCTTATTGCAAAATGTCTCCAATTCACTCTCAGACCTGAGCCGCAACACCTGCAGCCCCGCAGCAGCAGCCTCCACACCCGCTGCTGCTGCCCCAGTCGTCCCCACCTCCACCGCCAGCGCCTTCACAGCTGCCTCCACCGCCTCCGCCCCCGCCCTGCCCATGCACTGCACCACCACTGCGTCCGCAGCCGGCAGCTCCTGGTAACGCGTCACACAGCGCTCGCTGCCACCCCCCGCCACCTGCACCGCCCGCTCATTCAGCCTGCGCATCCACAGCTGGAGAGGTTCCTCGTCTCGCTGCCGTGACCCCCCCTCATGCTGCCCTCCCGCTCGCTGCCCCTGCTGTAGCATTGGTGCCAGGAGCGGGCCGCTTGCCCACAGCAAATGCGCATCCCATGAGCCACTACTGTCAGCCGCAGACCCGCGGACCTGCCCAGCCGCTGCCGCCTGCGCCACCGCGATCCTCATCAGATCTCCTGCTGACGGCAGCTGTTGAAGGCAGCCGCCTGCCGCCGCCGCGGGGCCCAGCTCTCGCATGGAGCCACCACCCGGCGGTTCGTGGTGCGAGGAGGAAGGCTCCTCCGCCACTGCCGTCGACTCTAAGGTAAAGGCGGGTCCAGCCACCCGGAGCTTCAGCTGCTGCGGCCGGCCCAACAGCTCCACGGCCTGCAGAACTGCATCTAGGGAGGTGCGATCGAAGGCCATGCACTGCACCTCCACCGTTGCTGAGAAGTTCTGCCTCAGCACCTGCCTCGAACGGGCCAGCTGCGGTCCAGACAGCGGGGAGCTGTCTATGTACAGTTCTTGAATTTGCAGACGTGGCTTCAGCTGCTGCTGCTGCGGAGGCCTGGCGAGGCTCCAGCGATGCAGGTGCCTTGTGAGGAACTTGGTTTTCACAAACCCCAGCCGGACAATCTGTATGCGGCCCGCATCCAGATGGGCGTCCGCAGTTTCATACTCGCCATACGCATACATGCAGTCCTCCAGCCGTAGGTGCCGCAGCGAGGAGGAGGGTGCCAAGCGGTCCAGCAGCAGCCGCAGCATCTTAGAGCTCCTGCTGGCGTCCTCCGCCTCCTCGTTCTTGTCCTTGACCTCTCCCTCACCCGACAGGATGCACCCGCTCAGATGCAGCTCCTGCAGACGCGTCAGCTTGGACAGCTCGTGAATGTAAGCAGCTGTTAGCCTGTTGCCACGATCCGGATCTGCATCTGATTCCGGATCCAGGCAAGCGACCCGAAGCACTGACAAGCTGACAAGGCTGCTGCATGCCGCCAGGCCGCTCACCCCACGCAACGCCGCATACCCGGGCAGCGCCAGCTGTTCAAGGTGTGGCAGGGTGGAGAGTGCGGCGTACATGAGCTGCTGCTGCAGAAGTGAGGGGTTGTGCAGGAGCGGCAGTGCGTTGGAGAGGTCCAGCTGCCTCAGAGCGGGCAGGAACAGCGGCAGCTGCGCCACAGCTGGCTGAAGGTCCACGTGGAGATCGTCCATCTCCCAGCTCACGTTGACACGTTTAATTCTTTGCCTGATTTCCAGCGGCGACCGTGTAAATTGTAGCGCTACTAGCGCTGCAACGCCTGCTGGGCCAGCGTTGTTGTCTAGTAGGCGCAGCCCCAGACTGATAGCTTCACAGCAAGGCCAGGGCTTGAGCGAGGGCATCCAGCCCATTCGCCAAAGTCGCTTGAAATTGCGGCCAAGGCTTGGCTCTAATTGGCGCACGCAGTCGTCATGTGCGGTGCGCAGGGCGCGGAACGCCAGGCGTGCATTTCCTGCGATATATTCGCCTTTGAGATAATTGTAAAAGATTTCTAGCGCAGGCATGCTGAGCTTGGGAAGGACGTCCGCAAAGCTCGGCACCTGGCTGTTGTTTTCCATTTTGTGATGTTAAGGCACCAGCTGAGGCAGTCTATAAAGCTATTCCGCTGCTTAAGGTTTCTGTATTATTGAAACCTTTTACTTATTCAACGTGGGTAAACTAACGATTGGATACGGTAATGGCCGCGCGCAACACGGAGTATGCATGGGCGTGTCCTAATACGTGTGTGGTTCAGGGGCCTGCCACCTCAGCAGCCTCGCCCCTGCCACCTCAGAAGCCTCGCCCCTGCCCCGTCAGAAGCCTCGCCCCTGCCACCTCAGTAGCCTCGCCCCTGCCACCTCAGTACCCTCGCCCCTGCCACCTCAGTACCCTCGCCCCTGCCACCTAAGGAGCCTCGCCCCTGCCATCTCAGTACCCTCGCCCCTGCCACCTCAGGAGACCCGCCCCTGCCACCTCAGAAGCCTCGCCCCTGCCACCTCAGAAGCCTCGCCCCTGCCACCTCAGAAGCCTCGCCCCTGCCACCGCAGAAGCCTCGCCCCTGCCACCTCAGAAGCCTCGCCCCTGCCACCTCAGGAGCCTCGCCCCTGCCACCTCAGGAGCCTCGCCCCTGCCACCTCAGGAGCCTCGCCCCTGCCACCTCTGAAGCCTCGCCCCTGCCACCTCTGAAGCCTCGCCCCTGCCACCTCAGAAGCCTCGCCCCTGCCACCTCAGAAGCCTCGCCCCTGCCACCTCAGAAGCCTCGCCCCTGCCACCTCAGTACTCTCGCCCCTGCCACCTAAGAAGCCTCGCCCCTGCCACCTCAGAAGCCAAACCCCTGCCACCGCAGAAGCCTCGCCCCTGCCACCGCAGAAGCCTCGCCCCTGCCACCTCAGTACCCTCGCCCCTGCCACCTCAGAAGCCTCGCCCCTGCCACCTTATAAGCCTCGCCCCTGCCACCTCAGAAGCCTCGCCCCTGCCACCTCAGTACCCTCGCCCCTGCCCCGTCAGAAGCCTCGCCCCTGCTTCCTCAGATTCCTCGCCCCTGCCACCTCAGTACCCTCGCCCCTGCCCCCTCAGAAGCCTCGCCCCTGCCACCTCAGTACCCTCGCCCCTGCCACCTCAACACCCTCGCCCCTGCTACCGCAGAAGCCTCGCCCCTGCCACCTCAGAAGCCTCGCCCCTGCCACCTCAGAAGCCTCGCCCCTGCCACCTCAGTACCCTCGCCCCTGCCACCTCAGAAGCCTCCCCCCTGCCCCCTCAGAAGCCTCGCCCCTGCTACCTCAGAAGCCTCGCCCCTGCCACCTCAGCACCCTCGCCCCTGCCACCTCAGAAGCCTCGCCCCTGCCACCTCAGAGGCCTCGCCCCGGCCACCTCAATACCCTCGCCCCGGCCACCTCAGTACCCTCGCCCCTGCCACCTCAGAAGCCTCGCCCCTGCCACCTCAGCCCCTGCCACCTCAATACCCTCGCCCCTGCCACCTCAGAAGCCCTCGCCCCTGCCACCGCAGAAGCCTCGCCCCTGCCACCTCAGAAGCCTCGCCCCTGCCACCTCAGAAGCCTCGCCCCTGCCACCTCAGTACCCTCGCCCCTGCCCCGTCAGAAGCCTCGCCCCTGCTACCTCAGAAGCCTCGCCCCTGCCACCTCAGTACCCTCGCCCCTGCCCCCTCAGAAGCCTCGGCCCTGCCCCCTCAGAAACCTCGCCCCTGCCACCTCAATACCCTCGCCCCTGCCCCCTCAGAAGCCTCGCCCCTGCAACCTCAGAAGCCTCGCCCCTGCCACCTCAGTACCCACGCCCCTGCCACCTCAGAAGCCTCGCCCCTATAACCTCAGAAGCCTCGCCCCTGCCCCCTCAGAAGCCTCGCCCCTGCCCCCTCAGAAGCCTCGCCCCTGCCCCGTCAGAAGCCTCGCCCCTGCTACCTCAGAAGCCTCGCCCCTGCCACCTCAGTACCCTCGCCCCTGCCACCTCAGAAGCCTCGCCCCTGCCACCTCAGAGGCCTCGCCCCGGCCACCTCAATACCCTCGCCCCGGCCACCTCAGTACCCTCGCCCCTGCCACCTCAGAAGCCTCGCCCCTGCCACCTCAGCCCCTGCCACCTCAATACCCTCGCCCCTGCCACCTCAGAAGCCTCGCCCCTGCCACCGCAGAAGCCTCGCCCCTGCCACCTCAGAAGCCTCGCCCCTGCCACCTCAGAAGCCTCGCCCCTGCCACCTCAGTACCCTCGCCCCTGCCCCGTCAGAAGCCTCGCCCCTGCTACCTCAGAAGCCTCGCCCCTGCCACCTCAGTACCCTCGCCCCTGCCCCCTCAGAAGCCTCGCCCCTGCCCCCTCAGAAACCTCGCCCCTGCCACCTCAATACCCTCGCCCCTGCCACCTCAGAAGCCTCCCCCCTGCCACCGCAGAAGCCTCGCCCCTGCCACCTCAGAAGCCTCGCCCCTGCCACCTCAGGAGCCTCGCCCCTGCCACCTCAGTACCCTCGCCCCTGCCACCTAAGAAGCCTCGCCCCTGCCACCTCAGAAGCCTCGCCCCTGCCCCGTCAGAAGCCTCGCCCCTGCCACCTCAGTAGCCTCGCCCCTGCCACCTCAGTACCCTCGCCCCTGCCACCTAAGGAGCCTCGCCCCTGCCATCTCAGTACCCTCGCCCCTGCCACCTCAGGAGACCCGCCCCTGCCACCTCAGAAGCCTCGCCCCTGCCACCTCAGAAGCCTCGCCCCTGCCACCTCAGAAGCCTCGCCCCTGCCACCGCAGAAGCCTCGCCCCTGCCACCTCAGAAGCCTCGCCCCTGCCACCTCAGGAGCCTCGCCCCTGCCACCTCAGGAGCCTCGCCCCTGCCACCTCAGGAGCCTCGCCCCTGCCACCTCAGAAGCCTCGCCCCTGCCACCTCTGAAGCCTCGCCCCTGCCACCTCAGAAGCCTCGCCCCTGCCACCTCAGAAGCCTCGCCCCTGCCACCTCAGTACCCTCGCCCCTGCCACCTCAGAAGCCTCGCCCCTGCCACCTCAGAAGCCAAACCCCTGCCACCGCAGAAGCCTCGCCCCTGCCACCGCAGAAGCCTCGCCCCTGCCACCTCAGTACCCTCGCCCCTGCCACCTCAGAAGCCTCGCCCCTGCCACCTCATAAGCCTCGCCCCTGCCACCTCAGAAGCCTCGCCCCTGCCACCTCAGTACCCTCGCCCCTGCCCCGTCAGAAGCCTCGCCCCTGCTTCCTCAGATTCCTCGCCCCTGCCACCTCAGTACCCTCGCCCCTGCCCCCTCAGAAGCCTCGCCCCTGCCACCTCAGAAGCCTCGCCCATGCCACCTCAACACCCTCGCCCCTGCTACCGCAGAAGCCTCGCCCCTGCCACCTCAGAAGCCTCGCCCCGGCCACCTCAATACCCTCGCCCCTGCCCCCTCAGAAGCCTCGCCCCTGCCACCTCAGAAGCCTCGCAACTGCCACCTCAGTACCCTCGCCCCTGCCACCTCAGAAGCCTCACCCCTGCCCCGTCAGAAGCCTCGCCCCTGCTACCTCAGAAGCCTCGCCCCTGCCACCTCAGTACCCTCGCCCCTGCCACCTCAGAAGCCTCGCCCCTGCCACCTCAGAGGCCTCGCCCCGGCCACCTCAAAACCCTCGCCCCGGCCACCTCAGTACCCTCGCCCCTGCCACCTCAGAAGCCTCGCCCCTGCCACCTCAGCCCCTGCCACCTCAATACCCTCGCCCCTGCCACCTCAGAAGCCCTCGCCCCTGCCACCGCAGAAGCCTCGCCCCTGCCACCTCAGAAGCCTCGCCCCTGCCACCTCAGAAGCCTCGCCCCTGCCACCTCAGTACCCTCGCCCCTGCCCCCTCAGAAGCCTCGCCCCTGCTACCTCAGAAGCCTCGCCCCTGCCACCTCAGTACCCTCGCCCCTGCCCCCTCAGAAGCCTCGCCCCTGCCCCCTCAGAAACCTCGCCCCTGCCACCTCAATACCCTCGCCCCTGCCCCCTCAGAAGCCTCGCCCCTGCAACCTCAGAAGCCTCGCCCCTGCCACCTCAGTACCCTCGCCCCTGCCACCTCAGAAGCCTCGCCCCTATAACCTCAGAAGCCTCGCCCCTGCCCCCTCAGAAGCCTCGCCCCTGCCACCTCAGAAGCCTCGCCCCTGCCCCGTCAGAAGCCTCGCCCCTGCTACCTCAGAAGCCTCGCCCCTGCCACCTCAGTACCCTCGCCCCTGCCACCTCAGAAGCCTCGCCCCTGCCACCTCAGAGGCCTCGCCCCGGCCACCTCAATACCCTCGCCCCGGCCACCTCAGTACCCTCGCCCCTGCCACCTCAGAAGCCTCGCCCCTGCCACCTCAGCCCCTGCCACCTCAATACCCTCGCCCCTGCCACCTCAGAAGCCTCGCCCCTGCCACCGCAGAAGCCTCGCCCCTGCCACCTCAGAAGCCTCGCCCCTGCCACCTCAGAAGCCTCGCCCCTGCCACCTCAGTACCCTCGCCCCTGCCCCCTCAGAAGCCTCGCCCCTGCCACCTCAGAAGCCTCGCCCCTGCCACCTCAGTACCCTCGCCCCTGCCCCCTCAGAAGCCTCGGCCCTGCCCCCTCAGAAACCTCGCCCCTGCCACCTCAATACCCTCGCCCCTGCCACCTCAGAAGCCTCGCCCCTGCCACCGCAGAAGCCTCGCCCCTGCCACCGCAGAAGCCTCGCCCCTGCCACCTCAGGAGCCTCGCCCCTGCCACCTCAGGAGCCTCGCCCCTGCCACCTCAGGAGCCTCGCCCCTGCCACCTCAGGAGCCTCGCCCCTGCCACCTCAGGAGCCTCGCCCCTGCCACCTCTGAAGCCTCGCCCCTGCCACCTCAGAAGCCTCGCCCCTGCCACCTCAGAAGCCTCGCCCCTGCCACCTCAGAAGCCTCGCCCCTGCCACCTCAGTACCCTCGCCCCTGCCACCGCAGAAGCCTCGCCCCTGCCACCGCAGAAGCCTCGCCCCTGCCACCTCAGTACCCTCGCCCCTGCCACCTCAGAAGCCTCGCCCCTGCCACCTTATAAGCCTCGCCCCTGCCACCTCAGAAGCCTCGCCCCTGCCACCTCAGTACCCTCGCCCCTGCCCCGTCAGAAGCCTCGCCCCTGCTTCCTCAGATTCCTCGCCCCTGCCACCTCAGTACCCTCGCCCCTGCCCCCTCAGAAGCCTCGCCCCTGCCACCTCAGAAGCCTCGCCCATGCCACCTCAACACCCTCGCCCCTGCTACCGCAGAAGCCTCGCCCCTGCCACCTCAGAAGCCTCGCCCCTGCCACCTCAATACCCTCGCCCCTGCCCCCTCAGAAGCCTCGCCCCTGCCACCTCAGAAGCCTCGCAACTGCCACCTCAGTACCCTCGCCCCTGCCACCTCAGAAGCCTCACCCCTGCCCCGTCAGAAGCCTCGCCCCTGCTACCTCAGAAGCCTCGCCCCTGCCACCTCAGTACCCTCGCCCCTGCCACCTCAGAAGCCTCGCCCCTGCCACCTCAGAGGCCTCGCCCCGGCCACCTCAATCCCTTGCCCCGGCCACCTCAGTACCCTCGCCCCTGCCACCTCAGAAGCCTCGCCCCTGCCACCTCAGCCCCTGCCACCTCAATACCCTCGCCCCTGCCACCTCAGAAGCCTCGCCCCTGCCACCGCAGAAGCCTCGCCCCTGCCACCTCAGAAGCCTCGCCCCTGCCACCTCAGAAGCCTCGCCCCTGCCACCTCAGTACCCTCGCCCCTGCCCCGTCAGAAGCCTCGCCCCTGCTACCTCAGAAGCCTCGCCCCTGCCACCTCAGTACCCTCGCCCCTGCCCCCTCAGAAGCCTCGGCCCTGCCCCCTCAGAAACCTCGCCCCTGCCACCTCAGAGGCCTCGCCCTGCCACCTCAACACCCTCGCCCCTGCCACCTCAGTACCCTCGCCCCTGGCATTGGGTGCACTGGCATTGGGTGCTGGTCGCTCTCCTCTGGTCACTCCGCAACCTGATAGCCCGCACCACCACCACCTGCTCCGTCGCTGTTACCTCATGCCGGCGGCCTATACGGTACCTCCTCGTGCTGGTTCTTTCCCTGCTTGTTTGCTTCCTCATTTGACGCCCCGCACCTCTCCACCAGGCGGGCGTGCGGGTGCTTGAGCCGCTGGCAGCGGGAGGGGGACTGGCGGCGGAGTGGAGGGCACCAGGTAGGAGGGGGCAAATTATATAAAAGTGAAACAACGAATCCCAATCCCATAGCCCGACTCATGCAGTGAGCGCATTCGGAGGCACTAATAACACGCATCTCAAATTACTTACCGACTCGTAATCAGGTAGGAGGGGGCAGGGGGAGGAGGGGAGGGAGGGACGCCACAAAACACAACACGCTGCCGGCACTCTCCCAAACCTACACCCTACGGAAGCCCCTTGTGTGCTGCACACCCTGTCAAACCCTGCCGCGCCACCTCCACGCTATACCCCTATACGCTCCCCCCACACACACCTCCCCACCCCGCCCAACCCCGCAGAGCCCCTCTCCCTGGCAGTTCACAACGGCGGCCGCATCCTCGCCGTCGCCAGCCGCTCCCGCCTCACCCTGCTTGCCGTACAGCCACACACCGGTGCCGTACAACAGCTGTCGTACATTCAACTCTCCGCACAGCTCTCGGCACTGACACTGTGCAGCCTGCCGCCGCACCTAATCCCGCCTCCGTCATCTTCACCTTCACCTTCCTCGTTAACGTCATCGTCAGCTGAAGCAGCAGCGGCGGCGGCGGTAGCGGGAGAAGTTGGAGAGCCGGCGGCAGCGGTGGCGGAGGCGCGTTGTACGGCGGTCCTGATGGGTCAGTGGGTCGCCAATGTGGTGGAGGTGACGTCAGCGAGTGACCTGTCTTGCCCCTTGCTGCGAATAACGCTGGGAGAGGGCGAAACGCCCAGGTCCCTAGCGCTGCTGCCGCTGCCGCCGTCGCCGCCTGCAGCAGCAGCCAACACACAGCAACCGCAGCAGCAGCAACCGCAGCAGCAGCAACCGCAGCAGCAGCAACCGCAGCAGCAGCAACCGCAGCAGCAGCAACCGCAGCAGCAGCAACCGCAGCAGCAGCAACCGCAGCAGCAGCAACCGCAGCAGCAGCAACCGCAGCAGCAGCAACCGCAGCAGCAGCAACCGCAGCAGCAGCAACCGCAGCAGCAGCAACCGCAGCAGCAGCAACCGCAGCAGCAGCAACCGCAGCAGCAGCAACCGCAGCAGCAGCAACCGCAGCAGCAGCAACCGCAGCAGCAGCAACCGCAGCAGCAGCAACCGCAGCAGCAGCAACCGCAGCAGCAGCAACCGCAGCAGCAGCAACCGCAGCAGCAGCAACCGCAGCAGCAGCAACCGCAGCAGCAGCAACCGCAGCAGCAGCAACCGCAGCAGCAGCAACCGCAGCAGCAGCAACCGCAGCAGCAGCAACCGCAGCAGCAGCAACCGCAGCAGCAGCAACCGCAGCAGCAGCAACCGCAGCAGCAGCAACCGCAGCAGCAGCAACCGCAGCAGCAGCAACCGCAGCAGCAGCAACCGCAGCAGCAGCAACCGCAGCAGCAGCAACCGCAGCAGCAGCAACCGCAGCAGCAGCAACCGCAGCAGCAGCAACCGCAGCAGCAGCAACCGCAGCAGCAGCAACCGCAGCAGCAGCAACCGCAGCAGCAGCAGCGGGTCCAGCCGGTGTGGCCGGTGTTGCTGGCAGGGACGCATAGCGGCCGGCTTCACATGTGGCAGGTGCTACCGACATCATTAGCGTCATCTTCATCACCACCTTATGAGGCAGCTGGGGCCTCCTCGGGCTCAGCTATGCAGCAACAGCAATTGCAACCGCAACACCAGTCGTACACCCCCTGGCGGTTAGGTCCCTGCTACAGTCTGCGGGTGAGTCAGGTGGCGGTGGAGCTGCAGCCTGTGTTCGTTCCGACAACCGCTGCAGCAGGAGGAGCCAAGGGAGGAGGAGTGCTGTTGTTCCCCAGCTACATCTACGTGCACTCCAGCTCAGGAGCGCTCATACGACCGCGGCCTCCTGCGGGTCCGCAGCAGCACGAACCTCAGCACCAACCTCAGCAGCAGCAGCAGCAGCAGCAGCCGTTATCGGAACTGGTAGAGGTGGTGCGAGTGCATGGTTCCGAGGGGGCCCAGGCGCTGTGTGCGCTGAGCGCGCAGGACATGCCGGACAGCGCGGCGTGGATCACACGCGGCGGGCGACTGCTGTTCGGACGGATGGACCCACGGGTCAGGCTGCGGTGGAGCACGGTGTATGTAGGTACGTGGCTGACTGGCTGACTGGTGAAGTGAAGAGCGAGGTGGCTGTTTGGGTTGACAGCTGCGGCCATGTACATGTGTTGTAAGTGTGGTGTGAAGGTGGTAGGGGGGATGCACTGTATACGTGCTGTACGGGCTGTGGCTGCGTGACTGGGTAGGTTGCGTGGCGTTGTTGTTTCCTGCTGTAGACGCGGGGTGCAGATAATGTGATGTGTTGACAGATATGAAGGGTGCCGTACATCGCTGGGAACATCCTCCCGGTACCTCGGAACGAGTGCCGGGTTATAAACGCGTCTTTTCAACATGCGCCTAGCGCTGAGCATCCCGCATCCTACTTTAGGTGTAGTGCGCCAACCCAGCACTCCTGCTCCCGCTTTCTTTCCGCTCCTTTCCTGTTTCCGCTCCCGCACAATGCTCACCCTCGTTCCTTCCTTGACTACCGGAACTGCTCACCCTCATCGCCCGCAGGCGAAACCATCCACTCCCTGTGCTACCACTCCGCCAGCCGCTGCCTCATCGCCCTCTGCGAATCAGCCAGCAACGCTTCCGACGCTGATACCCTCCCGTACGGCACCGGGGCCGCCCAGTACGGCAACAGTTACGGCGATACGGGCGGCGGCTGTGACGTGTTGCGAGTTGTACATGCGGACTCGCTTCAGCCCGTGCTCTCCATGCGGCTGGCTGCGGGTCACTACCACACAGCGGCGCTGGTGGCTGCACTGCCCTGCAGTTCCCAGGGCCTGCAGCAGCTGAGGCAGCTGGGGGGGTCAGCAGGAGGAGGAGGCAGCGGCGCCGGCGGCGGCGGCGGCGGAGGAGGGATAGTGGAGCAGCAGCAACAGCAGCGGAGCAGGGGCATGCAGAAGGAGGAGCAGGGGTCTAGAGCGGTTGGAATTGCAGGCGGTGGGAAGGAGTTCATCGTGCTGGCTTCGTACCTGCTGGTAGATGCAGCGGCGGCGGCGGTGGCGGCGGCGGCGACAGAGGAGGAGGAGGAGTCGGGTGAGGCCGCCGGGGGTGCGGCGGCGGCTGGCGGGGAAAGCCGGCATGGAGCTGCTGCTGCGGCGGCTCCAGGCGGTAGGGTGATGCAGGGCGCTTTGTCCTTTCTGGAACTCAAGCTCAACGTCAGCAGTGATACCACCTCAGCCGCAGAAGCAGCAAGTATGGGGACCGCAGCGAGCCTCCCTCCTGATGCTCATGCTGCTGCTGCCGCCGCCGCCGCCACGTCGGCTGTACGGTACCAACTGGTGCTGCATGGGACCCACATGATGTCCGGCGTGGCAAGCGCTCTGGCCGTTGCTCGTCCGGTGCCGTACGATGCAACCGTTAGCGCTGCTACGGCTTCGGACATGTCTGCTGCCGCTGCCGCTGCCGCCGGCGGCGGCGGGGCTAACGAGACGTCGAATCCCCTCCTTCTTTGTAGCGGACGCAGCTTCCGTGGCGGCAGTGGCGGCCTGGGGGCCGCGGCGGCGGCGCTCAAACTCCGCGCAGCCGCCGCCGCCGCTGAAACCACGTCGCAGCCCCACACCGCCGTACAATCGGGCCCAGCGGCGGCGACGTCACCGCCGATGCCGTACTATCTCCTCGCCGGCTGCCAAGACGGCGTCCACGTGTACCAGGTTCATGTGGATGACGTGGCAAGTGAGGGTCCGCGGGCGGTGCAGCGCGCGATCAGGGTGGTGGGGAAGCGGGTTTCGGAGCTGCGGCTGCCGTTACCCAGACATGCAGCGGAGGGGGGCCTGCAGCCTCCGGGATTGGCGGGACTGCTGCGGCCGCAGGCGGCCGGAAGAGGAGAGGGAGGAGGAGGGGGTGATGCGATGGTGGTGGAACGAGAGGGAGAGGAGGGGCTGGTGGAGGATGAGTCAGGTGGGTGTGAAGGGGGGTGGGGGAGGGGAGGCGGACAGGGGGAGGTGCGGGTTTGCGGTGCACCGCATGTGCGGTTCCGGGGCTCTAGGGAAGGGACGTAGGTTTGGGGTTGCGTATGACGTCGAGACTAACTCTGGTTGGCCCCTGGCCGAAGAGCCCATAGCATCTGGCCCACCAACCTCCTCCTTTACAAAGCTGCTCCTTCTTCCGCTTACCGGTATCCTATTTTCACGTTATTCCACAATATTCCTCTTTCGCAGAGCTCCCCGAAGTGCCTCGCCAGGCGCTGCCACAACGCTCCCGCGCCAACACAAACCAGCAGCAGCGGCCAGGGCTGCGAGGTGGCGCAGAAGAAGCTGAGGAGGAGGAGGAGGAGGAAGACTGGGATCAGTACGGGTTGGGGGCCCTCCGCTACGGCAGCGATGATGATGAAGACGTTGCGGATGATGATGGGGTTGGAGGGGAGTACGACTATGACTTTGAAGGCTTTGAGTTGGAGGCGTTTGGCGGTGGCGGCGGAGGAGGAAGAGGTCGTGGTGGCCCAGGGGTTGGCAGAGGAGGAGCAGGAGGAGCAGGAGCAGGTGCAGCAGCAGGGGGAGTCCAGCCGCTGCCCCCCGATCAGGCGCAACGGGCGCTGCGAGCGCTGATGGCCCGGTTCATGCAGGTGGGTGGTTGAGAGGTAGTCCCGGGTGCGTGTGTGTGTGGGGGGGGGTAAACATAAGAAAACTGGTGGGGTAGGAGGCGTATTGGGGAGGGGGTGAGGGCTGCTGAGGGAAGGGAGTGGGGGACCCCGTGCTAGACGCGCAAGGTGGGTGTTTTGCGGGGGCACGGCAGGTGGGGGGCTCGGCAGGTGGGGGGCACGGCAGGTGGGGGGCACGGCAGGTGGGGGGCACGGCAGGTGGGGGGCACGGCAGGTGGGGGGCACGGCAGGTGGGGGGCACGGCAGGTGGGGGGCACGGCAGGTGGGGGGCACGGCAGGTGGGGGGCACGGCAGGTGGGGGGCACGGCAGGTGGGGGGCACGGCAGGTGGGGGGCACGGCAGGTGGGGGGCACGGCAGGTGGGGGGCACGGCAGGTGGGGGGCACGGCAGGTGGGGGGCACGGCAGGTGGGGGGCACGGCAGGTGGGGGGCACGGCAGGTGGGGGGCACGGCAGGTGGGGGGCACGGCAGGTGGGGGGCACGGCAGGTGGGGGGCACGGCAGGTGGGGGGCACGGCAGGTGGGGGGCACGGCAGGTGGGGGGCACGGCAGGTGGGGGGCACGGCAGGTGGGGGGCACGGCAGGTGGGGGGCACGGCAGGTGGGGGGCACGGCAGGTGGGGGGCACGGCAGGTGGGGGGCACGGCAGGTGGGGGGCACGGCAGGTGGGGGGCACGGCAGGTGGGGGGCACGGCAGGTGGGGGGCACGGCAGGTGGGGGGCACGGCAGGTGGGGGGCACGGCAGGTGGGGGGCACGGCAGGTGGGGGGCACGGCAGGTGGGGGGCACGGCAGGTGGGGGGCACGGCAGGTGGGGGACGGTGTCAGCCAGCTTGCAGTGTGATTCTACCTGATAGGGTGCGGATGCGGCTCTGACGCATGCCGCCATTCCTCATGACCCCCTGGTTCCTTGCCGTCCGTTACGGTACCCTTGGGGCCTGCTGCTGTCCTAACCAAAACCCAGAGGTGCTTTCCGACCCCATCCCACCTCATTAACGGTAGTCTCATCTATCCCTTCTCACTTCTCACCCCACCTCAGGCTGACCCTGACGTCCACCCCGACGATGACGACGAGGACGGTGACATGGAGGATGATGACATGGATGATGACCTCCCTGAAGAGCAGCAGGACCAGCAGGACCGCAACCTGCCCCGCCATGCGGTTGCTCGCGGGGGCAGCGGCACCAGCGGCGCCAGCGGCCGCCCCCTGCGTCGACTGCTCCGAGACCTGGATCGGGACTGGTCGCAGCATGTACGGCTGAGGCGGGTGGCGACATGCCGTACGGCTGGGGGCGCCGTGGTGTCACAGCTCGTGAGCGCTGAGAGCGTCAACAAGGGGGGCTGCAGCTGCTGCTGTGGCTGCGGTGGTGGTGGTGGTTTTCATAGCAGCGGTGATAGCGGCAGCAGCGGCAGCGGTAGCAGGCAGGTAGCAGGGAGTTGCTGCTGCTGCGGAGGAGGCGGCGGCTGCGGAGGAGGAGGAGGCGGCAGTCTTGCGGGTGTGGTGGTGGCTTCGGACCTGCTGGGCAGTGTCACGGTGCTGGTGCTGCGGGCGACACGCAAGGGGGTGGTGCTGGCTCCGGGATCGGTGGACAGACACCCGGTCTTCGCGCAGGTGGGTGGCGGTCATGCAGGCCGCATGCATGCATGCGGGCAGTGCTGAGCTGCATGCTGCGTGCTGCATGTGTGTGTGGGTTGCGTGGAGGCAGGGGGATACCGGTACCGGGTTTCAACTGGCTCCATTACGGCTGGGGGAAGAGCCGCTTCCCTTTGCTTTCCAGCCGGCTTCGGACACGCTCACCCGCACACGGAAGAAGAAGACCCCCAGGACTGCTCCCCCACCTCAACCCCCAATCCAATTCCCTTCCCACCCCCACCTCACCCCCCCTCTCCCTCTCAATCAGTTAGTTGTTTCCTCTTTACCCCCTCTCCCTCTTCTTCCAGCCTTCAATTCGGTCTTAATAGCCCGCATGCACATTACCTCCCCCCTCTTCCCGCTTCCTCCTCCTCCCCCCCCCACCTTCCCCTCGCCTCCAGGCCTGCCTGCCGCTGGACTCCCGGCGCCTGCTGCTGTCGGTGCACCCGCACGGCCTGGCGCTGCTGCTGCGGGAGCCGGCGGCGGAGGAGGCAGCGTGGCGGGAGGCGCAGCGACGGGCGCTTGCGGACTTTGAAGCGGGTGAGGACCTCGATGCCTTCTTTGGCTTCGATTCAGCGGAGCCTGCCTGTGAGGCAAAATTCTTGTCATGCCTTTACCGGAGCACGTTTGTAAGCGTTCCTTCTTAAGTCCTTTGTGTGTATATTTGTGTGACATAAGCTCTAGCTGCTCTGCACTTGCCATGTACTCAACACGTGGTGTGCTACAACACGTACGGTCGGCAGGGTTTTCTTCATGCGCAGTTACCCTGGCTGATGCTTCCCGTCTCCTCCTCCCTTCCTTCCCTCCTGCCTCCATCCTTCCTTTCCTCCCCAGGCATCTCCGCTCGTCAGCGCCAGCAGCGCCAGGCGGCCGCCGTCATGGCGGGAGTCTGGAACCCCGCACAACAACAACATCAACAGCAGCAGCAGCTGGAGCAGCAGGGCCAACAGCCCCATGCAGCAGGGGCAGGGTCGGGGGCAGCCGCAGCAGGCGGTGCTGGTGCAGGAGCAGCAGCAGCAGCAGCAGCGGCGGCGGCGGCAGCAGCCAACACGGTGTTGTTGGATGAGGCGGGGGTGGCGAGGTTGCGACTGGAGGAGATGCCGGGGCTGGAGCTGGGAGCGGCATGCAGGTGCGTGGAGGGGTGGGGCGTGTGGGGTCGGGTTTCGATTAAAAGTAAGCTGAGGGTTGGTTTTCACGGGTTGTCACGTCGCGCTGCAAGTCCCGTACATGTCAGTGTCTACTTTTGTCTGTTCCCGGTATCTCGGCCTCTTCGTGCTCTTCCCCTTCCCTCCAACCCTACCTGGGGCTCCAACCCCTAACCCCCAAATCCCCCCCCAAACCACCCGCAAACCACCCGCAGGTTGCGTCACTCCGTAACCCGCATGTGCCTACTGCCCCTCGGACTGCGACCCCGCCCGTCGCAACCTTCCTCCGCACCCACAACCGCCCCGCACATCGAATCCGCCGTACTTTGCTTCTCCAGCAGTGGTTACGTAGCGGCAGTACGACTGCTAGGGGAGCCACAGCAGCAGCAGCTGCAGCAGCAGCAGCTGCAGCAGCAGCAGCTGCAGCAGCAGCAGCTGCAGCAGCAGCAGCTGCTGGGACCGTCATTCGCAGCCACGTCCTCTTCCATCACAACCTCTGGGGCAGAAACAGCAGCAAGAGGTGGAGCCTCTGTTGTCATGGCACCCTCCGCTCCTGCTGCACCCGTCATTGCTTCTGTGTCGGCTTCTTCCCTCGACGACGTGCTACAGCGGTTGCAAGCGGCCGTCGCATATCTACCACCCGAAGATGCAGCTTTACTGACCGCCGTACATTCGGAGAGCTACTGTCATGGCTACAGCTGGCCGCTGGTAATCCCCCGGGGGACGGCGGCGATGGTGGGTGCGACGGCTGGGGGCGTGCATGGTGCTGCTGGTGGCGGTGGTGGTGGCGGTGGTGGTGTGCAGCAGCAGCAGCAGCGGGGACATCAGCAGGCGGAGGAAGTTGATGAGGAGGAGTGGCAGGAGGAGGAGGTGGAGGCTCAGAGGCTGGCTGGCAGGTGTCTGGATGGAGCGCTGCTGGGCTTGGTGGTCCGGGCGGCGGCTGGGGGCAGCAGTGAGGGGGCAGGAGGACTCCAGCTAGGGTTGGGAGCGGATGGGGGTGCGGGTGTGGGTGCGGTGTTGCAGGGTTTGGTGGAGGCGGTGCTGGGTCGAGGTGGAGAGGTGGTGCAGCTGTTGGCTTTGCTGCGTAGGTTGCGGTTGGATGGCAGCGAGTGAGCTGCACTTACGGCAGCAACAAGCAGCATTGGGCTGTAGTCGTTTCTTGCATTCCACTCATATCCGTTACAAACAGTCAAACCCAGCGACGCTTCCATAATAGCCTGGGACATCCTGCAGTGTTAGCAATTTTGATGTTGAAAAATTGGCCAATGATAGCGACAGATAATACCACATGCCACATGCAGGGCGCGTGTACGTCAGAAGTGGTGGCCGCCAGCCGTGCATGCATGCAAACATGGATGAGAGAGGGTTTTCCCATGTACAATTGGGTGAAACGACGGTAGGGCTGGCGAAGGCGGCAGTAGTGGCAATTGTGGATGTCATGCGGCCTCGTTGCAGCTGCATATGTGACCTGGGGCTTACGATTGTCCCTTACCGGTGATCTGCAAGCGCGTTAGCGCTTTACAGTGTTTATGGATTGTATTTGGGGCCGCATGCCCCTCCCCAACAAAAATCCCAAACAGTAAGGCAAGCATTTCCGACAGAGGCCGACCACCCACCAGTACCCACGCACAGCCAAGCACAACGGCCGCGAAAGGACTAACCACATCGTGGTGTGCGAGAGTGCCGCCAACAGCCGCCTTAAGGTTAAGACTCGGTCGAGTAACCCATCGACGCCACCCCACCCCATGTAGCGAGGGTGCTACAAATACCAATCATTACGGCTACACAGCATCCTAGGAGGCCTTTTCAGGACCGTTGTTACACCCCACCCCGCAAACAACCAGCCAGCCAACATTACAGCCCGGTCGGTTCACTCGCACACAGCTTTTATCCCACACCTGAGTGCCATTTCCCACATGAACGGATAAAGTTGTATGCGGATAAACATGTACGGATACACATGTAAGAATGTAAATGCACGGAAAAGGACATGTACGCAGTGCTCCTTGAAACCCGCCTCGGCTAGCCTCACACTTATTTCGGCCTTCTTGCCATGCCCGAGCACGTGTGGCGATGTGGGGCCCCACTCCTTGACCCGACGCCACTCGACATCATACATAGACAAACGTCATAGCCAGCTTCATTCAGCTCGTTGACAGCCCGACCACCCTCTCCAACGCGACTCGGTAGCGGTATAACCCTCACTTGCTATGCGGCAACCCGCCTCCTCCTCTAATGCATGTGCCTTGCCAACTCAAATCCAGTTCACCGGCCATCGCCCGCATGCATGCTGCCCACGTCGTCCTGCTGCTCGCCTCCAGCCGGGTGCATCACCCCCGCCTACCCGCGCCTCGCTTCCATGATTACCCAACCTGATACAGTACCGGTAGTTGTCACCCGTTCACCCTAGCCCCCAGTCAGTCCACCAGCTGCTATCTACCGGTGCTCGGCCCGCCACCACGTACTCCGTATACCGGCGTGGCGCTTGTCACCACAGCCTCCAGTACGGCTCGTCACCCCAGCAGAAATTCAACCTCCGGGAAGTCCAGCTGCTCCCCCAGCGCCAGCAGCCACTCCAGCCGCCTCAGCCCGATGCCGCACGCGCTGGGCTCCCAGGCGCCGTCCCATGCCTGCCGGACGGCCTGCGTAGGGTGGGTAGTTGGGCGGGTGGGTGGGTGGGCGGCAAGCGAGGTATGTGCCGCAGGCGTTTGGGGAAACGGGAGCATGGTTCCCTAGACGGGGAAAAAGAATATCCAATGTGTGGTCACTGTGGTGTGATAGTGGTAAACTAGCTGCAAGGCTTGCAAGGGCAGTGCAGAGCAAGGAAGCATGTGCATGGTGGGGCGTTCGCATATCGGTGCCCTATCATATGCTGTGCTGTGCCCCAGTGTCCCCATTTGCCCAGTCCCGTCGGACTGCTGCTTCAGCTCGCATCCAACCCCACATAATCCGTACACCCACACCTTCGGCCCTCCCACCCGCATGACCCCGCACACGCATGCCGACACGCACCCACCGGATGCAAGGCGGCGAACACGCCGTCCAATCCAAACACGCTCATACCGCAAAATGCCTCCAATCCACGCTGAGACCTGAGCCGCAACACCTGCAGCCCCGCAGCAGCAGCCTCCAGCCCCGCTGCTGCTGCCCCAGTCGTCCCCACCTCCACCGCCAGCGCCTTCACAGCTGCCTCCACCGCCTCCGCCCCCGCCCTGCCCATGCACTGCACCACCACTGCGTCCGCAGCCGGCAGCGCCTGGTAACGCGTCACACAGCGCTCGCTGCCACCCCCCGCCACCTGCACCGCCCGCTCATTCAGCCTGCGCATCCACAGCTGGAGAGGTTCCTCGTCTCGCTGCCGTGACCCCCCCTCATGCTGCCCTCCCGCTCGCTGCCCCTGCTGTAGCATTGGTGCCAGGGGCGGGCCACTTGCCCACAGCAAATGCGCATCCCATGAGCCACTACTGTCAGCCGCAGACCCGCGGACCTGCCCAGCCGCTGCCGCCTGCGCCACCGCGATCCTCATCAGATCTCCCGCTGACGGCAGCTGTTGAAGGCAGCCGCCTGCCGCCGCCGCGGGGCCCAGCTCTCGCATGGAGCCACCACCCGGCGGTTCGTGGTGCGAAGAGGAAGGCTCCTCCGCCACTGCCGTCGACTCTAAGGTAAAGGCGGGTCCAGCCACCCGGAGCTTCAGCTGCTGCGGCCGGCCCAACAGCTCCACGGCCTGCAGAACTGCATCTAGGGAGGTGCGATCGAAGGCCATGCACTGCACCTCCACCGTTGCTGAGAAGTTCTGCCTCAGCACCTGCCTCGAACGGGCCAGCTGCGGTCCAGACAGCGGGGAGCTGTCTATGTACAGTTCTTGAATTTGCAGACGTGGCTTCAGCTGCTGCTGCTGCGGAGGCCTGGCGAGGCTCCAGCGATGCAGGTGCCTTGTGAGGAACTTGGTTTTCACAAACCCCAGCCGGACAATCTGTATGCGGCCCGCATCCAGATGGGCGTCCGCAGTTTCATACTCGCCATACGCATACATGCAGTCCTCCAGCCGTAGGTGCCGCAGCGAGGAGGAGGGCGCCAAGCGGTCCAGCAGCAGCCGCAGCATCTTAGAGCTCCTGCTGGCGTCCTCCGCCTCCTCGTTCTTGTCCTTGACCTCTCCCTCACCCGACAGGATGCACCCGCTCAGATGCAGCTCCTGCAGACGCGTCAGCTTGGACAGCTCGTGAATGTAAGCAGCTGTTAGCCTGTTGCCACGATCCGGATCTGCATCTGATTCCGGATCCAGGCAAGCGACCCGAAGCACTGACAAGCTGACAAGGCTGCTGCATGCCGCCAGGCCGCTCACCCCACGCAACGCCGCATACCCGGGCAGCGCCAGCTGTTCAAGGTGTGGCAGGGTGGAGAGTGCGGCGTACATGAGCTGCTGCTGCAGAAGTGAGGGGTTGTGCAGGAGCGGCAGTGCGTTGGAGAGGTCCAGCTGCCTCAGAGCGGGCAGGAACAGCGGCAGCTGCGCCACAGCTGGCTGAAGGTCCACGTGGAGATCGTCCATCTCCCAGCTCACGTTGACACGTTTAATTCTTTGCCTGATTTCCAGCGGCGACCGTGTAAATTGTAGCGCTACTAGCGCTGCAACGCCTGCTGGGCCAGCGTTGTTGTCTAGTAGGCGCAGCCCCAGACTGATAGCTTCACAGCAAGGCCAGGGCTTGAGCGAGGGCATCCAGCCCATTCGCCAAAGTCGCTTGAAATTGCGGCCAAGGCTTGGCTCTAATTGGCGCACGCAGTCGTCATGTGCGGTGCGCAGGGCGCGGAACGCCAGGCGTGCATTTCCTGCGATATATTCGCCTTTGAGATAATTGTAAAAGATTTCTAGCGCAGGCATGCTGAGCTTGGGAAGGACGTCCGCAAAGCTCGGCACCTGGCTGTTGTTTTCCATTTTGTGATGTTAAGGCACCAGCTGAGGCAGTCTATAAAGCTATTCCGCTGCTTAAGGTTTCTGTATTATTGAAACCTTTTACTTATTCAACGTGGGTAAACTAACGATTGGATACGGTAATGGCCGCGCGCAACACGGAGTATGCATGGGCGTGTCCTAATACGTGTGTGGTTCAGGAGCCTGCCACCTCAGCAGCCTCGCCCCTGCCACCTCAGAAGCCTCGCCCCTGCCACCTCAGTAGCCTCGCCCCTGCCACCTCAGTACCCTCGCCCCTGCCACCTCAGGAGCCTCGCCCCTGCCATCTCAGTACCCTCGCCCCTGCCACCTCAGGAGACCCGCCCCTGCCACCTCAGAAGCCTCGCCCCTGCCACCTCAGAAGCCTCGCCCCTGCCACCTCAGTACCCTCGCCCCTGCCACCTCAGAAGCCTCGCCCCTGCCACCGCAGAAGCCTCGCCCCTGCCACCGCAGAAGCCTCGCCCCTGCCACCTCAGAAGCCTCGCCCCTGCCACCTCAGGAGCCTCGCCCCTGCCACCTCAGGAGCCTCGCCCCTGCCACCTCAGGAGCCTCGCCCCTGCCACCTCAGGAGCCTCGCCCCTGCCACCTCAGGAGCCTCGCCCCTGCCACCTCTGAAGCCTCGCCCCTGCCACCTCAGAAGCCTCGCCCCTGCCACCTCAGAAGCCTCGCCCCTGCCACCTCAGAAGCCTCGCCCCTGCCACCTCAGTACTCTCGCCCCTGCCACCTAAGAAGCCTCGCCCCTGCCACCTCAGAAGCCAAACCCCTGCCACCGCAGAAGCCTCGCCCCTGCCACCGCAGAAGCCTCGCCCCTGCCACCTCAGTACCCTCGCCCCTGCCACCTCAGAAGCCTCGCCCCTGCCACCTTATAAGCCTCGCCCCTGCCACCTCAGAAGCCTCGCCCCTGCCACCTCAGTACCCTCGCCCCTGCCCCGTCAGAAGCCTCGCCCCTGCTTCCTCAGATTCCTCGCCCCTGCCACCTCAGTACCCTCGCCCCTGCCCCCTCAGAAGCCTCGCCCCTGCCACCTCAGAAGCCTCGCCCATGCCACCTCAACACCCTCGCCCCTGCTACCGCAGAAGCCTCGCCCCTGCCACCTCAGAAGCCTCGCCCCGGCCACCTCAATACCCTCGCCCCTGCCCCCTCAGAAGCCTCGCCCCTGCCACCTCAGAAGCCTCGCAACTGCCACCTCAGTACCCTCGCCCCTGCCACCTCAGAAGCCTCACCCCTGCCCCGTCAGAAGCCTCGCCCCTGCTACCTCAGAAGCCTCGCCCCTGCCACCTCAGTACCCTCGCCCCTGCCACCTCAGAAGCCTCGCCCCTGCCACCTCAGAGGCCTCGCCCCGGCCACCTCAATACCCTCGCCCCGGCCACCTCAGTACCCTCGCCCCTGCCACCTCAGAAGCCTCGCCCCTGCCACCTCAGCCCCTGCCGCCCTCGCCCCTGCCACCGCAGAAGCCTCGCCCCTGCCACCTCAGAAGCCTCGCCCCTGCCACCTCAGAAGCCTCGCCCCTGCCACCTCAGTACCCTCGCCCCTGCCCCGTCAGAAGCCTCGCCCCTGCCACCTCAGAAGCCTCGCCCCTGCCACCTCAGTACCCTCGCCCCTGCCCCCTCAGAAGCCTCGGCCCTGCCCCCTCAGAAACCTCGCCCCTGCCACCTCAATACCCTCGCCCCTGCCCCCTCAGAAGCCTCGCCCCTGCAACCTCAGAAGCCTCGCCCCTGCCACCTCAGTACCCACGCCCCTGCCACCTCAGAAGCCTCGCCCCTGCTACCTCAGAAGCCTCGCCCCTGCCCCCTCAGAAGCCTCGCCCCTGCCCCCTCAGAAGCCTCGCCCCTGCCCCGTCAGAAGCCTCGCCCCTGCTACCTCAGAAGCCTCGCCCCTGCCACCTCAGTACCCTCGCCCCTGCCACCTCAGAAGCCTCGCCCCTGCCACCTCAGAGGCCTCGCCCCGGCCACCTCAATACCCTCGCCCCGGCCACCTCAGTACCCTCCCCCTGCCACCTCAGAAGCCTCGCCCCTGCCACCTCAGCCCCTGCCACCTCAATACCCTCGCCCCTGCAACCTCAGAAGCCTCGCCCCTGCCACCGCAGAAGCCTCGCCCCTGCCACCTCAGAAGCCTCGCCCCTGCCACCTCAGAAGCCTCGCCCCTGCCACCTCAGTACCCTCGCCCCTGCCCCGTCAGAAGCCTCGCCCCTGCTACCTCAGAAGCCTCGCCCCTGCCACCTCAGTACCCTCGCCCCTGCCCCCTCAGAAGCCTCGGCCCTGCCCCCTCAGAAACCTCGCCCCTGCCACCTCAATACCCTCGCCCCTGCCACCTCAGAAGCCTCGCCCCTGCCACCGCAGAAGCCTCGCCCCTGCCACCTCAGAAGCCTCGCCCCTGCCACCTCAGGAGCCTCGCCCCTGCCACCTCAGGAGCCTCGCCCCTGCCACCTCAGGAGCCTCGCCCCTGCCACCTCAGGAGCCTCGCCCCTGCCACCTCAGGAGCCTCGCCCCTGCCACCTCTGAAGCCTCGCCCCTGCCTTCTCAGAAGCCCGTCCCCTGCCACCTCAGAAGCCTCGCCCCTGCCACCTCAGAAGCCTCGCCCCTGCCACCTCAGTACTCTCGCCCCTGCCACCTCAGAAGCCTCGCCCCTGCCACCTCAGAAGCCAAACCCCTGCCACCGCAGAAGCCTCGCCCCTGCCCCCTCAGAAGCCTCGCCCCTGCCACCTCAGTACCCTCGCCCCTGCCACCTCAGAAGCCTCGCCCCTGCCACCTCATAAGCCTCGCCCCTGCCACCTCAGAAGCCTCGCCCCTGCCACCTCAGTACCCTCGCCCCTGCCCCGTCAGAAGCCTCGCCCCTGCTTCCTCAGATTCCTCGCCCCTGCCACCTCAGTACCCTCGCCCCTGCCCCCTCAGAAGCCTCGCCCCTGCCACCTCAGAAGCCTCGCCCATGCCACCTCAACACCCTCGCCCCTGCTACCGCAAAAGCCTCGCCCCTGCCACCTCAGAAGCCTCGCCCCGGCCACCTCAATACCCTCGCCCCTGCCCCCTCAGAAGCCTCGCCCCTGCCACCTCAGAAGCCTCGCCCCTGCCACCTCAGTACCCTCGCCCCTGCCACCTCAGAAGCCTCACCCCTGCCCCCTCAGAAGCCTCGCCCCTGCTACCTCAGAAGCCTCGCCCCTGCCACCTCAGTACCCTCGCCCCTGCCACCTCAGAAGCCTCGCCCCTGCCACCTCAGAGGCCTCGCCCCGGCCACCTCAATACCCTCGC